TAAATATTTAAACAATTTTTGTGCAAAATTTTTCTGCACATGCATTTGAATATAAATTTCTGAGATTTTAAATCTGTTATTTTACCTTAATTTTAATTAAAAAATATTTTAAAACCTGCTGATTACCTATAGTATAATTAAATTTCAATATAATGCATGGCAACTGTTGGTAGTTTTGAAGTTTATATATTTTCTTGGCAAACTTCAGTTTTTGACGGTTTTAACCAGTATTATACCCTTGTCATGTCAAAAACCACTTTTTGACGTCAAAAACCCAATCCTGGTAAATTATGCCATTATTCTAAAATGTTATTTACATTAAATTAAGAAAAATGTAACTTTTTATTTACTGAGAAATTTATTTGCTTCACTATTGAATAAAAAATAGTATAGCATCAAATAATTTAGCAAGTAAATAGTTTAGCAAGTTAAATTATCTTTACTCATTTCAACAAATATTTGTAAAAAAAAAAATATTATTAAAATAAAATTTAAGATACATTTTATTGATTTTGCTCATTATTTATCCACAGATATGAGGAAATTTTGAGATTTTATTAAAATAAAGGAAAGATATTATTTGTCTACTGATCAGTCTTCAGAAATTTACGTCGTTAGAGCAACAAAAATAAAATTAAAAATCCAACAAATTTTGATGAAATCAAAATTCTTAACAGCAATAAAATAATTAAGTCCAAAATAAACACCATTAAAATATAGTACCTGCTAAGTCTAGTGTATTCTTTAAGTTTCTCTTGAAATAACTTTTGAATTGGATCTGTTGGAGTTTTTGCATACAAAACTGAGCAAATACCAATATTCCTTTGAAGACATAGAGAACCAGTGGAAGCAGCTTTTTTGAGAACTCTTACAGAATTCATGGCTGAAAAATTATTGACATGTTTTATTAGCAAATCCAAGTTTATAGCATGGTATGCTACTAGTCTTAAAATTAAATTTTACTTTATTTAAATTTTATAACTCAGATTAGACAGATTCTTGATAACCCAAAATTTCTTAAAATAAAAATGAGATCTTGTACAATTCAATAAAAGACAAAGATAGTCACTGGTAAAAAGGACTAGCAAATATAAGATACTACCATATATTTCCCAATATAAACTGAGAATTTTTAGAAATTTTCAAAAAGCTAAAGTGGGGAAGGGGTCGGTTTATAATCTTATCAGTTATCCCCCTAAATGTAATTCCTTAAAGCATGGCGATACTGTTAAAATATTTTAAAGAAAATAATTAACCACATATTTCTAATTTTCTTGCTTTTTCAAAAGTTATTGTTTATTTGGAGCTCTTTAAGGTATTAACATTAAGTTTAAAAGATAGATTGAATTTTATGCCACCAGAGACGTTGTTATGTTTCTCGGTACCCTGGGCTTATCCTTATTTCAGTGTAAAAAAAGTTTAGTTTTGAAACGTTTTTTTAAAAATGATTTTATTTTCAGGTTGAAAAACAAATACATTATTATGAAAGCATTAATATATTATTAGTATTGAAAGTTTAAGGTTACTACTCATGCTTTTTGAGAGACGAAGTCTTCTGTCCCAACATTAAAATTAATTTCCTGCCAGGCATCATATTCAACGCTCATGATTGATTCAATCTTTTTTAAATCCAAAAACAAACAAACATAAGGGGATAATAGCTCATTCCCCTGAAACTTTTAATTTCGTAAACGCTGTTCAAGTTCTTTGTTGAAGCCTGTTTTTCAGAAAGGTGAGAAATTCTCACCCCCTTTTTTTTTTCTATGATGAAAACACTGTCCTTAGAAGTCCCCTTCTACAAGAATGTATTATTCCATCATTTGAAACATGTCGTTATTGATGAGACATATGGCTGAACTAATTATTTCTTTTAATATTTCATCTCAATCTTCCTTTCTAGCTAATATTTTTTTCAACAGATCAGTTATAAAAAAAAAAAAACTAAATGTGATAAACTTAAGGGGCCCGATGTGAATCCTTAAATAACGGCATTGTATGCAATAAAAAGATATGAGCGTGATAATCATTGTAAAATATCATAAATAGATGCAAGCAGAAAAGTAGGTGGAAGAAAGCACAAAATATAAACTTATGAGTGATTTAGCAATATTAAGCATGTCGCATTAGGAAGTAAATATGAATTAAGCTATCTATATTTTGTTTTAGCAGAAAATGCAAAGCCTGAATCAGTTAATAGTGAATGCAATAGGAGTTTTTATCAGAAATACTTGTTACTAAAGCATGATTCAGGCACAATTAACAATGTTAAGTTTAAATTACTACGCAGTAAAATAAATGTGATACATTATTCAATTAATAAGATACAATAATAATAAAAAAAGATACGAAACCTTTTATAAAGAATTTTAACTACTCTTTAAATAATAAGCAAACTTTCCAAAAGGTCGTCTCTAGGTTTTAGCTTTAATCTTACGTTTCCCACTGCCTATTTCTGTAACGGGTTTCAGTTAGCTTTGATTTCGGATCGGAGCTTTTATATCTCGGCTACCTCAGTCTTAATAAATTTATTTTATTTTAAGACCATATGATATGGCAACCTGAAGTCTTCGCTCTGTTTGGCGACAATGGCGAGTTAAAGTATTTTAATAAAATACAGTTTTGTTAGTATAACTTTATATTCGAATTAAAATTATTTAATGTTCTAAACGTCGAAGTTTACTAAATCATTTTTAAAATGAAGGACAGTAGGTCAGCTACTATAGAAGATTTGCCAGATCCAATTATTGAATACATTTTAAGTTACTTGTCACCATATAAAGACCTTAAAGAATGTATGCAAGTTAATAAAGCTTGGTATCGCTATGTTTATGGTAAATTTTTCCTCCTACTTCTTACAACGATAGTACTTTATTTAATTATCTTTATTAATCTTTGTTTAAAATTTTGCTCTTCATTTTGTTTAATTAGATTAGTCTATATACAAAGACATATAGTTATTACATTTAAGGCTTGCCTTTTGTTTACTTATAATAAACACACATAAAATATTCCCAATTATACGTTTATTGTGACTATATGGTATTAAAAATTGATAAAATAACTCAATATTGACATAAGAAAATGATATTGAAAAAAGATATATAAGGAAATAAATATTGGCAATCTTTTTCTTATTTTGCAATATTTACAATAAAAAATTCTAGTTTCTAAAAAATTCTATAACATATAAAATTTATTATGTATAATTAAAAATGTAAATGTTTTTATAGAAATCTAATAGAGACATATAAACTGACCACTGAAAATGAGTACAGATTATTAATATCTTCTCATTACTGACCCTTCTGTTTAAAGACTAAATTTCATAATACAGATTCTTTACTGCTATTCATCTTTATTTAATTTTCACGAATAAACTGATGTTAAATAAATATCTGTTCTGTAGTATCCTTTGAGGTACGTAAATTATTATGATCGCCAATTTGATTAAATAAATATAGTGGGCATTCTTTTATTATTTTTATATATACGTAAATTATTATGTGATCGCCAATTTGAATAAATAAATATAGTGGGCATTCTTTTATTATTTTTATATATTAATTTGAAAAATGACACGATACAAATTAGCATTTTTTTTAGGTAATTACGTGTTAAATGTAGTCTACTTTAGATATTTGTTAAATATTATTGTTTTTTTGTAATTTTCAGTAAGAACATTCTTCAGTATCATTTAAATCCTTTTTCCTTTTAACAACGAAAGTAAACTAAAAAAAAAATCAAAAATAAACAGATGTACAATTGTAAATTACCCTTTAAAAATAACTAACCATTTAATTATATTGCTTTGCATTGAAAAAAAAAAAACTTAAGAGTTTCTAAAAATATCTAGCACTATTACTCCCACTCTGATGAATCAACACCTTTATTTCCTACTCTTTTTTAATGAATATAATTTTGCTAAATATTCTTCTATCACCTTCAGTTTGATTAAAAAACATTTAAAAAATATAAAGAATCAAAAATTTTACCCATATTCTAAGATAATAAGAAAAGAGGCCTCTTAACAATTTCACTTGCGTAACTGTTTCACTTATGAATTGCAAGTAACAAAATTTAATTCCCAGCTTGGTTAGGATTTAGTGTTGATCCAGAACTTAGCTTTTCTTTGAAAATGGGCTTATTTGTTTTGCAGAATATTAAATTTTTAAGTTATATAAATTATTTAATATTCTCTATTTTTAGATGTTATTCGTAAGACGCAGAGAGATTTTTATAATGCTGTTTGCAACATGGCTGTGCAATGGGTTCATCAAGTAGCTGATCCGGGGCCAACCATATCAAAAAGGTATTCTCACAGTGCTTGTTGTTGTGAGAATTCTATGTATATATTTGGTGGCTGTACTACTGCTAACACTACTTTCAATGACCTATGGCGGTTAGATTTAGGAACACGATGTTGGATCAGACCTCTTGCAACAGGTAAAATTATTGTTATCTGTATTTTGTCGTAGTAAAGTTTGTTTTATTATTATTCATTGCTTTCAATGTAAATATCACAAAAAGTCAACTATTTCAATTTAATTTTCATCTTGTTGAAAAAAAAAAGGCATGGCCAAAATTCTAAATTAGTGTGTATGTTTTACATTATATAGTAAGCCTCTAATGAGTTTATACCAATGGTAGTTAAACTAGTGAAGTTTTTGAGCTATTGTATCATTTTTAAATAGTATAGTGTTACAAATGAAAAGAGCTACCAAATTTTTCAAAAACTTTTATGTTTACATTCATCAGCTCAGAGGAGACCAAAGATCTTCCTCTGAGTGGCGATTAGACAGTCACAGGTCTAGACAAATATTTTGCTAGCTCATTTCATATATATATATACAAAAAAAAACACGATGAAAATTAAGAAAAACAATTAGTTTCATTTATTGCGCATAGGCTGCAAGTAAATAGAACTCATAAAATAAGTTCAAAATGTAGAGAAAACATGGGAAAAATTACAGAACAATGAAAAAAAAGGGGAAAAAAATTCCGAAAAAAGGAAACAATTTTTTTTAAAAATCCAGAAAGATGTGATCTTTTCATCAGCTCACACGATTATATCCGCAAAGAAGAGTGCTTTCTAATATTGTACATATTAATATAGCCAAAGCAAAATATATCAATACAATAGTGTGACATTTGAACTTATTAACCACTTAATTTTGATCTGTGTAATGATTATTTGAGTTAGAAGAGGTGATTAATCTATATTTGTTTTATTTTGATAGGTACTTATCCTCCTCCCAAAGCTTGTGCAACACTTGTAAATTATGGAGAAAACCTTATTTTATTTGGAGGGTGGACTCACACAGCTCCTTATCCACTTCATCAGGTTTGTTAGTTTTTTTCTTGTATTGATATTGTTATACTGAATTTTAAGATAATTTCTTTAGTTCTAATGTTGTAAATTTTTTTATGCCTTTTTAATTTTTAGAATTGTAAGACTCCTAAACAAGCATGCAAATGAATCTTAAAAAATTCCTAAATCTTATTTCCTAGCTGCTCGATTTAAACAATATTTTTTAAACCAATCCTATCAGCCAATTAGTTTTTTCTATAGTAGTGAATTATCAATAATGTTTTATAATGTATTGTTTTCAGCTCTAAAGTTTTTTAAAGGAATAAATATGCAAGTAATAATTATTGTTAATTATCTTCTTTTAATTTTGGAACTCTCACTCTCAGCTTTTCTAAGTGCAAATTTCTGATGTGATGCAATGTAAAATAAATAATTTATTGAAAATAAATGCTGCCTATCTGTGTGCACTAGCAAGTTCATGGGCAATAAGGGGAGAAGGCATGTCTTTTTGCAAATCACAACTGATTTGTTAACTATTATTAAATGTTTGAAATTTAAAAATTGATAAAGCTTATTTGGATAAGTTTATTTAAGTTTTTAATGCTGCATAAAACATTGTCAAAGCTGTCAAACAGATAAAAATATTTGAAAGATTAATTATTTTTTATAGTTGGTATTTTATATGCAGAGTTGAACAACTGATTCATTTCAGATGACTGTTCACATGCATAGTTTTGTAATTTTGAACTCAACCCATAAGATAAGGGAACTACTATATTACGAATGGGAACACACTTGTCTTTCTGAAGAGCTTTTTGAATGAAACTAATACACATTTTCATTGCCGGTGAAGAATACTCACAAAAATTTTGCATGTTTTGCCTGACCACAAAGAAACTCTTATTCATTATCCATCTATCATTGTAGTGGACATTTTACATGATGACTGTTAAAGGTGGAATTTAGGACCAGTGATTGCTCTTGTGGGTTGAAACGCGTCAAACACGCTAAAAATATTCGAGGAGTAAATAAGTTTTAATGCGTCTCCTTGGACATGTAGTACTTCAGTGCAGAAAAAATAGAGCAACAGCTGTGTTGGTAGAATTAAAACCAAACTTTAAATATGTATAATAAATTTCTTTTTCTTTGTTATTAATGGCCAATAGGGTATTAAATTATATCTTTTCTTTTCCTTGATGCAGATGTTTGATTTGTCCTAATTCAAATATTACTATTATAACTCTTCTTTATTTTAAATTCTTTTTTTTTTTTTTTGTCTATCAATAAATAAAATAATATTATAAATACGAACAATAATTGATAGATGAAGAGGTTAAGAATTCATATCTTAAATAGAGACCCATCTTTAGTAGAGAGAGACCCAAAAATATGCAAGTACCTGTAATTTACTAAGTCTTGCAGAATCAAGTAGGGGCACTATGCAAATCATTCTGTTATCATCAGAACTGTAACTTGTGTTACCTCAATGAAAAGCATACATTTTTTTAAGCTCTTCCTGCTTGTTAATGTTTGTTCAATTACAATATTAGTTTTTGTTAGAACTACTATCGACTTCATATCAAGTACCAACTTTATGATTATTTCCATTTTCTTCATTCTATAGCCTTATTAATTTTATCCTCTTCTACTTCTCTAGGTATGGAGAATGTTTAACCAGATCCATGTATATAATACAAGGACCAATAGATGGACTCAGATTACTTCAGCTACTAGTTGTCCTGCTATGGCTGGCCATTCTGCTACTGTTCATGGTGATTTAATGGTAGTTTTTGGTGGCTTGCAAAGGCAAACCTGTGATGGACCTTTTCAAAAGTAAAATTTATTTTTGCATTTAAAAAGACTTAAAAGAATTTATTTTTACATTTATTTCCATTTGATGTTTTTAAAACTAAGTTCTACCTAATCTTTCTTATATATTCCTGAATTGTTTAGAAATTTTAAGAAAAGTGCAGAAGCGAGCAAATTTTTTTAGCAAACGATTTGCCAGTAAATTATCTTATTTGTGAAGAACATTTTATTACTTTTTGCGATAAAGTTGTATAATTTTTTAGCTATTTTAGAACTATAAACATATTTTTTAAAGTGAGTTTTTAAAGCTGGTGCCCAAAATATATCAAAAACTATTTAATCAGTTGATCAGAATTTTTTTTTCTGGTCTTAAGAAAGTTTTAAGCCATAATACTTTTTTTTAATGATTTTTGTGACATTTTTATGTTTATGAATATAGAACGATTCCTTTTTTATTAATTGTCAAACTGCTGGTAAAAGGAGCGAAAATGTTTTAGTGGATTTAACAAAGGAACAAAGCAGTAAAGGAAAACAAATTAATAATTTTTAATTTTTTTCTTTACTCAATGCTGAATTTTTATATTCAGTGTAGATTCCTTCTTAACAAGTTGAATGTAAGTTCCAATCAAAAGGTTGTATAAAAAAGGTCTTCTGCGATTGTTACAATATTCCTTTATTTTCTCTAAATTTATTAGAGTTTTACTTAATCATTGATTTAGTGGACATAAAATAAAGTTTTAATCTTGGAAAATTGCTATCGTAAAATAGGAAAACAGTTTGTCGCTAGAAAAAGGGGTACATCATTGAGGTTTTCAATGTGCATGACTATTTGAGAGAATTAAAAAAAGAAAATTTTAGTTTTATTCCCTCAAATGAAACTTACGTGTAACACCACTGGGTTAAAAAAGTATAATAGCTTTGAGAAGGGGTAATATGGAGTATTATCTAATTGTGAAATATAATATAAAAATGAGAAAATGAATAAATTCTAAATTTCGCTTCAACTTTAAGCCTGTACCGCTAAATCTACTATTATTAACATGAAGTCAATTTTATAAGTCTTACTTTTGTTGAATATTTTAATTTTAATAATGAGCAGTCATTTTTTTAAACGGGGTGAATTTTTTTAATTTCAATTTAAAATATCTCAAATTAAAAAAATGGCTGTGTTAATTAAGTTGTTGAATTATTATGTAAACTTTGTTTTTATTCCATCACCAATAATGATCAACTTGTTTAGTTTTATTAAGGGTCCTCTTCAGTTATTATTTGTTAAGTAACTAGTTCATATTTTTTTAATATTTTTATTTCATTTTATTCATAAAAATGTTCTATAAAATCTGGTTACAAAGATTGTAAATAATTTTAATGTTTTCAGAATTGTTATTATAGTTTTGAAAAAGTTTAAAATTTGGCAACTAGATACAATCAAGCAAATTTAAATGAATCAAATTGTTCAAAAATATCACAAAATTTTAATTAGTGTATTGTACTAAGTGTTAATTAGTTTATTGTCCCATATCTTGTTTAATTAAAGATCTAAATACTATAAAAAAATGACATTTAAGAAATCAGGAAGATTTTATCATTTCTAACTCAAAACAAGACCCTAACTATGCCATCAGTTCAGACAATCTTTTATGCAATTACATAATTAATTATAATAGCAGGAAATTTTTTAGACCATCATACATATTTAAACTCCTTAGATTATTGTCCTATAAAGGGTAATTCACATTTCTTTACAGAGAATCTGAAAAATGTTTTCTTGTAACAGGTTCTATACACCTCTTCACAAAAATACTTCTTGAATCAGCCAACTACCCAGTAGCAGCGAGCACCACAGATTTATTTTTGCCTTTCAGACTAATTCTATTCTTCTGTAACAGAATTATAGTTCAAAGCAAATTTATAACTTGTTAGAAATTCATATATTTAATATAAATATTAAGTTTAATTTTATTTATTTATTGTTTTGGTATTATATACAGTGGAACCTGTCTAAATTGACCACCCTCGGGACCAAGTCAAATGGTCACTATATAGAGGTGCTCACTTTACGAAGACTCTTTAAAAAGGACTCTTGAAATAAAACTAGTAGAAAATGGTCACCTTTCTCAGGCGTTCACTTTACCCAGGTGGTCACTTTTACAGGTTCTACTGTATTAAATACAGCCAGCGAAATAAAAAATTGGCATTTGTTTTATTTTTAAGCAACCTTTCTTTTAATTAAATGCTGGGTAATGAATTACAGAAAATGTAATTCCTTTGCTCTGCTTTTAAAAATTTGAAAAAGAAACAAAACAGTATACTAAGTCATACTAATAAAGGGAATGTGGTTATGTGTTTTTTACAGCTCCCGAGATGGATAAATACTGAAATTGTATATATGTATTTTTCCTTTAATTAAAATGGAATAAGTAGGATCTTTTTTAAGAGGATGGATCTTTAATAAGTTATATTTGTTAGATTAGCTTTTTTTTTTTGTTGAACTGTTATTTTATTTTTATACAACACAGTTGATATCCTACTAAATTTTTTTATAGTTCAAGTGATGTTTGGACGCTAGATCTGAAAACCTATAAGTGGCAAAAGCAGGAAACTACAGAAACACTACCCCCACAACGTTATGGTCATTCGCAGGTATAAATAAAATTATTTAATAAAATTTAGAACTAATGTAAATAATCTTTTATAGCATTTTATTTTTATTTGATGCAAAAATTGCTTTTATGGTTTTAATTGAAATTTGCTAAAAAAATTTGTTAGTTTTAGCCTTTGAGATAATTAACGTGGTTTTTCAAAGATATGTCGCCAAGGAAAATAAAAAAAGCCACATATTAAGTGTTTGAAAGTCACATATTAAGTCTTTGCATCTTGTGAAAAACTATCTAGACTTTAGAATGGACAAATAGCTTAAATGTTTTAAAAGTTATTGAACTTTTTTAAAAATCCACAATTTGGCAAAATTTTTCCACCTATATAAAAATTATCGAAATTATTGCCTTATTCTCAATTTTCGTAAGTTTTTATGAGTTCAGGCAATGCAGCATAGGAGTAAGTTTTTAAATATTAAAAAATTATAGCACAAATGCTCTAAATTTTCACAAAACTGTAGCTTTTTTCCATATTGACGTTTTGTGCCATTTTAAAAATAAACATAGAAACTCTGGCTTTAGATGAGCTTAACTTGACTTAATAGTCATGACTAACTGTTGCAAACTCACAGCAGTTACGAAAATAGCATATTCTTTGTAAAAAAAAGCTGTAATCTGGAAAAGCTCTTCATTTCTAAATGTTTGGTTTGCAGTTCTTAAGGCATATAACTCATTTTTTATTTAATTCAGTTCTTATAGTTTTTGTTAAAATAATTATTGGAAATATATCCATTTCCTCTTACTCCAATTTTTAGTACCTTTTCAAAATAATAATGTAACATAACAACAATTTTTTAACTTTTAAAAAGTTTTCAAACTTATGAAAGTGACGGAAAATTGAGTAAGTGTAAATGGCACTTCAGAAAAAGCTATTAGAATTTATTAATTATTTTTAATCTTTTTTAATGAAAAATATTTATATAGCTTTTATATGCAAAAAGGAAAAGACATGGAAAGGAGCATGTTTAGTTCGAAAAAAAATAATATCTGTTCTTATTTTTTTTTTTATTCTGTTTTTTAAAGAATTTTTGCAAAGTTAGTCTTCGATAAACTTCTCTAAAAGCTTGATAGCAAAAATTTTCTTATCAGCACATTCTTATGATTTAGTATTTTTGAATTTTTTAGAATTAATGTGAATAATTAAAATTAACGCAATTAAATTTTGAATATAAAGTGGGAGTATTAAAAATTTTCTTATGAAATTGGAAAATGCAATTTTTTAATGTTATTATTGTTTTCAGATTGCCATTGATCGCCATCATTTGCTAATCATTGGTGGCTGTGGTGGCCCTAATATGGTAATTTTTTTATTTTTAATAAAGTAAGCTTGATTAAATTTTTACCCCAGATTTATAAACATACAAGAGAGATACACCATTCATAAATGTTTGTTTAGCGATCTAGGAAGTTAACTTAGAAGTTAATCCTCTTTCTGTTTAAAGATTACAAGTGTTTATGTATCTTGCCTGCTCTGTAATACAAACGTTTATGAATCTTGGGGTAACTTAGATAATTTATAAGATATATCAATTTTTGTTTTATTGCTTATTTTGTACCTTCCAACAACAATATTTTCTAAAATTAAGAAATTTTATAGTTTTAGAAAATATTTTCTCATTGCAAAATGAGTCTGTTACGTATATAGTTTAATAAGCAGTAGTTAAAAGAATTTTGTCCGCCACAACATATGAATAATTTAACTATAGGGGGAGAGATGAAGTTTTATTGAAATTCTGTTTCTTTTCAAAATTGAACTCTAGTATGCAACTAATGGAAAAGAATATTTTGTACAAATCTCTGGAGGGTATATATTTTATTTTTAATTTCAAATGCAGTATTTTATATTTTTGTATCTCCAATCTAGCTCTACACTGATATTTGGCTTTTAAAAATGAATAACCGTTCAGATGGACTGTGGGAATGGCAAGAAATGGAAGTTAAATCCAAAGAAAATGCCGCTCCTCATGTTGCCTTTCATCCTGCTTGCAAAGTAATGACATTTTAACCAAACATAGCAATTTTAAATAAGCTATTATTGTACTATTTAATTTCTAATGTTTAATTTTATGCATAATGAATATTGCTGATGTTTATATACTAAGTTCACCTTATATAATGAAGTTATTATCCACATATTGATATCTACCCTTTTTATAAGTTTGTAATTGTAGTATTTATTACTTGAATGCATTTGAATTGTAAAACCCATTCTTATTGATTTTTAGTTTTAAGATTTGTTATTGCTGAATGCAGTTCAATAATTTTATGCATGTTAAAAGAAAGTGAATATTGCTTGATGTTTATATACTAAGTCCACCTTATATAATGAAATTATTATCTACATATTGATATCTACCCTTTTTATAAGTTTGTAATTGTGGTATTTATTACTTGAATGCATTTGAATTGTAAAACCCATTCTTATTGATTTTTAGTTCTAAGATTTGTTATTGCTGAATGCAGTTCAATAATTTAGTAATGTGATTAAATAATTTAGTCATGTTTAGTTTTCCCTATTTTTCTGTGAATATTGCAAAATGTTGTTTTTGCTTCAATTCATAATTTTGTATATCTTTCATATTTAATGTTAAATATTTATGCCTGTGGTTTTGACAAATAGTACAAATTTTTTTACCTTTTTTATTTTGTTTATGATAATAGAGAAATTTTTTTATATAAATTGCCATGTTTTTATTTTATGTTTTAATTATTTTTTGCACTACATACAATTTTATAGCTAATTAAAATTTACATTTCCTTTAGTGAAAGTGTTTCTTTCTTTTTCTTTTCTTTTTTTTTATATGTATATATCCATCATTATCATACATTTTTTTAATACCATCTTTGCTTCTTTAATCTATGCTGTATATTGTGTATTATTATCTATATATCGATATATATTTTATCTATAAAGTATAGTCTTTAATCCATGTTTCTTTTTTATACGTCAGGTTGGTAGCCAGGTGGTTGTCATGAGTAAAACTCAACGCTCTCGAACATCTGCTTCTTCATTACCTCATCTATTGCGAGCACCATCTCGCATTTGGGTTCCACCTCGAAAGTATGACATTTTTTTTTGTTAAAATTTACATTATTATTTCTTTTATAGTAAATATTTATTTATGTCTTTGATGGAGGAAAAATGTGGAGTGCACAAAATTAAAAATGGAACACCCGGAATAATTTTTGATCAGTTGATTGATTTTCATGTACCAAGAATCAATTGTTTGAGGGCTTGATTTCAAATATGCTAATTAATTAGGGCAGATAATATTTTAAGATACAAAGGGAAACATATAAATATACTTTCACTGAAGGAATATACCTTTTTTTTCTACGGACTTTCGCTCTTGATAATCAAAGTATATGAGATTGCCAAAAACTGGAAAATATGGTTCCAATAGTTAGGTCAGAAAAGTGATAAAAAGTTATGACCTCTAAATGTTAACCCTTTCGAGCCGACTGTCACATATATGTGACAGCAAGAAACGCGCTCACTTCCCGGCCGACACACCCGCGTGTCAGAGAGTTTTCTCGTTCACCCCCGACCGTCACTTATTTGTGCCAGCGTTTCGGAACGTTTTAAAAAATGAAATTTCTTCCAAAAGATGGCATTGTATGTCCATATGGTTTCAGATACATGTAGATTTGACCTTCTACTCAAGATGAAAGTACATTCACGTGGTTTTTAGGGGAAGGAGTGGAGGGGGGAATGTTTTATGAGGGCTCTTTAAATTAGCACGTGATATTTATTTACAGTAAGTAAGGGAGTTTTTTTTATCTCTCGCTACCTTCGATTTTCGGATTAGTTTTTAGTGGATAATTAGATCTTGTAGGCTTGAATTTTTTTTCTTTTTACCGTTAGAATGTCGAAGCGTCGAAAATTTTTAACTGAGCTGGAAATAGAGGAAATTATGCAAAATATTTAAACTTATTAATATTTATATTACATTTAAACAATAAATAACTTAAGTAAATAAAGTATCCATAGAAATATATATAAAGCATATGTCACTTAAATACTCTACAGAACAATATTAAACAACGCGCTGATATTTCGGTAATTTCATGGAACTAGGCTTAACATCAAAAAACCCTCCGGCCCTGGGGAGACACACGCTAGAGAGACTGCTGGCCTCAGCGGTAAGCGCGCTTTGCGTCGCGAAAGGGTTAATTTTACTTTTTGCGTACTTCGCCATATCTTGAACTTTTTAAACAAATCAAAATATTTTTGAACGCAATTATAAAATTAATTTATCCGAAGATAGTTTGATGAAAAAATATCTATTTACAGTCGGATTCATAATTCTCCTGATAAAAGACCCTCATCTAGGTCCAAATTTTTGACCGCACTCCTGCCCAATTAGTTTGAAACATATTTTCCAGAGTGTGGATATATATTTTCAGGGTCAAGAATCCTAATTTGTTGAAAAATATGCTTTTTCAGAGAGAGAGTGTTTTTTTTTTTTTTTTTTTTTTTTTTTTTTTTTGTATCTGATTTCTTAACTGAAGATATCATTTGCTCCTATTAATTAGCATATTTGAGGCCATGTCTTCCAAGAATTAAGATTGAGTCTTGGTATATCATATTATTAAATCATATTATTAATTCCGTTTTTTTTAATTTGCACACTATAAATAAAATTACACTATTGCCTGCTTTTCCATGGTACTGTTTTAATTTAAACTTGAGTATATTAAATTTAAAAAAAATATGATTATTCAAATCAAATGCTTGACTTTTTTTAATTTTAAATTATATTATTAGTTATTAAACTATGTCATTCATAACTGTCCACCATTCTATCAATCATTTTAATTTAATATTTATTTAAACTAGAAATTTTATAAAAATAGATTTCATAGTAAACTGTTCAATTCTTTATTCTACTGCAGCAGGTTTATTATCAATTTGAAAATGGTCTTGTAATTCATTTAATTTTTTAATTAAAATTTAAATTAAGTTTTATTTTCTTTCTTGAAATTTTATTTATTATTATTATTTTTTTTTTTTTTACATTTCTTTATTTTTCACTCTGAGTACTCAGTTTTTAAAAATATTATTAGTTTTTAAGAAGTTTTACCACATTAATGAGGTGCTATTTCTATATAATAGAGCACGATTTATCTAGACTCTGATTAACTAGATCCATCTAGAACAGTTGATTAACTAGATCCATCTGGAACAGTAGATTGCATCCATGTATTGTATCTGCCTAGGGCAATAGGTTCCACCTATGTATAGGTGAATCTAGGACAATACCTTATGTCTAATATATATATTCTGTCTAAGGCAATAGCCTTTTCCAAAAAATATTCTTTCAGGAAAATGTTCTTTCAGATTGTCTGAAGGGTGGTTAAAAAATTGCTTCTTTTAGCATTTGGTTTCCTTGAAAAGAGGAAACCCTATTTTTGCTCAGTTTCAACAAAAGTGATTGAAAGATGGAAGGGTTCTTCTATAAAATTACAAATGTCTTCTTTTTTAAGATTCAAATAAGAAAATAATGTGTTTCCAGTGTATTCTAAACATATACTACTAAATAAAATTGATGATAGTATATTTTTCCAATAAGTTTTGTAGGATATTGGAGTATTTTAAAACATGTCTGGAAGATGCAAAAGAGTTTATTGTTTACACAAAAAAAAGAGAGTGTTTAAAGGTTGAAGAAAGGCCAAAACAGAAACAACATAGCACTTAGATATGTCATTTGCATATTCGTATGGTATAATAAAAAAAGAGTGCGAGATTTAATATTAAACTTTTTATCAGTTTTTTTGCAATGACCAGCTTTGTATCATTTTCGAGTCATTTTTAAATCCTTGCAGTTAACTTGATTCCAACCAGTTTTGATATTTGATCGATTTACTGCATATTGTAAAGCTAGTGACTCATGTGTTCAATTAAAATCTTTCAGTTCCAAAGCAAAGACATCTAAACGGCCATCGTCAGAACTCGATCCTTGTGTAAATGGTAAAAGAGGCGTTCTGAAACGACCCGCCGACCCCCGTCCAGCTCAGGTATCTAGTAGTGATGAGGATGACACATACGGTCAAAAAAATGCTGAGAAAAAATCTGCATCAGGTAGCCCAGAAAATTCTTTTTCTTCATCTTCATGCAGCAGTAATAATTCCTCAACCTCTGATTCTCCATCCACATCTGGACATGCCATCAGAAGTTCATCTCCTCCTTCTAATTTGGCAAACCAGAATTCTGAAGGGGCTGGTCCTTCTGGTGGTTCCCCACCCAGTGGTCCATTTCAGAACTCATCAAGACCAAATAATTCTACTGTAATAATAGGTAATAACCCTTTTGCACGGAACAATAGGCAGAGGCAGTTAGAAGGACTTGATCGTATGGAACAAAGAATAAAGGATCTCAAAGCTGGGTAATAATCTATTATTTATATTTATTTTTTTTAGTAATGAATTTGTATCTATGTTAATTTATAATATTAGAGATACACTTGAATCTTGATCCATCACTCCCATATCTTTAATTTTCGTGTGTGTATCATATTGTTTTAATGGTCCCCTCGCAAATAATATTCTTATAACGTTAATAACGATTGCTTTTTGCTTTTGAAAATTGCAGAGTGCTGCCTCTACCACTCAACATTTTTTATGGACATTAAAAAAACATTGAACACGTTTCTCAAAAAAAAAGTTATTTTTGATGAAGAAAATGTGGATTTGTTGTAGTTTGGGGAAAATGTCTCAAACAGAAAGTTTGATGTTTATGCATCAATTGATGAACATACTGAAACTTGTAGTGTTTTTGGTTAAAAAAAATTGTTGTAGAAGCTGAAGAAGTGCAAATTAATACCGTTGAAGATGGCATAATGCTACCGCAACTGATGCCAACATTTTCAAAAGGCTTCAAAGCCTTTGATATGATACAGCGAAAAAATTACTGCATGGATCTAGGTTTTACTATATTAATTATACTTTTGCTATCTGTAATATTTCCAAATTTTTATGAAAAGTTAAATGTAATTTGTTATTGTCAGGGATGTGATTCTTCCGCAGATCCGCTGATTTCCGCTTTTTTCAGATTTTTCCATATCTTCCTCTCATTTTTCATAAATTTCCGCGAGGAAAAAATTTTTATGCAATAAATGTTATTTTGTTGAAAATTTTTTTCTTCTGCGGAGCGAAAGTATTGAAGCCCCCAATAAACCTTTATTCACATGTCAATCTGCTGGCTGGGGTAAAAGTGGTTGACCTTGGTAAAACAATGCCGTCTCCTACACCACTACTCTCTTATCTTTTCAGGGATGAAAGACTTTTTAAAATTTCCGACCATGTTCCAAAAACTTTTGGGGAGTCTAACGAACGATATAGTCGGACTTGCGATGAACTCCCCCTCCCCCTGCAGTAGCCTCCTGAGAAAATGATCTTCAGAAGAAAATGGGTAGAATTTCGGCATGTACGCCGTTGCCTTGACAACCGCGACTTCCGCTATAGATTGGAAAAAAGAAAAAAAGTTCTAATCAGTTTCGTTTCGGCCGCTGATACTTGATTTCTTTTGATTGGCTGATTTACAGAATTTTAAATATTAGGAACTGGGCCAGAATCTGCTAAAATTGCGATTCTTATTTAGATGATTTTTATGTAAATCATCGATTTTCGTATTTAACTGATTTAAAAGTTACTTTTTGAGATTCGTTTTTACACGATTTAAAAATCATTACTCGCAATTCCCATTCACGCAATTTAAAAATTCAATATCGCGATTTGTATTTAAGCGTTTTTAAAACCCAATAATGCGAGTTGTATTTAAACGTTTTTGAAACCCAATATCGCGATTCATATTCCCGCTAGTTTAAAATCCAATGTCGCGATTCGTATTCATATATATTTTTAAATTTCAATATTGCGATTCGTTATCACACGGTTGTAATATCAAACATCGATTTTCGTATTTATACGCGGTTTAAACATTACTCGTTGCGATAAGTATTCACGGACTCTAAAAATTATACATCGTGATTCTTATTTACGCGATTTAAAAATTCAATACCGCTATTTGTATTTTCGTGCTTTTAAAATCCAATATCGTGATTCTTATTCACGTGATTTTACAATTCAATATTGTGATTTTTACAGCTATTTTAAAATTGAACATCGCGATTCTTATTCACGCGATTTTAAAATCAAACATTGTGATTCTTATTCACGCGATTTTAAAATCCAACATCGCGATTCTTATTCAAGCGATTTTAAAATCCAACATCGCGATTCTTATTCACCCTATTATAAAATCGAACATCGCGATTCTTATTCACGCAATCTTAAAATCCAACATCGCGATTTTAAAATCTGATATCGCCTTATTCACGCGATTTTAAAATCCGGCATCACAATTCTTTTTCACGCGATTTTAAAATCAAGCATCGCGATTTTGAAATCCAACATCGCGATTCTTAATCTAAGGCCTCTAAAAATTGTGTGAGAAATGAACTTTCTTGTCCTATCAATACTGATGATTAAAAGTCTGCAAAACGCAGTCTACAGATCAGTCATGTTAATAAAAGACCATCGAAAAAACAAAGAACTGATGAGAAAGTCCATATAGGTCCTTTGACCATTAAAGAAATGTTTTTTAAAATGATATGATACATAAAATCGTGCTTATGCATAATTACTCAAAGTTATCTAAATCATTAAAAAAAAATTATTTTAATCAAGATTTTATTTAAGAACATAATTACCATTTATTTATATTTATTTGAATAGATAATAATGTAATCATTATCAGATTGGCTATTGAATTCATAAAATTTTTTCTTTTGCACGTTTAATGCTACAGTTATAAACTTCCTCTTTTTTGTGTTTTTTTCAATCACATCCCTGTATTGTGATTTGTCAAAAATTGTAATCACTTATCTTCAGTCAAATATAAACATTTGAATCTATAAATATACTCATCAATAAAGTTTCGCTGCTGTCTAACAATTTATTGTTAGATGAAAATAATTATTTTTTGTTAGTTTTTTTTAGTATATCAGAATTCTTTTTCAATGAGATATATATTTATAACTATTATTATGTAATTTAGTAAAGTGTTTGCCCAGAAGATAGAGAATCGAACTCCAGTCTGAATGAACCGGGGTTCAGAAGTCCTTCCAGAATCGAATTCCAGTTTGAAAGACCATTCAGAATCGGACTCCGGTCTGGAAGACCCTTCGAAATCGGACTTTAGTCTAGTAGACCCACTGAGTAAATGCAATATACGTGCTCATAAAATCTGTGGAATCAAAAATCCTGTGATCAGTTGCTGTGCATTACCAAGAGTACAGGGATCTAGAGAAAATCTCCTTCCCCTTCAGATCAAAGTCGCCTTGGTAATTAGTGGTATTGCCATCTATATCTGGGGTTCTGAGCTAAGATGTACTTTTCTCTCTTGTGGTACTCTCTTGTCAAATGAACGGGGCACTTTGCTTACTTGTTTCCCAAAAGGCCAATGGTTGCCGAAATAACAACGAACAGTAAAGTATTTTTAAAGAACACCCTTTAATCAGGGAAATTGTTGATGTTCAGAGATTTTTTTTTTCGATAATGAAAGTTTCTGTTCTAATATTTAGTGATATAGTTTGAAAAAATGTATAAAAATTATTGAAATTGTTATTGATATCCAACTGTTTTTTTATTTTAATTAAAACAGTAATGTCTAATCTGCATGCCATATTGAACTGGGTGAAAATTTAATAAAAAAAAGTTTCTAAAAGAATAAAAAAATCCACCTTCTTTTGTCATATTTGAAAAGAATAAATTAGAATAATTATGAACCAATGAATGTTAAGCTAAAACTTAATTTAGTTTAAAAATAGAAATATACTGAATAAAGTAAAGCTAACTCACGGGTATAAAGCACAATAATATCAATCTTTTAAAAAGACCTTATTAACGCTTGATCGCAGTGTCTAAAATATATTCTAATTGATGTTTTATCTGTGAACTCCATTCTCTTAAAGCTAGTGCTGTTCATTGCTAATACGATTGATTTTATTTATAGAAAATTAATCACGCAATCCAACAAACGTTCTAATTTTTTTCCCTTATTGTACCAAAATCAATTAACTAACGTCTAAGAGTTAGAATAAATTTGAATTTGAAGCAGTTTACACCTTTGTGAACGAACTAAATTGCACCAACCTTATATTGATAATTTGGGTATTTATCTAGTTTCTTATAAAAATTTTTTTTAATATTTAGCAAACTAAAAGTACTCTTAAACTTTGATTTAATTAACTTTGAATTTGACTTAATTGATAAGTCGAAAATTAGGATATTTAACTATCTTACAGAGTTGGAATTTTAATCTTATGTTTGAGTTTTCTTCTGCTAAAATCTTTCAACACTGACCTTGACTTTTTGAAATTATTCTACATTTTGAAAAATTCTAATTATTGAGTTAATGCCTATTCTATTATCCCACTCTTTCTTTATGTTTGGAAATATATTTTAATTTCTACATCTTGCACACATAGGATTCTCAATTGCCACCCACCGGATTCTTATTTCTCTTCATTTATTATCTTGTTTAAACCAGTTCCTCAGTCCCTATTGGCTAAACACGTTTATCTAGTGCTTTCTTTTGCACTTTATTCATGTTGGTTAGCTTTATTCATATGTCCAGACCCTTTCATGATGGGAATATATTTTATTTATCAAATATGTTTTTATCAGTTTTATTTTTAAATAAACTTTCTGTTCTAAATTTATATATCTTTATTTTTATATAGTTTTCCTACATTAGCAACTCAGAAGGTATATCAGAAACCTAATTCTCACATAGTAAGTGGTTCGAAAAATCCAATGTGTTTATATGTCCTCGATATCAGTACTGCTACAACCAAAGGCCATGTGACTTGGCGACCACTCAAGAATGAATCTCCCTCCGCTCCCGAAGAAATAATTTTGTATTCTCTTGTGCTTGGTAAAGGTGAACTTATTATGTTTGGAGGAATACAAAAAGATTTGAACTCTACTCAACAGGAAGGAGAAACCATACCTGAAGTAGTTTCTAATTCTTTGCATTACATGACTGCTGAAAGATTTGTTATTTGATGAAATTATTTCTAGACTTATCATGTTTCGAGTTGCACCAGTTTTAGTTGTAAATAAAAGGTTGTTGAAGACGTTCTTTCCCATAAATTTAATTGTTGTAATGTTTGGATTGATATGTCTGCTTTACTAAAAGATTTCAAAACTGTTATTGCTTATCTTTAAAATCATAATACAATAATGATATGTGTTGTTAATATGAAATGGCTGCTACATATGAATATTCTAGTAAATTTAAAGGCAATAAGATGAGATCTTGGTTGAAGGACATATTAAGTAAACTTACAAAAATAAGTTTTAGGATGTTTATAATTATCGGGAAGATGTTAACTAATTAACTTTTCATCATTGAGAAATGTGTTATTCAAAATTTTATTAGAATAAATAATGTTCTGTATTTAAGGATAATTCAATCAATTGTAATTTCAAAATTTGACTGTTTTTAAAATATTAGATGAATTAAATTTTAGAATAAGTTTTAATTTATATTCACTTAGTTGAAGAACATATTTAGTTATTTAAAAAATCAGTTTTAGGCTAAGTAAAAATGTCAGGAAGATCAAGTATATCTACTTTTTTCATTAAAAGATGTCTTATTTAAAATCTTACCAGAATAAATAATGTTCTATGTTTAAAGATGTTTCAATCAACTGGATTCAAAATAGTAGAGGTATTAAATTTTAAAATAAGTTTTAATTTATGTTCACTTAGTTGAAAAACATATTAAGTGACTAAACTTGCAAAAACCAATTTTAGACTGTGTAAAAATGTCTTAACAAATCAACTATTTTTATCGAGAAATGTCATATTCAAAATCTTACGAGAAATAATGTTCTGTATTCAAATATATTTTAATCAATTGCAACTTGAAAATTCAAAATATAACACATCTACTGTTCTCTAAATAGTAGATGTTTTATTTTTTAGAATAAGTTTCAATTTATGTTCACTTAGTTGAGGAACATATAAATTGACTCAAGGAACTTACAAAAATCAGTTTTAGAATATTTAAAAATATCAAGAAGTTAAAATAACTTTTTTTATTCCAAAACTTAACAGAATGAATTATTGTTCTATACTTACAGTTAATTGCAGCATTTTCTCAAACTTTGAAAATTAAGTGTTATCCAAATGGAATTTAATATGTTCTTTGAAAAAGCTCCTCCGTTAAGAAACATATGACTATTCATTCAAATTCAAATGTTAATTTATGTTTGCCGAATGAGAGAAAAAAGAAAGACGTTGATTAACGTACATGTCTAAACCAGTGAAATGACACCAAAAGTAAGCAAAATTTTGACTGTTAGTAAAAACTTTTAGTGTGGTATATTACTGACTATTTCTTTGGATGGGAAGTAAACAGTTTCCTTTTCTTTTTTTTACCATAATCTAAAATAATTCTTAAATTTTTAATCTTTCACAATATTGAAATAAGAATCTTACTGCAGACCATATACATGTGTTTACCATAAAAATGTTCTTTTAAATATAAACCTCCTGTATGTATTTTTGGTATTTCTTCTATGTGGTTTGTGAAGCAATAAATAGCAACTATGCAGATGTTATACTTTTGCATGAGCTTTTGTGACTCCTCAAAATGTTTTATCACTTGTTATTCAATGAGAAAATTGTGTATTGAAGAGAAATCACTTTACCAACTTGAGTTTTCAGATCATGAACTACATCTATATTGATTTATAGATACTTTCATAATATTTTTAGAAAATATCTATGTAATATATATATATTTATTTTAACAGCAATAATTTTTTTTAATCTGTTAGTACATGTCTTAATAATTTGTTATTTTTATGAAATTAAAGTGCCATTGAAAAAAAAAAGTTTAAAATTTAATAATTTCTTTTCAAATAGCAAAAAAGAGAATAAATTAAGAAAGGGAGATAAATTTGCAAACAATTGCATCAGTATTTCACTTTACCAACTTGAGTTTTCAGATCATGAACTACATCTATACTGATTTATAGATACTTTCATAACATTTTTAGAAAGTATCTATGCAATATATATATTTATTTTAACAGCAATAATTTTTTAAATCTGCAAGTACATGTCCAATTCATAATTCCTTTAATATTTTGTTATTTTTATGAAATAAAAGTGCCATTGAAAAAAAAAAAGGAACTAAATTTAATAATTTTTTTTTTTCAAATAGAAGAAAAAAGAATAAATTAAGAAAAGGAGATAAATTTGCAAACAATTGCATCAGTATTTCTCATCAAACTTTTAAATTTAATATAAAATAACCAAAATCAAGAAATTAAGTTTCTTTGATTCTTTTAGTTTATTACAATCCTTTTCTGAAAACCATAATTCAGCTTATTTAATTCTATTTCTCCTTAAGCGTACACTATTGTAAGGTTCGATCTGCTGTGCCTGTCTGTTTACTGGATGTTAAAAAAATCTTTTCTTAAGAATCTTAAGAATTTAATGTCAGCATTAGGAAAATAAGTTACACCTATCTTTTTAACTTAATTCTACTTTTTCTGAGAGTGTGACATTGCATTGTTTGCTGTTTTTAAATATCATGCCTTTGATATTGAGGGTTAAGATTGTAGGAAAATGTAACATATAATGCTTAATCTTGAACTGTATAAATTGTTTAAAAAATATTTTCATGTGTTACTTATTTTTTTATTCATTTATAAGCACAATTAAAGGAGGACAATACTGTGACTAATTCAAGAATGATAAGTTATGTTGACATTTACACCAAAGATACACTTACTGAGATGTCCGGAATAGGTTTCTCAATTTTTTTAAAATAAGATACTCTAAATTGCAAATTTTTTATAAATGTGAATTGAATTTTTCTTATTAAACTTTCTTATTCTACTTAAAAGTAGCTTTAATTTATCAGAAATTTTTTGTTCTGTGCTTAATTTTGTTGTTGTTGTTATCTTTAGAAATAAAAAGATTTTGAATTATAAGCCCAACATAGGCTTGAACTTATCTAATAGAAGTCATTAATCTCATTATGATTTCTATATTCTTACGATTTTATTTTGTCCTTGATTTCCATACACTTTCTATTAATTATTAAATCTAATGTAAATTATTATCTATAAATTATTTAACTTAAAAAGTAATTAGGTGTTATGTCCATAAATAAGTATTCCGAATAAGATAGTTTATTAGGTTTTTCTCTTAGCGAAGTTTGCCTTTATACTGAAACAGATTTCAACCTTTATCTGTGATGTTTAATCTTGGGCTCTTTTCTGAAAAAAATACTATATGTCACAGGTGGGAGGTCTTGGATTTAAAGTGTTTAGGATTTATGAGAAGAGGTTGCTTGAACTCCCAGAACTTATCTCTAATCCTTGTCAAAAATGCTGTAAATATACCTGAAATGGTTGCCTTTTTGAGAAATAGGAGTAGAAGAATACTGGAAATATTCTAAAAATGTCTGCCATTTTTTTAAAAAAAAATTGAAGAATGCTGAAAAATTTATATAAATTAAAAAAAGAGTGGGTGAGGGAGAAAGTAAAGTTTTATGAAAACGTGTATAGCAACATTTATCCGCCATATGTTTATTTCAACGCATTAAACCCAATCACTATTATTTTTAAGTTATCAGAATAATATTTTTTAAAAGCATGTCAGAATTGATGTCACAGTATTGTTCTTTCCTCAATATATAGCACCTCTTTCACCTGTTTTTATTTCATATGGGTTGTACTTGTGTTCTTTTTGTATTGTTAGAAGTTGTGTTTTGTGAAGTATTTTAAATATTTAATAATTCTATATCTATACAGACTATGCGTTTATCTCATAAACGTTTCAAGAGAATTCTCAAGTTACACTCATTAATTGCATTTACTTGTTGAACAAAAAGTATTTCTTTGTACAAGATTACAGGGGTGCAGAATAGGTCGGATTACACTAACAAGTTTAGGGGGAAATTCAGGCAGCCCAGGATAAATTTGGGTTTAAATAAATTAAAAAGAAAGAAGACTGGAATGGAGAATTATTCACTCAGAAAAAAGTCTTAACAAGAAATAAAAACGAGGATTGCCGTTATAAACAAAATTCCTTCCTCGCTTTTCATCACACGTCTACCAAAAAACATTTTCTATTAAAGAAGAAAATTAAGTGATTAACTTTTATGTCAAATCTATTGATCTGTTAAGTGTAACACAAATAAATATGCACATTTGTCTATTTATTAGTTTGTATTCCTTTAGTTCATGAATGAAACCATAAATTTATTTTTATGAATTGCTATTTCAATATATTTTAATTTTTATTATTTTTAACACTGATGCTAAGTTATTTAAGAACTGCATGAAATCAAATGATTTCTCTTTCTTACTTAACGAAAAATTTATTTTTAAAATTTTTTAACAATATGCAAACTTAACTTTAAAAAAAAAAAAAATTGAAAAAGCTATTTTGTAACTATAAAAAAAAAAAAAATTTGCTATAATGTTGGGGGAAATTTCAAACCAAAAAACTGCTCCTTTAGGAAATATTAGGTTCCGTGAATTTTTGCACCTCTGCAATATTAGTGTATGATATTTTTGTCTAAGATAGTGATATAATATGAAAGCTTTATAAGTTATTATGCAAATAGGCATCTATATTGATTTATGTTTATGTACTTAATGTTAAGAGGTGAAGTATCTTAATTGTCATTTTCTGTTCTCCAAGATTTAAAAATTTAATGTAAGTACGAATTAACTTAAAATTTGAATTTATTATTATTATTAAGGTTTAACAAAAAATTATTAGGTATTTGTGATTCCGAAATTATGGAAATAATTAAATGATTTTTGTTTCATTTGTATCAGTGCTTTGTTAGTATAAATTTTTAATAACTATTATTGTTTTGTCAACTAAACGATATGGTTATGTAGTTTAATTACAAATATGCAAAACAATATTACATTAATAGTAATGTACAAACTGATAGTTAACATTGTTTGGTATGCGTATTTCTAATATGCATACCAAACAATGTGGTAATTTAAAACTTTTGAAATCTAAAATTGATTCTGATTTGTTATAAAATATTGTAGATTACTTTAACTTTACTGTCTATGTGCTCACGCTTGGAGAATGAAAAATTGCTCACCCCTGTAAAAAGAGTCAATTCTAATGATTGTAATTTTGAAATTGATGTGATTTTTCAATGTTACGTTTAATGCATTATGTGATTCTAGATATACATCTCACAATAATTGTAAATTATATACATATATATAGATAATTTGTGCTGTGATAAGTAGAAAAAAAAAAGATTTTGTTGATTAAAAGTCCAAGATTTTTTTAACTTGTTGTGGTTGATATCTTGGTATCCTTCTCGGTCTATATTTCTTTTTCTTAGGCTCTGTGTTTATCAGTTGGTTTTGCAACTGCGCCCGTGACTTGTTAAGAAATTCTATATCCATTTGATCATCCAAATAAACACTGTTAATAAAATCCAATAATAAATCTACTTTCCCATTAAAAGAATCTATTATATTGTTATCTTCCTTTTTAGCTGTCGCAAAGACTACCGGTGCAATCCGACTCTGTTCTTTGCCAATGCCTAACATTAACTTAAGTCGTCTAATCATGAATTCCATGAGTTGATACGCATCACTTTGTAATGCTGTATCACGCTTAACATCCTCAAACGACTGTATAATAATGGTTAATAGGATATTCACCAATATGACAGAGGCTGTTAAAGCAAATGTGAAAAATGCTATTGGTGCTAAAATAGGTGATGCTGCTTCCATATCATGGTAATTAAACTTCTTTAACAGCATGCTTATTGAAGATTCGAAAGAAGCCAAAAATGAACAAAATTCCCTAACACCTCGTCCAAGAGTCATCCAGAAGAGACAGACAAAAGCAATGAAGGTTATAATAAGGCAAACACTGTAACCTTTAAGTTCTTGAACGCACAGCCTGACAGTAGAGATCATGCCCCCAATCCTTTTGTTGAATCTAAGTAGTTTGAGAAATTTCAGAGTAGCTAAGGACATTAAAAACCCGATTAAGTAGCAGAAAGCTTCATCAAGTAGCAATGCTTCTTGGAGCTTGATATATCCCGTTCCTTCTGTTTTTGTAAATATAGCTAGAATCTGCTGCGTTATGATCATTTTGTAGATTTCTACACCGATGATCGAGTATGCTGCCAAGATGTTTGCTATTTCTGCTATATTCCAGTATTCCTTAAAATATTTTTTGCCCTGCTTGCAAGCACTTACAAATGCGCAAATCGTGTAGTATATTGTAAAAAGAATGAAGCCAATTTGGCAGAGTAGAATTAACAGTCCAGCTCCTGTGTGGTAATGAAGTAGTTTGATTGGATCAATGTGGTAGTAAGGTACCACACCACCCCCTGGCAAAAACTCAGCAACAATGGTTAACACCACGAAAAGATTCACCTGAGGATTATATGTCCCAAATTCAACAAAAACAGCTCTCGTGTCCTTATCGATCCAGCCAGTTTTTTCAAGGTGGTCCATTTTAGATATGAGTTTCGCACCATCAGTATAACGTTTAGTAACGAGTGGTACAATATAACCACCACCTCCATACCAATCCAGCTGTCCCCAAAAGGGAAAACCATTGAGGTCTTTAGCTGTCATGTATTTGTATTCTGGTGGCACTCTAGAGCTCATTGTTAAATTTGAGTGCCAGAATTTTTTATAAAAGCGATCGTCTTCATTGATGACATTACCAAAACCTGCACATTCATCGATGATGTTTTCTACTTGATAAGGGACTGTGCAGGAATCTGTAAAATAAAATCATGACATTTAATTCATGGTTGCTATGCTAAATACTTATCATAGTGCTCCTCGAAGGTAAGTATACCCTTTATGGTTTCTTATAGAAGTTTAAATTATTGGGTTATGTGAAAAATTCATTTTAAAATTTATATATACAACCGGTAGCAGAATTTACAGAGTCTATCGTGGAGAGCAGTGCTATCTTCGAAAAATCAAATTTGCCTGCAAATTTCTCCCAGTCAAGCTGATTATTGTTAAATTTATGCTTACTCTCACTTATATTTAACACAATTTGCAAGTATTAAATATAATATGCACAAAAACTTGATGTTGTTTAAATTTTAATTGGAATTTTATGCCATCATACTTGAGCTTTTTTCAAAAGGTGAGAAACAGATGCTTATGCTTAGCCCAATTAAGAAATCAGAAAGAAAGGATGACTTGTAGTTGATAATATTAAAAGAAAATCTTTTCAATTTATAGTGTTCTGATGTATACCTCTTTGAAACTTTCTTCAAATTATTTGAATCAAATTTTCGTTACCCTACTCTTACAGGTACTTTGCAGACAAATGAAATCTTTTTGTTTTATCTTTAATTTTTATTTGTACTCGATTTTTTCTGGCAGCAATTTTTTCTCCATCTCTTGTTTTTAAAAAATCTGAGGTGGAAACAAAAGTCTGCTACATCCGCTGCCATCCTAAAGGCTTGCTGATACCGGATGATATATATATATATATCTGTGTGTGTGTGTACTAGAGTGCTACAGTTTTTTGTCAACCTGTAGAATGCATTTTGGCGTTTCTGGGCTTTTTTTTTTGTAAAGTTTGTCGTCATAGTTTTTAATTGAGCCAATATATTAGCTATACCAGATATCGGATTTTTTAATCTTTTTGCTATTTAATGGTAAATCTAACCTTAGGATATTATCTGAATCTTTGCACGCAGTTCATCTGAATATTCCTTTTTTTTTATATTTGGAGTCAAGAAAGAACTAATTCTACAAAAAAAAAAAATGTGAGTATTAAATCGATAATATACACATAAAATTTTGATTAGAATTCAGTAAATATGCAAATTCTTTACTTATTAGTTAAAATTGTATTTTAGCTAAATATTATAATTATTATAAATAAACAATGAAACTCATACGATACTTTAATACCTGACTAATATAAAATTTATATTTTGTTTAAAGTGGCTTTCGAAGCTCTGACTTTCGTCTCGTGTTTGATAAACATAGTAAACAAATTTAGAAATTGAATAACACATTATTTTACTACATTTCGAATAAACAATCTATATATATTAAGTTTGATCAAAGACTTTTGCACGCTAATGTATCCTAATACGTGTTTAATGTTAGGGTAAAAAAAATGTAACATTATAATTTATTTTCAAGATAATTATTTCTTTGTTATAATGACATATCTAACAAAGAGACACTATAGTGTTAAAAGAAATTTCTTTTAAAACAAGTCCGTTGCTTAACAACGGGCTGGGAAAAATAAAATATTTTCTGACAAAAACAAAATTATTTTTTACTTATTAGTCTGCTTCAAAAAAAGAGTATTTAAATTTTTACTTTATGCTTTAATTTTTTACGATTTTTTTGACTAACAATGCCTCTTATAAAAGCCGGAATTCAAAGACAGCGCTAGCTAATTGAAAAGATAAAAAAGTTTCATTGTTCCTTTCGTCAATTGCTAACAACGTATAATAATTTTGTAAGTAGCATTTTGCTTCTGTAGCTTTACAGACAGTTGCAGGCTAAGGCTATCTGTAAAAAGTTTTATCGATTATTTGATACCTGTTCTTGCTCTGACTTGTCTAAGAACTGGATATCCAATCTTGAAATTATTTCTATCATCAAGGTATAAACGCAACCCTAAAGGTGGTCTTCCGTTATACCACTCCATGGCAAACAACTCTGGTATTAAAGAATGCCGAGTCCAATTCCAAAATCTAACTTCGGTATTCACCTTAAAAGATATGTATATAATATCAGAAAAATACAAGCAAAACAAGGAAAAAATAACAATCTTGTGGGGGGTGAGTTGTTAACCTTCGTCTATGTAAAGGTACCCCACCGTAAATCGAGTTAACATGTCATATATGCTAGTGAATTGAAATTATATTTTTGTAGTGGTAGTTACACTACAATCTCATCAACTCATACTATTATATCCGCAAAAATAGTGCCTTATATATAGAGAGTGAGAGAGCTAAACGATTGGTTTTTTACATTTGGAACTTTTGTTTTATTACATGTTTGTAACGACCGCCCTTGATGCGATTCATATTTTCAGAATCCTTGTTAAAAATGTAATCAATGATGATATTAATATGTATTATGATGATATGAATGTATTATTTTAATTAATAGTACAGTATTTTTTACTAATAGTGTAAAAATGTGGAACAAACCAACAATAAATAATAAAAGAAAATTTTTTCTCCTCCCCAATCCCAGTAGTGGTGAGGAGGAGAGGTGAGTGCAAACTCGTTTCAAGACCTCTGTTATTGTGCCCCTAAATGTTGTTTTTTCCTTTATATGCGAGAACCACACCTGACCTTGGGGGAATGGTTTTCCTTTATGCCCCAATGAAAGCTAGACTTCTTTCCCTACGTATATCCTTCGGTTAAAAGAGGGAGAAATCCCTGGACAACCCAGATAAACAATCTGGTTCGTTGAATTTACCGAAATTAACGTTATTTATACTTATCATATAAAATATTAGAGGAAAAGTAATTGATGCGTTTAAAATTAGTAATTAGTTTTTTGACTTTAAATTACATTATTTGAAGAATAGCCAGAAAATAGATTCAGTTAAATCTTTAAATTGCAGAACTTACATTATTGAAATCATTCCACAGATCTCCTGGTTTAATGAAACCATTAATCAGAGCCTCGCGAATGAAAAAACTGTTGGGATCTCTATTTCCGTAGCTCAGTATCATTAGAATCCACAAATAAAGAATATATGCTCCCATTTCTCTGAGAACTTGATACATCTGTACTTCTTTTTCTCGAAGCTTCCTCGCAGCGTCCAGGGAATGGGGATCTATGGGTCGATACTTGGGCCTCTGTACAACAACACCTGTGTCTAAAAAAGTGAAATATGAGATTAGGTTTTAATTCTTTATTGTTTTTGTTTCTATTAATTCGCTTTTCCCCTGAAAGGATGAAATCTTTCAATTGAATTATCGACCACTTTTCATTTAGTAAGAGAAATCTAATTTCTAATTGAATCTCATGACCAATGAGAATTCAATCGTTCCCTGACTTTCCAAACAGTTGATATATATATAACAGTAACAGTCAGGGAAGGATTTAATTCATATTATTGACAAAAAGAATTGTTCGTCAAACGAAATTTTTACCACTTTTTAACTAGCTAAAGAGCTCAAATGTTAACTGGATATTTATGCCTGACGAAAATACTATGTCCATGTATGAAGAATATTTTAAAGTTTAAGAAACCCAATCTGACTGGAGAAAAGGTATGCTTGTTTAGTTAAAATGTGCTTTTGTGTCTGATTTCGTAACTTAAAATATCTTCCGCGCATGTAAGTTAGTACAGCAGTTCCCAAAAGATGTTCTGTGGATCGCTAGGGTTTCGTTGAGAGATCACAGGAGTCACAAGAGCAAGACCATCAATAAAAAAAAACAATTATGAGTTTGGAAACGTGTTATATTTATATCGTATCAAAACAATCCACTATTTAATATTTTGGTCATTTTTATAAAATTATTTAAGCAAAATGTCAGGGAAAAAATTTTTTTATTTTAAAATATATTTTTTTCTAATAGCCAGAAAAAATATTCTTTAGTTTTGAATTTGGTTATTTCATTTTGAAAAATTGGAAAGCTCAATCAATATTTTTCATAAAAATCAATAAATTGTTATTGAAAAAGAATATACTTTTTTTTTTATATTTTACTCATTCTTTTTTCTTAAAGATTTTACTTAAAATATTTCACTTAACCAACTGAAATATTATATTAATTATCAGTTATTGATTGAATATAAATAATTTTTTGCTGGTTAAAAAAAATCCGAACTCTAAGAACTTATGTGATCTTTCCACGGAACTCTAGGGTTCCACGGAACACCCTTTGAGAACCGCTAATATACAGTTCCATTGCCGGAACCACTAGGCTAGTGTAGCCAAAATTTGACCCTTGAATTAATAAGATTGCATATTACTACATGAAAATTTAATCATTAAATCAAAAGTTTTTAAGCTATTCTGTTGCTAGTTTCGCACACCAACTAATCGTTTTAGATTCACGATTCTTTCCAATGAGTTAAATATTAGGAATTTTTTTCTCTTCAAGTAATTTTTATTAAAAAAAAAGTTCCAGGATTATAAGCCGTTCCAGAAAACAACTCATTCTCGCTCAAGGAGATTTGTGAAAGAATTATAATATTAATAAAAAAGTTTAAACTTTGCTGCGTTGTTTGCAAAAATACTCTGTTAGAATATTATTCCCAACAGATGATACTCTCAGAGTCTTAACAGTTAGGGGATTAAATAAAGAGGATTTTAAAGATTTAAAAAAATCGTTACTCTGTCAGAGTAGACCGTCATTCTACTCACGAACGTCGTGCAACCATTCTTCATCCTCTTTCAAATAAGGATCTTCTTCATCGTCATCCAAATCATCGTCAGCAACGTCAGGATTTCCACACACGCAAGCCATAACTAATGCTAGTAGAAAAATCTGCAGAGAGGACAAAAAATTTAATTTTCAACGTCTAAATATATTCTTTTAAGGAATTAAAACTTTATTGGAACGTTTAAGAAAAATATAATTTAGGATGAGATTACATTGAGTTTTTTTTTTTTTTTTGGAACAAATTTAAAGCATAAATTATGAATTTAAAGTCTTAGATTTTTTTTCATTAATGAAGCTCTGCGTTGACATTTCATTAACTTTATTACTGCTCGTTTTGTGAAATTATTTTACTTTGTATCCGGTGTTGAATAGTCAACACATTTTGGGGTTTACAATCATTATTCAACTTCCCATGACTTGTGATTTTCAATCCAAGACAGAAGACAAGGAAACTCCTAGATCAATCAAACATTGAAATAAAGTCTTCATGTAAGACTTTTTGATGAAAATAACTTGCACACGCGTTACGTGGAGAGACAACCATGAGCATTCCTCGGTTAGCCCGATGGCAAGGAGACTCTAACCCAGAAACCTTCTACTATCGTCAAGGTTTTTAAGTCAATACTGTGGCTGATACGGAATTTGTATCTACCAACCATCGCTTGGATTCAAACCTAGGTCACTTCATTGGGAGGCGAGCTCCTTATCCCCTGCACCACAGCTGGTTAAGGGAAATTAGAAATTAATCTTATCACTAATGAATATAGTCCAGTTTTTTTTAATCAATATTAACGGATGAAGTATTGGTTCATATCAAAAGCAGCTCAATCAAAAATAAAATAAAATTTTGACACACCCGAAAAATGTAATATTTTTCAAATTAAAATTATCTTACAATAACGAATGGGCGTCTACTTTGTTTTCCAGAAAAATTTACAGTTTAAAAGAATTTAATTAAATAAAAGTTTAATCGTTATTTTTCTCTCTTGTAATTTTTCTAAATATGGATAGTAGATACAGTTAGCTTCTTGTTAAAACTTCATACAAAATATTCAGGAAGAAAAAAAAACATGCAGCGTGGTTTTTAATAACTTCCCATAATATATTTTTTTTTCAGTCCTTGTCAAAAAATAAAAAAGAAAGAAGCAAGCTCAAAGGAGGTTACAAACTAACAAGCAGAGCCATGGTGGCTCAGGAGATAGAGCTTTCGCCTTCTAATGAGGTGAACCGGTTCGAATCCTAGCGATGGATGGTCTATACGAATTCTGCACGCAGGTCGCACCGACCACTGTGCTACCCTCAGTGGTAGACAGATTATGGGTTAGAGTCTCTTTGCCGCAGGCTTACCGCGGAAGGTTTTCGTGGTTTCCTTTTCATTCAACGCAAATGTGGGTTAATTATATCAAAAAGTCATCCACAATTGATCCAGGAGCTCTCTTTTGGATCGGGTTGAAAATTACAAGGTTTCAGAGATGAATATTGGTAATCGTAAACTCAATATTCGGTCGGCTGGTCAAGACGGTTATGAAAGTGACTTGTATTAAGAAATATTTGATCCAGGATTTCCCTTGTCTTCTGGATTGGGTTCAAAATTACGAGGCTACGGGGTTGAATATTAGTAGTCGTAAAACCAAAATTGGGTCAGCTGTCTAACGATGGTTATTAAATAAAAGTAATAAAAAAAACTAATATTTAACTTGAGAAAAAAAGTTAATCAAAATCTGACTAATCAATTAAGACAATTGAGGAATGCAAATTAATGAAACACCGAGATTCGTTTGACTGTAGGAGGAAACAGTGAGGAGTTGAAAGACGATTACAGCAATCATCTTCCAAGTTTCAGCCTTGTATCAAACCGCTATTAATGCTCCCGTGCATCCACCTTCCTCAGTAATGATTGGTCAGATTTAGACAGCGTTTTTCTCGCTTCAATATTAAATTGTATACTTATTTTGGTCTTAATTTGAGATAGGGATTCTAAAAATATGTGTTATGGGTAATCCTTGCGGAACGACTTATAAAGTCATAACTATTACTTTGAGAGGCTCTGTCAGAAAAACTGAAGAGAAGAAGGCAACAACTAAGGATGTCAGCCATTTTCTAGTCTTCTCATTTCCAAATTGCAATGCGTAAGCCCAGATAAAGAAAATACTACAGGCAATCGATGCAATCACGAAGAGCCATCCTATGTAAGAACACCACCAAGGTAACAAACATTTCTTTTTCGAATGGTTTCGCCAATGAACTTCCTCTTCTAATTCCACAGCTTTTGTTTGTCTTCGCTTGCTTTTTTCCTGGGAGTTTTGCAGTCCATATTCCTTTCTCCATCTCTTGTCTATCAATGAACGAAAATAGTTAATTTTTGCATGCATTTATAATTACTATATTTTTATTTATTTACATTTTGTAGTTATATTTTTTTATATTTATTAATAATCATCAATCTTCAATTAGTTTTGCAAATAAGTGCATTGATAGTGATGTTAAGATAGTGAGAAACTAAAGCGAAGTTTTCAGGCGAGAATGGAAAAATAGCAAAAGATTATACAGATTGTTCTATAATGACCGTTCTTAACATGTTCTAATGTTTGTAAATAGAACATGTGTCTCAGGGCAACACGATTTTACCATTCTCTATAATTTTCCCTTCTCCGTTAACATGGTTATGACAAATGTAGCTTTTTCCTACGTTTCAGTGAGAAGTTGGAATATTCTATGGATGTTGTGGGGAGAAAAAGCAAGGTTTGGCGATATCATGGTAATGACTGACCTTTCAATATCTTTCATAGATGCCACCGGAGACTGCCGGACTTGCTCTAAAATGCTCAGCATCCATCACTCAGTCATTATTACATAAAATACAATTTGGGGTAGTTAGTAATCCAAATCTATGTAGATAACCAGAAAGGGCGCCACGACCTGTGTGCCAGCGTGTTATTTATTGCAGTAATCTCCAACTCCCGGGCTGTGAACCGATTCCGGTCCTTGAATCAAAAGGTACCGGACCCTCCAAGGAACTTTAACTGACTTTACATCTGACTGGCCTGTGAGCATATAGGCCAATATTTCCCAATCATCTGTAAACTATTTGCCTTTGGCGTTCTTGGCGAGGGGGAAGGTGGGTATATGCCCCCTTAATTATTAGAAATCTCTGAATGTCCCCCTCAATATTTCAGAAAAAGAAAATTATATGATTCGTGATAAAAATAATTAATCTCGTTTTAGATATTTAGCACACGTAAGAAAAGTTTTTCTCATGTGTTAAATTAAAAGAACTATTGTGAGTGAGTAATTTATTGTTGTCTCCCTCAAAAATTGGACCAGTGCGATGCCTATGCTTGAAACTATGGTACCGTTGGCTGCAGATATTTGATAACACAGTTCGGATGTTGTGCTACGTCTGTTTCTTGTGGCAGTTACTGCCAAATACCGTTTCTTCATTCGGCGTTGTAACTCGGAGGCGACAGATATTTCAATCATCTGCGAATTGTTGTCATACCTAAAGCTGACACTTTGGGCAATTCCAATTTCCTAGAATACTTCCATCTGAGTACGCCTACGTTCCAGACGGCCAATAATTCTACCACGTAAAAAATCATAGACATGCGTCTTCTATGTCATAACTATTCAGATATGACACAGATGTGGATGATTAGAGCGCCTTACAGAACGCTTGTGAATAATTTTACTTCGTTGTCTCCATTCCTAATATATCCCTTTCTTACACTCTTGTCATTGTAATGTACTACCGGCGTCATCTGGTAACTTCCTGTAAGTTGTATATTATTTTTGACGATGTGTATGATAATTCTACAGGGAAAATTTTTACTTTAAAATCCGATTTCAGTGTGATTCTGAATCATCATTAACTTAGGAACATGATCTCAACTTTATGGAACTCATTTTTGGTGTAAAAAAGGGGAAAAACATTTCCTTTCCTTAAACCTTTCATTATATTTGAACTTACATTGATTTCCTAAGGCAATGTTGACGTGTGATGGACGAAGTTTGCGAACACGAGATTTTCTGAACAATACAATCATTATAAAACTAGGTGGAAAAACTATTAGGTTCGCCAGAAGTCCAATGCCAATCTATTATAAGAGAAAAACGGTTTTAAATAAAATGATTGGGTATAAATGTAATATAGAATTTAAGACAATAACTAGTGGATCCTACTTGTTCTGGGCTCAGTTGTAAAGGTCCGAGCTTGAAAGCTCCAGGGCTCGGTTGTTCTGGAACCGTTTCGTACCACATAGCATCTGTAAGCATTGATAGGTAAAGCATAGCCATGCAACAAGACAGTCTCTGGAGTCTTGTGAATCGACTTCGTTCCGGCCTTGTGAAAACAGATAACCACAAGTGATTGTCTGTCAGGTTTCGTCTGGAAGCATTGGAGAAAAGGTGGGAAAATTCCGTTGTTTGTTCTTTACCTGCCACAGGTATGAGATAATCAATCTAAAAAATAAATAAAATTAAACAAAAAAGGAATAACTTGCTTATTTTTTCTTTTGACTGAAATAAATAGTTAACCAGATTAACCCCTTCCTTCTCGCGCCCGTGAAAATGACGGGGTGAGGTTTCGTCCTCTATTTCTCGCTCCCGTGATATTGACGGGCTGGAGTGTTCAGTAGTAACGCGCCAATGAGAATAAAACTAATTCATTTCTTTTGTCCGGAAAACATTTTATTTCTCATTTTACTCACTAGATGGCAGTACCAGGATATTTTTAAGATAATTGCAGATAGTTAGTTTAATTTAAACTAGTTGCAGCACTAATCAAATACGTAATACAAATATAAAAGCCAAAAAATAGGCACTTTTATGACCGTTTTCTTGAAAATTAACCGATCGTTAAGGGTTAAGATACGCCCAGTAGCTTTTCCTTTTTTTTCTTCATATTTTTGCATGTGGAAGGTGCTTTTTTACGTCTCACTAGAGCTACACAATGGGCTATTGGCAACTGTCTGGGAAACGTCCCTGAGGATGATCCGAAGACTTGCCATCGCAATTTTGATCCTCTGTAGAAGGGATGGCTCTCCTACTGTGGTATAACCTGACAACCTGCTCGCGAAGTCGAGCTTTTTACGTTTTATTGCATGAGATCGTAGTGATTTTTTTATGCATATGGTAACAAATTAAGCTCCCGATTATCCGGCTAGTGACTATTTGATTACCTGGTAAAAAATAAGAGTATAAGAACTCGTCACTTGCGAAACTAGCCGCAATAGGTGTCGAAGGTAAAATTAAGGAATACGAAAATGGTCGTCTGTACATTTTGACTATTCCTAGTCATAAAACTTCACATATGTGTAGTTTATTGAAAAACTTTGAGTATTTTTGAACGAATTATATATCTTAAAATGTGCAACATTTAATTTTACTTTCAAAGATAAGTGGGTAAGAAGTGGAAACTCGTGCTATCCCGCTATTTTGTTATCCGGCCCTACTTTTATACCACATTAGGCCGGATAATCGAAAGTTTTGTATTTACACTTTTTTAATACATAGCATTGTTTGAAAGCTAGCTCGAAAAACACAAAAACACCCTATTTCAAATCACGTTTTTTTTTATTATTACCTAGAAGCCGAAGCTCACTTACGCGGACGAAAAAACACACAAGTAGGTTCTGAATTTGAAGAAACGAAAAGTGGAGGTCAGCTGAGGTTTGTACCACCTTAAATTACTAGTTTAGGCGACGCATGTGGGCACACTAAAGGATCTTATAGCGCGGATTGTTGTCGCTTCAGCAGGCATCTAAAGTCCACCTGGCATCTTCAAGAACGTTCAGGAATAATTTTTACATCTTTGTAGACTGTACAGTAATATCAGAGGGTGCCATTTCGAACATTTTTTGTAAAAATTAATCAAATAAATCTTTTTGCTGCTAATAAGTTTGTAATGGCTTTTGTAGTTGTTTTTCAGATTAAAGTTGAAATCTGCATAGGTGTTTCAATGCTTTTCACCGTCTCATTGTTATTTGTGTCGTCAATGCTCTCTGGTTGAATTTGATGTCTTTTATCACCCCTTTGAATTTGATGATTGAATTTTGAAACACCCTGTATATTCAAACCATTCTCAACTAAAATATCATTAACTATAACATTAAGTGCTCTCAAAGTATTTGAATTCCTATTTTTGTCTATGTTTTACATAATTATCATTCATCAAACCTCAGACTCTAACATAAAACTATAAAAAAAGCATTTTTGTCTCACCAAAACCATTTAAATTTCATATCTGTCACAAATAGAGCAAAAGTTCTAATTAAAAAAAGTTCTTTACTTTTAGGCTTACGTACCACTGTCAAGTATTTCAAAATACGTTTTAATGGCATTTCCTCTGTACGATTATTTATAATTGGATACCTGGAAGTGACGTCATCGGTCTTGGCCAATACAGTGGCTGCACGCATAACAGTTAGTGCAGCGGTGGCTCAGAGACAAGACTTTCGCCTCTCAATGAGGTGACCCAGGTTGGAGTCCCAGCAGAGGCTGGTTGGTACGAACTCTGTTCTCAGATCGCACTGACCTCAGTACTGACGTAAAATACCCTCAGTGGTAGATGGATTATGAGTTAGAATCACCATACCGTCGGGCTAATCATGGGAGGCTTTCTTGCTTTTCTTCTTTTTGCAATGCGAATTCAATTCGGGTTAGTTCCATTAAAAAATTCTCTACGAAGGCCAGTTTATCCCAATGCTCGATGCATGAGTTCCTTTGTTTTCTGGGTTGGGTTCAAAATTACAAGGCTACGGAGCTGAACATCGAAAGTTATTAACTTAGAAACGGGTCGTCTGTTCAAGCACTGGTTATAAAATGAAATAAAAACTTAGAGCAGTTAGCAGTAAAAGGATTAAAAGTTCTTTTCTTTTCTTACCAAACCATCGCCTTCTTCTACTGCAAACCATCTTTCAGCTATAATTTCGTACTTGTATCCAGTATGAATATCTTTGACAACAATGTGCTTTAAGTACCAAGATGCATTTTTTCCTTTTCCTGAATTATCATGCCATATTCGTAAATAATTCAACTGACCAAGACACCTGAAAGATAGCATTCTTTTAAAAATGTTTTAATGAAGGATGCTATATAATATTAAAAAAATTTTTATAACGCAAGAGTCACTGAATTATTTTTTCTGCCCAGATTGTTCAAAAATGTGCCAATGCTAAATTTCTGAAAAATTAATAGGTTTGTTTAAATGTTTTCGTATTAAAGTAAAAACCGCAATTTAAATATATGACTTTTTCAAAATTTGAATTTTTAGAAACTACCAAAAACCGATTTTGTTCAAATTCTGTATTTTGCCATGTAAAATTACGTACTTTCAAATAATGTAAAAAATTGTATACTTCACATTCAAAATTTTTTCGTCTATAATAAAATAAAGTAATAAAAAATACTTTCTATTTCTTTTTTTTGCATTTAATTTTCTTTGCATAAATAAAATTTATAATCGCTCACAAAAATTTTCAATTACCGTAAACCGGGGCGAGTCTACCCATTTTTTTAGTTTGTCAACTTTCAAGTGGTCAAACTTTTGTAAATATTAAAGAAAAAAGGCTTTTAATAGGTGTTTCAGAATCGCTATTTATCCCTCTTTAAAGCTGTGAAATTGATTTTAGAAAATATTAACAGTTACGCTGTTATTGTATATTTTTATAGAACTGCTGACAAATCTCTCGTATGGGGCGAGTCTACCCATTCTACTAAAATGAATGTTAACATTGTAAATAATCAAATTTTACTATTAAATTGTTATTTTAGTTACTATATAGGATATTTATGAAGTAAAATTCATAACTTTATTATATATTCCATTTTTTTATTCATAAAATAACACAAATTGAGTATTTGATCGATTATCACATTTTGATCACAGTTTTGTTTTTATAATCATTAACATTATAAAATAACATTTTTTTCTGATTATTGTTGATAAAAATAAATTAAAATTAATATAAATTTACAATTAAATAATTAATAAATAATAATAATTAAAGATTATTAACAAAATCGAAATTCAAACATTGGGAATCATGAAAAATCCTTTTCCCATTCTTTTGGGAGGTAATAATAATTTATAAATAATAATTTATTTAACTTGCATTAAATAAAAAAAGTTAATTTTGTAATATAAAAATTGAAAAAATAGGTAAAATAAACATATTTTATATTTACATTTATATTTAACCTATAAATTTTCTTATTAATGATAAATTTATCAATGCAGAATTAAAATAATATACTCAAATTCATTTAAAATGACTTAATTTTAATATAAACAAAGTTCTAAATTATATTATTATGCTTTATTAAAACTAAATACGAATGGGTAGACTCGCCCCGCGAATTCTGGCTTTTTGTTTACAACAGCAAAACTTACATATTTTTTTTTTTTTTTTTTCATATAAAATTAATGTAATCTTAGTCTTAGATAAGTTTATCACTTAACCAAAGTGAAAATAGTAATAATAATAATATACTTACGGAGCACCAACTAAAAGTTTGCTGATTTTCAATACAAATCTCTCAAAAGACGTTCGAACAGGTCGGTTAAAAAGACACCAAATAAATAAAAACGAATCAAACTACTACAGCGCCATCTTCCTTAGAGTCTGAACTATGTCCTCCGTCGGTAAATTTTTTTTATTTGCAATATAAAATAGTGAAAATTAAATAAAACTAAAATGGGTAGACTCGCCCCAGTTTACGGTAGCTTAAAAAGTTCTCGAGATATGGCGAAATACGCAAAAAGTAAACATAACCTTATGGGGTCTAAATTTTGGATCGCTCTCCTGATCAAACTTTGGAAACCATATTTCCCAGATTGCGGCTACCCCCATATTTGCGGGTCGCAAATTCAAATTCGCTGAAAAAATGGTATTTTTTATCCAGAAAAAGTACGTTTTTGTGTCTGATTTCATTCTGCACTAAATAATTAGCATATTTGAGATCACTCCGACGAACCATTAAGTTTGAGTCCTAGAACATGAAGATCCGATTATTAGATCAAAAGTTATTCAGGGTTGTCCGTTTTCTTTTGGCGCACTGTACACATCTTTTGTGACAATTATAATATTAATTTGAATTACTGAATTTCGCAACAGAGGAGTTACCCAATACACCTGGGTGTTTTTATTGGAAGCACGTAAACCATAAATACGAGATACCTTTTTAATATAAAAAATAAAACGAATTTTTCCTGTATACGTAAAATTGAGCAATATTTCCGTTATATTAAAATGCATTAAAATCATCATGACGGAAATAAAACTGTACAAAATGTACTAAACCATCGTTCTATGTTATAAGTACGAAAAGAATACATTCTGGACGGTTTCCCCATAAGTTTAGTAACTTAAAAATAAATAAAAGTTGTAAACTTTCAGCCAATTTGAATAAAGTGCGTATAAGTCATGAATGACGAAATATATTTAAATTTTAAAACATTTGACCACTCTTTGTTTTTTACAATAAGGTTTTAAAAAAAAGAACACGTTTATTAAGTTTGAAATAACGGAAACTAGTTAAAATAAATACCAAGATACAATTAATTTATGTCTTCAAATATTTCTATGCGATATTGAATAAAAAAATTAGTTACCTTTTAAAAATTTAATCGTGGTTAAAATTTAACGTAATAGTCGTAAAAGTTATTAAATTATTCATACTACCTGGGTACAGACATAACAAAAGAATTGAGAGAACCACGTTTGAATATTTCTCGCTTTTCATCAGAGAATGTCCTGACATCAGTTTCGTCATCTTCTCCAGACAGAATAAAGTGGACCTAAATTAAAAAAAAAAATAATAATAATCCGAAGCATTGCACAGTTACTTAAAATTTTAAATAATTGCTATTTTATTATTTGCAATTTTACTGACATACAAACTTTCAAGTACTTGTAGCTTTACTTGGTATTCGGCCAAAACACAAAAAGTTAAGTAGTTGCGTCTCACTCACATAAATTAACTATAAAATTAAAAAGAATTTCCAGAAGTGGTTTATTAACGTATTTTGTCCAGCTATCAATGTCCTTTGATTGCTGTGAAATTTGTATGAGTTTCTAATTATTACCTTTTAACGCGTTGAATGCCGCGGGGTTCATCGGTGAAGTAATAATAATTCGAGTAAATTTTAAATTCTTTTTGTATTATCATCGGTACTAAAAAGATTTCAAGCAGTAAATGCAATTTAAAACACACAAAAATAGTGTTTTTTATATACACAGAGATGCCAACTTGCTCCGGACAGCGAATAAATATTTTCAAGTGGTAGTTTATTATTTGTGATTCTTGGTTTAATAATTTCAATCAATTTTTATCCACCACTATTTCTAAACAATTAGTAGGCTTCTATAATTCACCACTTTTTTCAGATATGTCATGCTAAACCTTTTAAAAAACTAGCAAAATCTGTCTAATATTTGAAAATTTAGTTTGTAGTTATTTACCGTTTGGCCAGACGGGCAAGCCATGTAAAATTAGCATGGCAACATATTAACTCCTGGCGATCATACAGATTATGATGCTAAAAAACAATTCATTACATTTTCATGAAATTTTAAATTTTTTTTAGCTTATATATAAATTTGCAAACCCTAATGTCAACACTAATTTTTACTTCATATTTGGCAAGAATTCCAAAATTATAAAATAAGAGCTGTGATTACGAACACCCATTATGTATGTAAAAAAAACTTCAATTAGCATGCGTACAACAAGCTTTAAAATGAATTTTCTTTGTTTATACATTTTTATTATTAATGCCATTAGTATTTACTGCTAAAGTGAGATTTGGCAGTAAATTGAAGCGTGCGTAGTTTAGAAAGTTTTTCTTAAATCTGGAAGTGAAGTACAAGCAGTAGTCTACTGGGTTAACTTTTGTTCAAGAAACGAAAAAAAAAGTAATTATTACTTTTAATTAATTAATTAAAAAAAGTAATTTATTCATTTATCGGACGGGCCAATAAGTTGCAATATAAGTGGTGATGATTTTCTTTTATTTAGCTATTAGCTCATACAGTAAAATTGTTTTTTGTCTGTTGAGCTAAAGTTACCCACAAAACCTAATATTCCAGTTGGCGGTATAGAAAAGAAAATTTTCCTCAAATCTGTTATATTATGCTAAAAAAGGATTTAATAATATTTGTAAATGGGAAGTCAAAGTTAGAAAATTAAAAAATTTCGTAATTTATTAATCAATATTTTTTAGAAATTTTTTATAGACGTGATTTAGTTTCAAAAAATATATATATAAACATGCATAATTTTGAATTTCGATGACAACAACGTTTTTTGTCTTTTTTTTATTAATGACAATAAGCTAATAAAAAGTTTATACACAAAGAAGTATATTTTCATACTTTTGAATCAGTTCCAGCGTTTAAAGGAAATCCAGTTTGCACTAAAATTTCGTAAAAGTATTTATCTGCCATATCATTATCAGCCAGAGGAGTTGCGCCCAACTATGAAGGAAAAAAAAATATTAAAACACATTATTAGAAAATTAATAAATCTTTAAAATGAAACAGAGCATTATATTTCTGTTGTTTAGGTAAAATGAGGTAACTGACCATTAATTTGGAATTGAATTATGATCAAATCTATTATTCTTAAATTACTTACTTTCATCTAACTAATCGATGAAAAGAAATAACGATTGGTCAATCTAAGAACTACTAGAGGCAAGTTGGAGTTTGTTTTGTGTACCTGGTAACTACGATGCATATTTAGTTTGTTTGTGTTCTACGTGGCTCCGTACCAGTCTTTGTGTTAAGTAAGCAATATATAGTAAAAGAATTGAAATCTTTGTGAAAGTATATAGAATGCGTCACTTAAGAGAATTGACACTTGACGGACTTCGCTTACTCGAAATAGAATGGAAAGAACAGTTGTTAAAAGTAAACAAGTGCCACGTTTCAACAACCAATCAGGATTGAGATACCCACTCTACGTCACTTGCAGGTATCCCATTGAGTACTTGCAACTATAGGAGAAGTAAAGTGATTATGTCTAAACATGTGATTTAAATCAACCTGTAAGCGAAGTCATGAGCATGTGTTAAACCTGATTGGCTTCTGAATTGACAAATAATATGATTTACCAGATTTACCTACTATGACACCATTTGCAGGTAACCAATTATCAGAAAATATCAGAAAATAGCCGAAACTCGCAACGAGAAAGACCAAGATATAATTTCGGATCACGTGTTTTAATGCTCAATTTTTACACTTATTAATTTGTTTTCTTTTTTATGTTTATTAACTGAAACAAATGAATTTTTTCATACTTGTTTAGCTAACATGTTATGAAGTTTCTTAAATTTTACGTAAGAAAACTTTATCCTTAGCTTAAGTCAGTCACAGCGCTAAGTTCTACAAGCTACTAAAATGTTTGTCTAAAGAAACGATCATTGCAACTTTAAATTTTTACTTCATAATAAAGTTCAAATTCTAACCAGAAACAGTTTCAGTTTTAGCTACATAAGAAGTATTTTTTTAGCATGTTTAACACTATATTTCTTCATTTTTATTATTTTTTTTCATTTCTTTTTTCATTTTTATCAGTTCTACAAGCTACTAAAATGTTTGCCTAAAGAAACAATCATTGCAATTTTAAATTTTGAACGAAAATTGCAACTTTAAATTTTTACTTCATAATAAAGTTCAAATTCTAACCAGAAACAGTTTCAGTTTTAGCTACATTAGAAGTATTTTTTTAGCATGTTTAACACTATATTTCTTCATTTTTATCAGTTTTTTTTTCACTTTTTTTCATTTTTATCAGTTCTACAAGCTACTAAAATGTTTGCCTAAAGAAACGATCATTGTAACTTTAAATTTTGAACGAAAATTGCAATTTTAAATTTTTACTTCATAATAAAGTTCAAATTGTAACCAGAAACAGTTTCAGTTTGAGCTACATAAGAAGTATTTTTTTAGCATGTTTAACACTATATTTCTTCATTTTTATCAGTTTTTTTTAAAATTATTTTTTCTTAAAACTGTAAATTTCAACGCAAAAGCAATATTTTCCAGTACTACCTTTCCAATAAACTTAATTCCTGACATTATTGAGATAAGTTTAAAAAAAGCTTTTATCCAAAAATTCAATAAAGAAATACCAAAAGAATTCAATATTTTTTTGTTGTTTGTTTTTACCTGTTCAGAAAACTTATAAAACAAAAAATTTTTTAAGGAATTTCGGACCAAAAATATTAAAAAATATCTTTTTCAAGTAGTGAAAAGAGTGCATTTATAACTGTAAACATATTTCGACAGTGTCAGGTTTTCAATTTTCCTTACTGAGTATTTTTGTCTGTCAAACATGACGACTTTTCATATTTTATTTAAAATTTTTATAAGAAATTCTAGCCTCACATTTCAAGATAAGCTTTATTTAAAATAAACAAAATATGTATCTCTGTAAAATAAACTGAAATTTATATTACATCTCTGTAAAATAAACTGTAACAACTCGATTCTTATAAGTTAAATCCAATATTTTATTTCTATCTTCTTCATACAGAACGAACCTTGGAAAATGTGTGTTTTTTTGAAAAAAATTTTAAACTTATTTTATTAAAATCTATTTTAAAATAATGATATTTTTCAACATTACTGTTTACTATTACTATTCTGTTGCTATTACATTACATTACTATTATGTTACTACACTACTATTCTGTTGCTTTAATTGAACCTCTTTAAAATTTAAAATTTGATTTCTCGCATGAACTTTAAAAGAGTAAATTTAGGTTTTTTAATAAATTTAGATGAAGAAATTTAAAAGGGTAAATTTAGGTAAAGTTTTGCTTTTATCCAGTGGCCAGTAGCAAAATATTTGACTGTGGCCATTTTTTAAGACATTGGCCATTTTTTTAAAAAAAAATCGAAAATTTAAAGGATTAATAAAAACTATTGATATTAATAATGTAAGAAATTTCCTTTGAAACATTTCTCAAAATATGGTAAACATAACAATGTTCGTTTCTAAATTGATGAAAATTTTGAAGAAACAAGCGTAGAATAAAGTTATTTTCAGAATATTATTAAATATTGATTATTCTATATTTATTAAGAATAATAATAATAAACTGCACATGGTTTGTATTTTCGAAGAAAAATGTGGCTATCAGATGGTGACTGATGAGAATTTTCTAATCGCCATTTGTTTTATTTAGTCACCCTATTGCCTGTTGCGAACTTATAGTTTTTCTATAATTTATTTTACAATTTTATAACCGTCGTTGAATAGCCGATCCAATTTTGGATTTTCGCCTACTACTAGTATTCAACTCCGTAGTCTCGTTAATTTGAACACAATCGATAATTTGAACACAAGGGAACTCCTGGATTGAATTATATAGGGAGAAATTTTTCTCTGTGGAGGCCTTTTTGATGGAACTAACCGGAATTTGCTTACTGTACCTCCTCTACGTGCCTTTGGGCACTTAAGGCCTCTAGCATATCCCTCCAACGTCTCCTGTCTCTAGCAATAGATCTTGCTTCCTAACAGCCAGATATTCCACATTCTTTTAATTCGCCCCAAAACATGCGCTGGATGGTAAGTCTGGGTCTTCCTCTTGTTCTTTTACTATCAGGGGCTAGGCATTTGCTTACATGGAGAGGAAAATCGCGAAAACCTCCTACGATTAGTCTGATGGTAAGGGGACTCTAACCCATGATCCGTCTACCACTGAGGATATTTTACGTCAGCACTTTGGTGGGTGTCAGCCGGGTGCAGAATTCGTATCAACCAACCATCGTTAGAATTTGAACCAGGTTTACCTCATTGGTAGGCGAACGCTCTATCCTCTGGGCCACTAAGGCTAATTTTTTTTCTTAATTGTCAGTTACCTCTTTAATCCAAAGGTATATATACAATATTATATAATTTTAACCTTTATTTTAAAGGTATATATACTATATTATATAATTTTAACCTTTGTTTTAAAGGTATGTAAACAATATTATATAATTTTAACCTTAGTAAGATCTTTTCTATCTTTCCATCTAGCCCAAATAGCTAGAAGTACATACGTTGCAAAAGTGATAATCAGCGTCAAATATATTGTCAGGTTATTTTCAAATTTTGTGTTCGCAAAGACATAATCGAAATCAATAGTGTTCGGGGCTACTAAAAACCCACTTCCAAACATGGTCAGGTGATTGCATAGGCAGCAAATCTTGTTAGCTTTCGCAGCATGTACCTGTAAAAATATCATTGATGAATAACATTGTGCTGATTACCATAAAAATTTCAGATCATGGCAAATACTGGGTAGGAAACAAAACATATGTAAAAAGAATTCGTTTTAATTTTTAACTACTATTTAGGTATTAGAAACCTATTAACCCATTAATGCAAATGGGACACCGGTGTATCTTATACATATTTTTTTCCTGACACTCTTATTACAAGGAAATATACATTTTGGTATTTTTTAATTATTATAAAAAACGTTCTAATTATTGCTAAAATGAATTTATATTCTATGTCATACTAGTAGAAATTATATGTAATGCTAGTCGAAGCTTGTTGTTACTCCGGTAGCTTAAAGCAGATCCTATACGGGATAAGACTAAATTGCAATTGGCGTTGCCGGAATTTTCTCGACAATCGCCAAACAGTAATGATGTTTTTGTTTTGCTTTCAGCAGGAATTCGACATTTCATAGTTTTAATGAAGTGGATCTGCCTGAAAATTTCGCGAATATCATTACCAAACATGATGGAAATTCGCTTTTCAATTAATTCATACAAGGATATACAAGTTAATGAGATTAGTCAACACTAGGTTTTCAGTCTAAACTAATAAAATAACTGTTAAAATTCACATAATAATTTTCAATTGTTTTATTTTCCTACTTTCTTTTTAATCAATTCTCCTTAAATAAGATAAACTTAGATATGATTTATATAAAATCAGACATTTTTGTAGAATTGAGATGGATAAATATAATAGTGTTGAAAGCTAATAAAATTTCCTTTTCAAAAAATTCATCAAAAAAAGAAACTTAAGTACAGAAATTTAATCATATTTATAAAATGTTGTTATAATAATTGTACAAGTACTTCGGAGAATTGACAAGGCATATTCGTATTATTTAACGGGTCTATATTGCTTGTAGATTATTTTACTTGACGACTTGCCATTTTCTGACAAAGCAGTAGTTAGTTATTTTTTTACACAGTTTACGCAAAAATTTTTTATGCAAACAACCGTATGAAAATGTAAACTTAAGTATAAGATGCAATGCATATTAATATTTTAAACAACACAAATTCAATCGTATTTAAAAAAAATTATAACTAGAAAAAAAAGTTTCTTACTCAAAAAATCATTTATTGAATCAAAAAATCATTTACAATATAAATCTAACTTTTATCTGTTAGTTATTTCGTTCCTCATAGTAACCGAAACATGTGACAAGTTATGGTTACCTCTATAAAATATTTGATTTTCTATGTACTAAAAATGAAAACAATTCATTTTGAAATAATATAAAATAAACTCTTTATCCAGTATCAAGCATGCATTAAAATATCTATTATTCAGAAACAACTTACACATCTTAGAAGAGAGAAGGTTTCCGCTCCGATCGATTTAGTATTCTGAATCAGCGAACATAAACTGCGCGGTGGGGAAAAATTAAAAGATTTCACAACTTCCGGACTACTAAACTGCGCAGTGGAGGAAAAAAAAGAAATATGTCACTATGTTCGGACTACTAAAAGATTGAAATTCCCGTTTATGGTAACCAGTGTGAAGGCATTCTCGCTTTTAGAAGGTGTATAAACAACATCTCGGAGTTTCATGGTACTTACGAAAAAAGTACCGCACAAAAAGTAAGTATAGAAAAAAAGTACCTTGCAACCGTCTCCACTCCATTCTGATGTTTCTTCGGAAAAGTAATAGCAACCAGTGGTATAAAGGGCTATGAAATAACCAGAAGTAAACGAATTGGTCATGTCACTGCGCGTTAGATTTTTGTCACCTTTGAATAATTCTTCATTTTTAGAAGAACTGTTGGACAAGAGTCCGACTGCAAAAAAGAAATCTTCTCCTTCGTCGCTATCGGCACTGAACAACATGCTATAGCTGTCTGAAAAAAGGAATAAAACACAAAATTTGAACGAAATCGAATGAGAAATGAATAAGCATTCTTGAAAACTTTATTACTCATAAACTATTCGACCAATTTTGTTCAAATTTATTATTTTGTCATTTCAAATGACATTGTTTAAAATTGTGTAAAAATTTGTATATCTTATCATCGAAACTTTGTTCGAGTATAGATAAATCAAGTGTTAAATAATATTTTTTTAATGATAAAGGAATACGATAAACAAATTTTATAAAAATTTAAATTTTTTAAATTCGCTTCAAAACTTCCAGAAATGTGAAAAATTCGCAAAAAGAGAGCAACATAATTCTGTTAAATTTTCAAAGCCAAAAATTTAAAAAAGTGAGAAAAAAGTATGCTTATTCAGTGAATGTAAGTTTTTGTATCTGATATCGTAATTTAAAATCTCATCCGAACTAATAAATTACCATATATGAAGTCACCCACCATTTTTGGGCTCTATCTTTTAATGGACGTGGTAAGAATGATTGTGAACTTAATTGTGAACATATACAGTATGATCTGTAATCATTGCCCGTAGTAAATATTTCTAGAATCCTTATCAGAAAAAAAGCAGGTCACAAATTAATATTTAAAAGAGAAAAAAAAAACAATAACGTTGTAAAAATCCAACGAAAATTCATAAAGGCGATATGAAAATCTTCAAAACCATCTTGATTGATGGATAAAACGTATGTTTTTAATTATCACCTTTCATTCCTCTGTTTTCTCTTGGGCAAGAAAAGGGGTTTTGATGTTTTTAATCTGACTTATAAAGTTTGATTCGTTATGTTTCGCTAACGTTTTCATTTTCTTAGTTTAAATAGTAATACATAAGTACCTCACTTTTGGTAAAAATACGTAAAATATATGTATTACGGGTTGTGTTTACGGGATATCATACATTTCTTGACAGTTAAAAAAATCAAATTTTTTTTTCTAACAATGTGGAATATTTTGAATCTTCTTGATACAATGTATTGCTCAATTTTGCTGCAGCCTTGATATTATGGCAATTTATCTTATGATATTGTGCTTCTTAAACCTGGTAAAATGGATTAATAGAGCTGTTGATTAATAAATGGATTAATTGAGCCAGAACACAGTGCAGTTTAATATTTAAGGATACACTAATTTTGCACCGTATTCCGGGAAAAGGTTGAACCAATTTTGTAGAGAGTGTAAAGAACTTACCACCTTCCTTTGGAGAATTTTTCATAAACTCTTTGCCGTCATGAATAGACAAGGAGGGCTTGTAACCCACCCCATAAAAGAACACAAATGGAGAGTTTTGTTCTTCTGGTCGGAATTCTACTTTCACCGCTGCGCCACTTCCAGAGATACTCAGATGATGGTACACCAGAAAGTCGTCATTGTTGGTGAAAGATGGCTTGACGAACCTCATGGGTGTTCTGCGACCAGCACCATCGTCTGATGGTGGTGTCAGAGACAAACATATCTCGAAGGGATCTTCAGCGTTTTCAATCTTCAATGTTTCGTTTCCTTCTCTGTTGGTCAGAGACAAATCTAACGAGCTTGAATCAGCACTGAGCGACACATCATCTGTACCTTCTGTTTCGAGAATACTTGACCATTTTACAGACTGCAATGAAAATAAATTGGTATTTCAACGAGCAGAAACGCACAGTTTTAAAAGAATTAGAATTTTCTTTCTTTTTTTAAAAAATAAAAAGGCAAAAAAATGCCTTATAATATCTACTGGATGTTCAAATGCAGATTGGTGATTTTAAAAAATAATTTGAAACAAAACAAAAGGTGATAGGTAAGGAAGTAAAAGGAGGCTAGATGATATTATACAGTCTGGTCAAATTATTAGACATACTATAAGATTCTATATAAAATCTCAACTATCAGGTACTATACAGCTTTATTGTTTTTACGTGACTGAAACTGGTTTGCACTTGTTTACGTTCATGTATTAATTGGTTAAATAAGACGATAAATTGAATTAGTTATATTATATGACGATTAGACATATTATTTGGTTTGCACTTGTTTACGTTTGTGTATTAATTGGTTAAATTAGACGATATATAATATAAATTTGACGATGGGTTAAATTAGACGATATATTATATAAATGTAGAATATTTATTATATCAGGTATTCGATTAGTGTATCATAATAATTAGACAGAATTATTAGACGCACTGTTGTTTTTTAATAATTACATGTTTTGCACGAGCTTGTATGCAATACTTTTATACTTAAACATACATGTAATGGGTTTTTATTCAGGAGATTTTTCATATGCTTACTATTTGTATTTATTTTTTCAACGCATTGCATTACAATGTTAAGTAATTGATACACGAACGTAAACAAATGCAAACCGGTTTCAGCCGCGTGAAAACAATAAAGCTGTATAGCATCACCTGATAACTAAGATTTTACATAGAATCTTAGAGTGCGTCTAATAATTTGGCCAGTAACTGTACGTAGAAAGAAAGAGAAAAACTTGATGGGAAAAACTCAGAAAACGATGATTAATTGTTATGATGTTTTTACAATTAAAAGGTTTAGAATTCCCAAAATCATCAGACTTGATACAGAATTTCGGAAAATTCGTATTTGGAAAGTTTAAACTCTCTAGCCCTTCAGAAAAATATAAGGCTACATATTTTTCTGAGGGGTTCAGCATTTTTCTCTAAATTTCAGAAGTATAAAATCTCTTTGTTTCAATTATTATTTTGTAGATTAAATATTTTTTAAACACTAGAAAAGTTATAACGTATGTTCAATTTTCAGCAAATTTTATAACGATTATCAATTAATCTCAGCTGAATAGTATACAATTGAAGAAAATCTAAGAGCACTCAATTAAGACATTTGATTTTTTTGACAGAAGAATTAAAGGTATCTTTTGAATCTCTTTCGCCAAAATATATGAATAAATAAATAATAAATGAATAAATAATAAATGAATAAATAATAAATGAATAAATAAAAGCACAGTTTAAGGGGCTTAAACTCGAACCAAAGTTTCAAGTTTAAGCTTTATATACCATCTTGCCATAAAAAATTATCTTGGCTTTTCTAAAGGTAAAGAATTTGAAAATTAAAAAAAAAAAACTTTTAAAAAAAATTGCCACTTTGGTGAGATTTACCTAGATGAAAATCATTAAAACCAATAAATATTTCACAATTTTGGTAAATTTTTACGAGACTAGACCAGACCAGAAAAGCTTTATTTTTTACATAGTAATTAAAAATTAGGTACCAAACTTTTTTTCTACTATCACAAAACTGTGGCATTTCCTCATATTGATATTCCGCGCTAGTTTTGTCACTTTCTGTCATAAACATAGGCAAAACTTAATGCTCACATAACTGCAACAAATTCCTCACAAACGTCATAATAGCATATTATTCGTTAATAAAGGCTACTACACGTGACTTCGGAGCCTTCCAAAAGCAACCCTAAAAGTAAATAAATATAAAAAAATAAAAAAAACCTTAAACATTAAAGTTTTATATTGAAGCAAGAGAGCCTTGTTTGGAATATTATTAGAAAAAAAAAAGAATGTGAAAGTTTCTTTATAACACACTCATAAACTTAATCTGATTATCCTATAGTATATTCAAAGTCAATCATAATCTGCAAGTATCAAACCCTAAACAATGTTGTGAGATAGAGAGGAAGTATCAGATAGATACCACTAATCCTATAGGAGTAGATTCTTCGCATCCAGCATTTTTCCCGAGAAGGGTACAGGGTCCGGGCATTGTTATTGATGTCTCTCTGTTCTGCATGGTTTCTCCGCCTATCTCCCCAGCATGTCTCCTAAGGAAAAGAAAAAGATAACATCTTCATTAAAAGAACCCTCACAAATTGATCAAATGTCGTTCCGGCTTTTCTTGAGCCCTGGTCAAATCCTCTTTTTCGTCCACTACATGGTCAGATAACATATTTTTTTTTCATTGCGAGATCCTTATTCATTGGGTACTCTTGGGTATTGATGTGCGCTCATTTATTTTCGTTATAAATGATCTGTACTTGCTTGTGAGGCAGTAAATTAAGTGCGGAAAAAAGATAATTTCTTAAAGTGTTTTTAATTTACATACTAGTTCATGAATTTTTTTGAAGACTTATTATAATTTCACATAACATAGCAATATATACTTTATAATTTATAAATAAAGCCCTACCGCTCAGCCCGGTGGCTGAGCGGTAGCGCTTCGCGCTGTCGTGCCACAGGTCCTTGGTTCGATCCTTGGGCCGGGCAAGGCCGACTCAGCCTTTCATCCCTTCAGTGGGTCGATAAAATGAGTACCAAGCATGCTTGGGAACTAACACTGGGGGTTCCGCGTTCGGCTGACCACCTGACCGGAACATATGCTCCTGCACCCCAGAGCCCAAGGTCAAGAAAACTGAGATGGGCACAGTCGGCCTTGGCCCTCTTAATGGGCTGTCGCGCCACTGAGTTAGTTAATTTATATATATTATAAATGATTGAAGAAAATATGCTGAAGTTAGTATATGTTACTGAGGCATTAAAAGTAAGCAAGGAAAAAATATAATTTTAGAATATGCTTTTAATTTACTTTCACTTTCTTAATACATGAATTATTTCGTAGACTTCTTACAATTTTACATAAGATAGAAAAAAATGCCTAACCAATAAATAATTTATTGAGTACTCTTGTTTGTTGATGTGAACTTATTTATTTTCGTTATAAATTATCTGAAGTGAATATTTGTTAGTGAGACATTAAATTAGACGAGAAAAAAAATATAATTTTAAAATATGTTTTAAATTTACTTAAACTTGCTACTTCATGAATTATTTTGTAGACTTCTTACAATTTCTTATAAGATAGAAAGAAATTATATGCACTAATGTAAAAAATATAGAGAAGATGGGAAATTTCGCCATTTACGAATGCCATAATATCATACACTAAATGAATATAACTGAGTACAAAAAAAAATCAAGCAGTTCTAATAACATTTGTTAAAACAATTCTTGGTGTCATTTAAAATTACTCCATTCTTTAGTATATTTTATAAGTTCAAACTTTTTAAAAAAATTAAAAACTGGGTATTACGAACGTATCATGATATGTTATGCCTAGCTTCCGTTTATTTTTAATCCGTGTCTGTCAGTTTTCAAGTTTTAAAGATATTTTAAATATATAAAAGTTATTAAAAACTGGAGTAAAAATAGTAATCAATAAGAGTCCTTTTTAACAAAAAATATTAGAACTGCTTGATTGTTTCAAAATTCAATTATATACATTTAAAGTATACAAATAAGGCATTCGTAAGTGGTGGAATTGCCCCAATATGTAAGAAAATATGAAAAGAAAGCAAAAGTAATAAACCAATCAAAGAGAATAATCTGTTCTAAATTTTTCATATATTTTTAAAAGAAAATCTCTAGGTTTTAAAAGTCATTAAATAGAAGTTAAAATAAGTTAATTAAATTAATAGAAGCAAGTAAATTATTTTTGGAGAGATAAGGTTTAATAGTGTTTTTTTTTTAGAGAAAATCAACATTTAATCTCAGTTTTCTAACTATACTGTGTTCATCAACTTCGATAAGGAGTCGCTAAATTTTGATAACAAGTCAAAGTTTTCATTTAACGATTGAGAAATATTTTCTAAAGATATGCGTTTCTCGATGCATGCAAACAAATTTCTTTGAAAATAATAAAAACAGAACCCGACATTTTTGTATTTTTCTTTATTACGGAAATGTCGCCTACTTTTTTTTTTATATTACTATAAAATTGTATCTAATAAGTAAGCACTCACTTCTCCACTTGAAGCTGAAATCCCGATGAAGTATCTACAACCAATGGCGTCTCACCAACCATGATATCTTTCAATATGTCTTTTTTCAGCTCATCTGTAATATTTTTCATCTGCTTCACTTGCCCATTGATCTAGTCATGAGAAAACAGATCATGCATCCTTTTTGAAATAATAAAAAGAAATTTTTTTGTGCAGGTAATTCAATTGTGTACTTACAACTCGAGAAGAAGTGAAGTGATTATGCCTAACCACGTGCATTAAATCAAGTTCAATTAGGTACCTGTCAATGACGTCACGCGTGTGTGTCTAGTCTGATTGGCTTCTGAATCGACAAATACCACGACTTACTTACGATGACGTTCCTTTGCAGGTATCCAATTGGGTATACTATAGCCTACGTCACAGGTTGTGTTATTCCTACTAAATTTAACCCATGAACGGCATTTTCTGCGAGACTAACTTCAAGCCACAAATAAACAAACGAAGTGTTTGATCGTTTAAATAGCTGCTCGCCAGATTTTATTGCATTATAAAGAAAAGTAATTGATATTCGATTTTTGATTAATAATTGATTTATGTGGATAGTGGCATAGAATTTAGCATTGCGTCATGGTAAATGTTATCCCTACTAAGTGGAAGTAGTTGTGTTTTTTTTTAATATTATACCCAATTGAATGCCATAGTATCCTTTTTAAATGCGTTGAAATGATTTACTGATTTAATTCTTAAATTATAATGAGAAAAAGAATTTGAAGATTTTGTAAGAATTGAGAACTTACCTCGCCAAGGGTAAAATTCTTAACGCCTTCGACTTTTTTCATGTGGACTTTTTCTTCCACTTCCCATCTACTGCCTTCCACTAGGTTAAAACATTTGTATAAATATACTACTTTTTTCTTCATGTATACAAATTGAAACGAATCAAATGCGATTGAAATTTGCAAAAAATGCAACATAACAAACAATAAGCAGAAATTAATACTTTTTAATTTACATCACTGGCGGTACTCATCGATTATAGGTACAATGTGTTCGGATTGCTCTTCCTTGTTGTTACCAATATGAATATAAGTTCCCAATAAGTGTAAATTTTAATATCACGTTATATTTTCAAAAAGAAAAAAAAACCCAAGATTTACCAATAGATCGAGATATTTATTTTTATTAAATTAATTAATACATATTTTTTTCCAAATCAATACTTTTGTAATCAAAATAAAGTTTATCAACGTTCTCAACAAAATCGTGTTAAATTAATATCGTTATGTAAAATATTTGCTATATTATTACTTTCGATATTAAATGATCAGTATTACTATGCATTGTTATCAGTCATGATTGTTATATTGTTGTGTTTGACCTACACCTCCAAGAATTTTTTGTATTAAATATCATTATTTTTCACTTAGATGGTGAAATATCGATATTCAGCATATACTGATGTTGAATGTTGAATAAAATATTTTTGTTAAATATCATTATTTTCCCCTTACACCGGCAAAAGGCGATATTCAGCGCGCACTGAAGAGAGGTTTGTGAGATAAAATAATGTTATCGAACTGTATTTATTCTACGGTTAACAGCCGCATTATGCATCCCATAGTGTATGAGCAAAATAATCATATTTATGGCAAAATAACGAATGAATTTCCGATATTTTCTTAGTCGATATTTGCGGAGGAAGTTGACATTACCGAATTTCTACTTTCAGGGTAATGGGGACAGAATAATGGAGATCAACTTGCGCGATAACACCGTTCAGTTCAATGTGTCACTAAGGGTGGAGCAATATTGAGTGGAATTAATGTTCAAGGTACCGATAGTTTGGTTCATAGTTCAACCTTCCTGCCTTTAGAGTGTATGAAAATTTTGGTTTAATACTTACCATATAATATAAAAAAATTCGGCTGAGTAATGTTGAAACTTAGGTACTCATAAGCTTCTTCTAGTTCTGATGGAAGAAAATTTCCTCCAATCACCTCTTCTGACAAAGTCTAAATAAATGAGAGAAAAAAACGAATAAAATTGATGTGCTTTATTAATTGAGACAGTTTTTAAGTGAGATAAGTGCTTAGAAAATTAATACTTCTAAAACTGTTATAGTAAAGAAGTTTCAAAATTTCGATTGGGGATAAAAGTGAAGTAAAACTTGTTTGCAACCATTTCATTCGCAATTTGTGTTGCCATCAGGGGCTAAACTCCAGCTGAAATTTAAGTGCTCTAGCTATGCAGGAAGTTTTATGCATTTTATCTTACGGTTTATTCTTTTTGGTAATAATATTGAAAGGAAATTTTCTTGTTGCTAAAAAATGGTTTAAAATTGTATTGTCATTCAGCACATTGCTCGAAATAAAATTTAAGTGTTCCAACTATTCGGAAAGTGTTTGAAACTTTGATTGCTGATAAGTTGTGCATGACGACACTAACGCAATATATTCTGCTTGAAATGGTCTGGAAACGATTGAAACTTTCATTGTCATCCAGCGCAGAGCTCCAATCAAAATCTGAGTAGGTGATTTTTGGATAGATATTTGGAAAGTTTTTGAATTTTGATTGACAATAAATTATTTCTGGCGATAATATAGAGAAAAATTCGGCTTGAGAAGTCAGGAATTGGATTAAACTTGTGTTGTAATCCATCATACAGATTCATTTAAAATTTGAGTGCTCTTGAATACGAAAATTGATCAAAATTTAGAAATTGGTACATTTATTTGGTATAGAGATCTGGGAATAGTTGAAACTAGCATTGTTATCAATCATACAGATTCAGCAGTCAGAAATTGAACAAAATTTGGATTGCAAAGATTCAATCATTGAAAATATAAAAGCGAATTAATTATATCGTAGTAATAAAAATGACAACAGTATGTAATTGTTTTTAGACATTTGCCCTGCGGATTTAATACTACTACAAATCTGCCAAGTGTAGTAAATTAAAGCAATTATCTTTGCTTCGAATGCTGCACTTTTTTATGTAATTACTCATAAGTTCTTTAAGTTTTGATCCCTTTCTCCGAAGAGATAATCATACAATGGGAGTAACTTCTAACAATCTATCTTTTTGGAAAAGAACTAACAAGACAGGGGAAAAAACCCCAGAAGAATTGAAAGATCATAGTTAATAATAAGTGAAGGAAAAAATCCTAAGAAATCAATATTTCTCGTGATTGCATAGGAGAAATTTGAAATCTTGAAAGTTTTTTGAATTTGTCTAGTTTAATAAAGACATGAGAATTTTATGAAAAAAATTAAATATCTTGGCTTGATTTGAATTACTAATGCTCCTGAAAGCCTCATTATGTAATCAGTTGTTAATACTGAATTTATAATTATTGGCAGATTCGTTTAGGATTAAGACTTTTAATCAAATTGTGCAAGGAAATAATTGGATACTTGCAAGCTACAGTCAGCCAATTAGGTTCGATACACTTGTGACGTTGCTTACAGGTATCCAATTAAATCTAATCCAAAAATTGGACTCAGCGTGAAGTCAATGCCTTAAAGTTGTAACGTTAACGCGCGATGCACAACCACGTTATTAGACACAACCATGTGATTAGTTGTAAGTACCCAATTATCACAATAAAATCTATAGCCAACCTTCGCAATTATGCCATTTAAAAAAGCAGTTTGAATACGTTTAGCAAATCCATGTACGTATAAGTAAACTGTATACAGTTTTTTACATATTGATCATTTCTTAATATATAATATATTTTAAGAATCCCTTTCAAGCATGAAGTAAAAAACTTATGTACATTAGGAGCTTTCTAATTTTATATCTTCCTCATTAAAATTTAAAATTTTTATCCACGTATCTAATTTCTGACAATTATTCCAAAAGTATATACTAAGAGTTACAATTACAGAACACCTTGCATAAATCAACGGACTGTAGTTTGGAGGCGTGAAGAATGCTTTTTGTTTGATCTAACAATATTTTTTCATTTATTTTTATCTTTCAAAATTGCTTTATTTTTTATTTCAAATTAGATTTAAGTTAGAGAAATAAAATAGAAGCTTGACGTGGTATTTTAAACCTGTAATTTTAGTAACATCTTTAAAAATATGAACATTATTGTAATTATAGTTTAGCTTTATTGTTTGTTAATTTTAAATAGTACGAATTTTCAAAATTCACCATTGTTTTATATTTTTTAATGTTTTAAATTTATATTTTAATCTGATAAAAATGAGATTCAAATAATATTCTTTATAAAAGAGCGCTAATCCTCAAAAAATTAAATTCAACATGAAAAATATATTAAAGAAAGTTTAGTTTTAACTTCGCTGCCATTTTTACTGCATTTGTTTGTGTTGTGACTTTCTTGTTTGTGAAGAAAAATTTTACAATCGAAACTTCGACTACTTTCTGACGAGCTAGAGAACTCACATCTCAACTGATCCTCCACACAAAATAACAATACAAGTTTTAAGACGTTTTCTGACTTAATTTGGCAATTAAATTTTTCGCCAATCGAAGTTCTCAAATCTCATTTGAAGATATTTGCTGAATGACAATAGAAGTTTCAATCATTTCTTGACAGCTTGAAGCAGAATCTACAACCCCATTATGGCTACAAGAAGTTCAGCATCAATGAATACTTCAACCCCTTTCTGACCAATTAGAGTTCTCAAATTTCCACTAGAACTCTGATTTGGGTGGACATTACAAGCTTCTATTATTTCCTGACTGCCATAGGCAGAATTTGTTACCTCAGTTTCGTTTCAGGAAATTTATCGGCGATCAAAACTCCAACCGCTTTTCGATTAACAAGAGCTCTAAAACTTCCTCTAGAGTTCTGGGTCAGGTGATAATACCTGCTTCAATCTGTTCCTGACTTTTACCAGCATAAATATATCACTGCATTAGCGTTACAGGGAATGTATCGTCTATCAAAACTCCAACTTATAGCAGGTTAGAATTAACTGGAAAACTAGCCAGATTTCTCAAATCTACACTGGAGCTCTGTACCGGTATAAAATACAAGTTTCAATCGATTTCTAAATAGTCCAAACAAACTTTATCGTTAATCGAAATTCAGACCACTTTTTGACGTAATCAAGTCAGCCTCAGCAGATTAAAAACTAAAGAGAAGGAAATGATTAAAAAAATAGAAGTTTTAAAAATTACCTTATTCAAAAGGGAAAAAAATAAATCCATTTGTTTTGACCTAAAACGAAAATAGGATGCACAACTTTCGTAATTAACTTCTTAATACCTCCAAATATCCTCCACGTTTTTCGGAGATGTTGCATTCCACGTTTGTTGTTTTAGAACTTATAAAAGTAAAATTATTTTCTCCCTTTTAGTTTTCATGGTTAATCAGTTCATTACTGATTTAATATATAGATATTTAGATGAATTATAACACTATTTACTTACAGGTCGAATTACAAGTTCCCCTTTCTTTAATATTTTTATACTGTATATTGGATATTTTATAAGTGACCTGTTTTTATCAGAAATTTTAACGAAGAATGCTGCTTTCTCAAGACAGACAATTGATAGAGTTTGCTAATAACAAATTGCTTTTTGAAGATAGGTAATTCATAGAGTTTGCTTATACCATATTGCTTACAGGTAATTCATAGAGATTGCTAATAACAGATTGCTTTCTCAAGATAGATAATTCATAGAGTTTGCTAATAACATATTGCTTACAGGTAATTCATAGAGATTGCTAATAACAGATTGCTTACTCGAGATAGGCAATTCATAGAGTTTGCTAATAACATATTAGCAATTTCTTTGTCAGCTGGGTGGGCCACTTCCGTTTCTTGGGAAGCTTCATAAATATCTTTGATCATTCCATTTAAAATAGCCTGAAATATTCAAAAGAGAAAGCAATTTAAGTTGCTAAAAATATTTTAACGCAAAGTTAAAGTTATGAAAAGGGCATGGGCTTTTAATAACCACTGTCCCTATAATTAAATATCCCAGTTAAAAACAAAGCAAAAAATACACACATTAGGATTTGCAAACGAATATTTAAACGAAGACACCTGAAGAATCTTTGACAAGATAGTAGACTATATTAAAATCAACAGAACCGTTTTAATTGTCCGTAGAAAATTGAAGAAGATAAAGAAACAATGATTAGTAACATCTTCAGTTTTTTTCCAACAATTAAATTTATTTTGTTTTTTTTAGTCTTATTTTTCTCAATATTAATTCATCAGATTTCAAAAACTTTTTTTTAAACGTTCAAAAGTTAAATTTTTTTAATGCCTAAAAAGCACACTTTTTTACTTTAGATTTTTTATGATTTCAAAACTATGCATAGTGCTTCACTACTATTACTACTAACTTACAAGAGTGTAGGTGCAAATAGCATGCCAGGGTCCAGTAATGCCTATGTCAGGCGTTCGTCGTGGGCTTATTTCATTAGCCTGAAATATCACCTGTTGCATCAAGCATGTAATTCGTCTATTGGGGTCAACGAAGTAAACGGAGCAACGTTTAAATTATAGACATCCAATCAAAATGGTTATCCTGTCGACGACTAAGTTCAATTTAATTTTAAATCTGGTGCTAGATTACTAGCATTGTTTTATTAGGAAATAAAATTTTTATCAAATAAATACTTGGATTAAGCGAAATATTTTAAACAGAATAAAATATGATTTTCAAAAAAATGTAAAGCGTGTTAGGACATTAAAAAATAACATCTTAAGAACCGTGATTATATTTGAGCGATGGACAATTCTCACTTCACGGTATCATACATGAAACGAGCCTTTCTAACAGTTCAAGATCACATGGACTTGATCTCAATACGGCACCCTCGTATCAGTACGTATACACACTCTTTAGAACGTAACTATGGATGGTGTTTTCTACACTAGGGAGCGCTGCAAGCTCGGGACTGCCTAAATTTCCGGGTTACTGTTTCAGTTGTATTTTAAAGCCATTTGGCATCGTTGTGTTTTGAGATTCTCGCAAACAATGCATTTGATTACTTATTACTTATGTTTACAATGCGAACAATACTGTTTACAATACTAAAAGTGTTAACACTAACGTAAGATGGTGCACAGCTTGCAACACGAACAAACAGTAATAAACAAATGGAAAGAGGCCAAATCAAGACTGCCAAAAAAGAGAGTTATTCAAAATCTAGCAACCATGTCACCTTTTTTAATATTAAATAACAAAATAACTAAAACAAATTTTCACTCCAAAATTCCCAGAATTACATAATAACATTAATATCTTATGAAATACGGCAGATTTGAGCTCAGAAATTATCTAATAGTTTAGTTCTTTTATTGAACATAAAATTATCCGTTTGAAAACATCGCCTATCAGAATAACATGTAGTAAGCAGCTGCAAACTTTTTAACCGGAACTATAGTAGGTCCCGAGCTCGAGATTGTTATTGTTTACATTTCTATTGAAAACACCATCCATATACTGAACGTATAACGGGCCTGAGGAAGCGCTTCTTTCACCCGCTGCTCATTCTAAAGAGGTTAAACATCTTAAATTTAATAATATTCTGATGAAAATAATATTTTTTTTTACAAAGGAATTGTGGTAACTGGTTTCTATGGACTTATTTTTATTTTATTTATTTAATTTTGTAACCGCCGTTGAACAGCCGACCTAATTTTGGGTTTACGACTACCAATGTTCAACTCAGTAACCTTGAAATTTTGAACCCAATCCAGAGGACAAGGGAACTCTTGTATCAAGTATTGAAAGAAACTTGCCTTCGAGGCAAATTACTAGGCAACATGGGAAGGAAAACCACGGACACCTTCCATGGTTAGCCTGACGGCGAGGGGACTCTAACCCAGGATCCGTCTACTACTGAGGATATTTTACGTTAGCGCAGTGGTCTGTGCGAGCTAGGTGCAGAATTCGTAACGACCAGCCATCACTGGGAATCGAACCTGGATCACCTCATTGGGAAGCAAGCACTCTATCCCCTGAGCCACCACGGCTTATCTATGGACTTATGAACTGATCTATGGACTTAAAATTAAATTTAATAGCTTTTATTTAAGAAAATACACCATAAAAAACAAAGAATTAATCTTATGCCAAACAACCACACTCGTTGCTGGTCAAAACAATACTGACTACTTTTATGAAGGAGGTTATTCTCAAGAAGAAACGCGTTGCATTAGAACAAATAAATAACATGATAAATTCTGATATTAAAAGAACATATTCCGTATACACGAAGAAATTTAAAATATGGATTTGAGTTGTTACGAATACTTTCGCCGTTACAATTATAGTAAAATAAATTAGAGTTATCTATTAAACCATGAAACAATTGTGTTAATTCTGAGTATCACATTTTTCATGACACTATATTAATTTTTATTTTGGTGAATTGAAATTCTAACTCATGTTATGGTAAATTTAATAGTATGAAAACGTGCCGGAATATACAACAAATACGGAATAAATAATGGTAGTGTATTAGGCACCATTAATGTGTAGTATGGTGATATTCAGTATCCATTTCGGAGGCTGGTAAAAAAAAAATATCACCACATTACCTAATATTAGACAGCTATGTTGGTATAATATGTTTTAATTACCATAGCATTTATAACGGCAATACTGGTAGTATTCAATGCTATATTTAATTATTCACCACTAGTGTCAATAATAGTTTAGTGATTCTTATGGATTTGAGTTCGAAATAAGTACTGATTTTAGTTGATTCGAAAAATGATCATAAAAATATTAGTATCTTTATTTTCGAAAATTACTGTTAATTAGCTTTGGTAATAGGTATAAGCTGAAATAAATTAGCTTTGGTAAAAAAGTCAAATTGATGGAGAAAAAGTATTTATTCGTATTTGGGAATCGTAAAAATTACCATATTGTTATTGCGCCGATGATGATTAAATAATTTTGGAAATAGGTACAAATTGAAATAAGAAAAAAATAACCTTTGCACTAAAAATGCTAAATTAATGAAGAAAAGGCATTAATTCATCTAGAAAAAATATAAAAAAGAATAGCTTTATTATTATTAACGCCAATGATGAGAAATTAATTTCAGCAAAAGGAACTACTGTTGTTATGGTAATTGGTATTTTAATAGGTACTAAACATATTAATATTGGTATCAAGATACCTATTGTAGGTACTGTAGAAATCAGTTTTTACGGCTTACAAAAGAGATAAAAACTGGAGAAAATTGTTAATTATGGTAATTTCTAACTATCAGGAGTTGATCTCGAGCAATAGGATTATCTCAAAATTATACTGAATATAATTGATCGTTATTTTGAGAGGAAGAATTTCTAGAAACATGTTTTGCTTAATCTGATAACATAAAGCCACCGCGAATAATAATAGTAAAAATTTGGAATTGTTTCAGCTTAATTAACTGCGTCGGTACTCATCTTTCAATTTCAGGCACAATTTCATTGTGTTACAGTTTTATTGATTTTTTAAAATTCTTTTTACCCTTATGAAGAATGGGTATTTAGCTAGTAGTACATATAACTAAATAAACTTGAAACTTCAAAAGTTTGAAATGATTGTATTGTTGAGTTTTCTAATTACATATATGTTTTTCCGTGTGGATAGTTTTAGAAATTATTTACTATGAACATTTGGTATAAATCACAAAACTATGCAATTTGTTCTTTTAATGAATCAATTTAATATTTAATTTAAGTAACAAATTGTAATTCCTTAAGGTTATTAACTTCCTTTTTTTAAGATACGTAGGATTTTGGATAAGCAAAATTTTCAAGTTACGAAAAGTTAATTACAATTGTCTTTATTTTGATTAGTATAAGAAATAACACGAACAATGTGAACCGTATGATATTTAAAAAAATAACATGATAAAAGGAAAACTGAGGAAAAAACCAATCCTGTATAAGTTGACCACCTGTCTAAGTTGGCGACTAAAGCAGAAAACCAACTTACACAGGTCTCTTTGTAACAGTGAAAGAAGAATTTTACTTTGCTTTCTTTATTTAAGGGCCTGGTTTCCGCTAAGGCACTGACTGCTTGACCATATACTTCAGCGTCATATAAGACTTCAAATGGTAGGATTTCCAAAGACTGGAACATTTTCAAATTCACCTTTCAAGGAAAAGAAGTAAGATTATTTAAAAATAATTTGAAAATAAAGTTGTTTTAAATTAGTATAAATGTTCCACAATTCTCTAATATCTAAAAACTTAGCGTTCGCCTTTTTAAGCTGGATACTACAATGTTAAAAGGTATTTTAATTAGTTAAAATATGATTATGTTATTGTAAATTCTGATATTTGATTTAAAAATTAATTCGTTATGCCTTTTTATCCACTTATCGAAATAAATAAGAGTTGCTTCTTCGCCCGCTATCAAAAAGATTTCACTGGTGGATCAAGTTGATTTGGTTAAGGGCATAAGTTAACACTGGGTTACATTTGTTTTTGTTTCATAAGGTTTTTCAAAATATCATGGATATTTTCACAGCTCTGATTTCAAATTTGCATTTGTTTTCTCTCTCCAAGCTACAGTTTTCATTAAAAGGACATTTTTAGTCTGTTTTCGGTCGAAATATACAAGTTTAAAAACGTCATATGCAACAGGGGATTACATAAGTGTTTGCGACACACTTCTAGATGAGTTACAGCACAGTGTCAGGATTTAAAATGCATAGGAACTTATATAAGTAACTGTCTTCATATGCCGATAGGGGTGCTTCCCTAATATGAACTACTTCTTCGTGTGTTTCTGAACAGGATACAGTGGAGAAACGTCTATAACCGCTTGTGATGATATTTCCGGGCATAGGTTCCAATGTAATTTTCACCTTGAATGATGTGACCTAACTCTCTTAGAAGTTAGTCGCAACATTTATCCGTTATAACGCTTATCCGTTATAACATTTATCCATTGTATATATCGTTTTTGAACTTGGGAAAGTTCAAGTATTTGCATAAAAGCATCAAAAAGCTTGTTCCCCGGTGCAAATCGTAGTAATTATAAAGAAATGTATTTTTCTTTCCCTTTTTTATACTTAAAATTCTTTTTTTTAATCAGATATTTAAGAACTAACTTCCATTTCGGACTCATTGTTTGGTGGGAGAGGTCAATAATAACAATTCAAAGAATAATAAATAGTAACAATTCAAAGTATATACAGTACACTCTCGATTATCCGTGCACGGATTATCCGGTTTGCGGATTATCCGTGCTCATTCCGGAGTCACACAAAAAATATAAAGAGAAACATTTTCAAGATTAAAAAAATTTGATTCGTGAAGTTTTAACACTATCAAATTTTTGGAAGCAATATTCGGTATATGGAATATCAGCAGCATGGTCAAAGGTAAAATCGTCTACGTTATCACGATCTTGAAGAAAGATCGTACCGCTTGATGAACAATCCTCTTCAGATGTTCAAGAAAAATATAACAGTATTCTCGAACAAGCCAAAAGAAATCTAAGGTTCCGAAATTCTTGATGAAGAAAATTTTGATGATTGGTTTCAAAGTGATGCATGTGAGCCTGGCTTCCAGTATTTGACTGATGAAGACATAGTTATATTGTTAAATCAAATAGTGATGATAGTAACTGATGCAGAAGATGTAGTAAATGAATGAACGACAATTTCTCATTCTGCTGCTCTGTGGAAACTTTATTAGATTATATGGGAGGATTTGATTACAGTGACATTACTGCGGTTCGTAAAATTTGCTTATCGATATATGGCGAAGACGCATTACACATTTTTTAATAAGGAAAATTCCTAGTTTGATGTTATGCATGCAAATGTCAGTAATTTTTATATTTTTTGTACTGATATTGAATAAAAGGAGTTTTCGGATTATTCCTTTTTTCCGATTGTCCGTGCGACCTGTCCTGGTGATTAACCCGGATAATCGGGAGTGCACTGTATATATATATATATATATATATATATATCTTAAAAAGATAGGCTTTGCTGGGAAAGCGTTAAACATGCAGCCATGTTTTTCTCAACAGTTTCGACTAGCAATGTTCTTCTTCTTATTATAATTATTAAAAAAGGAAGATCAGCTTTAAAAATTTTAAAATTTTAAAATTTTCGTGATCATTTTACAGAATTCCTAGGAACTATATATACCAAAAAAACGTACATTTCGCTGTGAGAAATGGCAAAATTAACTTTTAAACTATTTTTGCATCTTTAAATATATAATTTATATTGAATATTAAATTTAATATTTAAGTTTTCATTTGAATTCGAGCTTCGATTGCGAATGCTTAAAAAAGAAAAAGATCATCTTCAGAATATTTGTCACCATTTCAGAGAATGACAACAGTAGAAAATATATAGATATATATCTCAAAATTATACGCTTCTCCTTGAAAAACATGTAAAATTAAATTAATTTCTAAATTGTCCACAAACTTATTCACGGCAAAATGACTTTTATAATTTTTTAGGAATTTTATAATATTATCATAAACTCGTATGTATTCCTTGTCATTTGTATCCATTCTTGGTTACGTTGTCACTTAAAATACCTCAGCCGATTCTTCTTTAATTTCAGCTCTTTCATCTCGAACTTGTGCTTCAATTTCCTCACGAGCTTCCTTTGTGAAGTAGCTCGTGTCAATACCTTCAAGTTCTTTGAAGTGTTCCCAAATCGCATCCACTTGAGCTTCGACTGAATGGAGGAGAAAATGAAAATAACTTTAATGAAATAATTTGAATAGTTATCTTCAGAAGTGAATCACGTGAAAAATAGTGCAGAAATATTGATAAAAAAATTCTATCTGTGCTACTGACATCTTAAAGTTGAAGTCTTTTATGAATATAAGTAGAGAATCTTTTCAAGAATACATCAAATAATACTTAAAATTCCAAATTAATTATTTTTTTCATCATTTTTAATCATAATTAAAAAACATTTGAAGAGCTTCAAAAAACCGCAGCATAAAAAATTTAAAAAAAAAACATAAGTTCGTATATCCTGCACAAGAAAATAAAAATAGCATATTGAAAAAAAGATGATAGGTGGTTTTTTTATGTTATAATTTAAATTGTTTTGGTTACCAGTATCTTCTAAATCTAAATTATTTATTACGATTAGCATAGGTAATGAAAAAGCTTTTTATTTCGTTTATTGCTCAATCATTTTATTTGCTTAGATTTAAATTTCACTTCTTGTAATCGAAACGATAAACCATGTGAATAATAAATCGTCATCTAGTGCTAAAATTTAGAACTACTTTTTTCTTATGCCATACCCATTCCTCCTTCGGTACTTAGGTCAAGTAATCACTACCTAGGTCAAATCCTTAAACTTCTTAGGTTACATTTTTAGGTTAGGTTAGTTACTTTAGGTACTAAGTCAGAGCTGTATAATATTTTAAGGAAGTCTGATATTGTTAAGTACGTAAAAATTCAAAGGCTAGAATGAACTGGATATTTAATCAGAATGCAGAAAGACCAAAACTAGAAGAAAATATTTTTATCAAAATCTATGGGAACAAGACGAAGAGGGTGGATCGACAGTGTTGAGAGGACATCAACACTTTGAAAATCAAAAACCGGAGAACAGTCGCCGAACAGAAGGACAATTGGAGGAACTTCTCGAGAAGGCCAGGGCACACCCAGGGCTGTCACGCCAGTGAAGAAGAAGGTATTTCAGGACATTTTGATAAATAGTTATTTTTTATTATTACAATTTTTTGAAAGTTTTATACCCGCTCTGCATATTTATTTTGAAAGTTTAAGTATATTACCGTATATACGTTATGTATATTTTGCAATGTTTACGATCAGAGGAATTTCATAATTGTAGAAAATCGTAACTTTTAATAGCTTCACAAAATCGTTGGAACAGCTGTTTCTTAACACTTTTCCGACAGAGTGCCTGAATAATGTCTGGTCGCTAGCCACCGCACATTTTCTTTCAACAGCTACAACTATTGCCAAACATGAAGATTTCTCCGATCTACGGCCCATGAGCCAATACCTGGCCACAATGGCAGGTCTGTTAATACAGTTTATTTTGATGCTTTAAAACGCGAGTAAATCGTAAATCTTACAAAATAATGAAAATTATATGAGTACGAAGTGTTTTGTAATGGAGTAAGAGAATTTTTATATATGAAAGCAAATTATATCACTTATGAACATTCCGTTGAACCAGTTAGTAACGTTTCAACATGCCATCATTTTCCAAGCGCTTTCCGCCAATTAATTCTTTAAGTTTTGGAAACAGATACAGGTCAGATTGTGCTAAGTCAGTGTTGTATGATGATAGACGATCCAATACTTTTCATTCATGGCAATTGGTCACCCAGATCGTTCTTCAGGAACATTTGTTCTTCCTTCATTAAAATGCCTGAACCATTTACAAACATTTCGATCATTCACTACGCCTTTACCATAATCTTTAGCAAGCTGCCGATGAATTTCTGCAGGGGAAATTTCATCTGCCGAATAGAAACCGAATAATTGAACCCACTTTACTATAGGCTGAATTTCTTATTGACAAGTGACGAACGAAACTGCATAATCATGCAACCAACAGCGGTAGAGACGTGAAACAAAATGATGGCGTTGTGAGAGACTTGACAAGAGTTGCCGACCACAAACTGACGCTAGTTAACGGATGCAAAATCGGTTCTTACTTCAAAAATGACTCTCGCAAAGATATATATGTAATAGTTGGACGAATTGCATCATTCGTCATCCCCAAAACCACCAACTTCCTCATTGAAAGGCGCCATCCTGACCAGAAGGGAAAAGCCCCGGTATCCACGGAGCCACAATGTCTAGACGGGAAAAGTCTCGAAAATTAAACGAACTTAACTCTTTTCTGTAGAACAATCTAATTTAGCATTCTTTCTTCGTCCTTGCAACGCTGCGTGTAGGCAGCTCTCACCGTTCATGATATTGCTGTTAAACTTATTTCCTTTTTTTTTTTTTTATCAAATGCTAAGTTTCATTACTAAACTATTTTCTTTTTTCCTCCCTTGCTCCACAAACCCCTACATATATGTATGCACACTGGTGGACAAAATTAAGAGATGGAAAGCATTTTCGCACATTCATTTACACATGCAAGATACCCGCACACCGCTCCATGTGTTTGACAATGGTTCCGTGAATGCCCAAATGTACAGGCAGGAGGTCCTAGAGCCCTATGTGCGTTTTTTCAGGGGCGCTGTTGGCCCTGAGTTCATTTTTATGGACGACAATGCGCGACTACATGGGGCTCTCATAGTTGATGAATATCTGGAAAGCGAGGATATTCAACGAATGGATTGACCAGCCAAATCACCTGACCTGAATCTTATTGAACATGCTTGGGATGCTCTTGGGAGAGCTATTGCGGTGAGCCAACCTCCTCCCAGAACCATTCTGGAGTTAAAAATTGCTCTGGTGGAAAAATGGAAGGATCTTCCACAAGTTCTCCCTCATTAACAGCATGCATACTCGTTGTGCATACTGTCTGTTTGTCAGGGGTGACCATACACCATACTAGAGGCAACACACACTGTACAAGCCTCACTTTTATTGTCATCTTTTATCCTTAAGTTCAGACTACATTGGATTTATTGGCAATAGGTCTTGCCAGTGAATGGCACTTTCATTTTTGTTTTGCATACCTTATTATCATGGAATAAGCTATATCCATACCAAATTTTGATTTATTTATATTCAGTATTTTTTGAGATATTTGGGAAAATGTCTTCCATCTCTTAATTTTGTCCACCAGTGTATGTTACGAACATCTACGATCATTGCAATTCACCATATGACGGATAACTACAATAAGTTGATATGATGAACTAAGAAAAATATTTAAAATCCCTTACCGAAGAGAACAAGAGACAGAGAGTCTTGGAAGATGCTTAAAATAATTCTAACCCCACTACTAGGAAGAAAAAAAAGAAGAAAAAAAACTCGTAATCTAGAACTCTCTTTTTTTAACTACGAAAGAGTTTTGTACAGAAAAGATAAATATTTACAGCCACCATCTCTCTCATGACGCACTTCTTCATCAACGTATGCTTCTGCAGCAACAGCTTGTGACACGAGCGACATTTTACCTTCAGCAACGAAGAAATTGACGTTCACTGTCTCTTCCCAGTCATCTCTTTCTTCATCAGATGGCATACTTGTCTGAAAATATAAATTTTGAAAATAAGCTATAGTTTCTATGCAGTTGAACGCAGTTCAGCTGTTACAAATTTTAAGGAAAGGTAGAGCTCATAAGCATTGAGAGTTATATAGCAACCCATGGCTGGAAATGTCATCGTATGTTACATGGGGTATCTTCCCGTTATGAACGGGTTGTTCAGGCGCATTTGAAACGGTAATTCACCAAAATAATTTATGTTAATTTTACTTTTTCTATTGCCCATATTTAAGTTTTTTTCTTAACTATTTATGCTAATGACATTTTCGAATTTGATAAGATAGAAATTTTTTTTACTCTATCTGTTTGTTTTTGATGTTAATAAGAATTTGTTGTGAAAGTGATGTGCCCAATTTTTACACTTTACGTGTGAATGTGGAGAAAATTTTGGTTGACGATAAATTCTCTTTTGCGGTCTGGAAAGAATAAAATCTTATATTGTCTTCAGCAGCAGAGTTCCAGTAGAGATTTCGAAAATATAGTTAGTTAAAAAGTGGCTGGAATTTTGATTGGCCGTAAGTTCTATTTGGTAATAATCTGTTTAAATATAACTGAAATTTGGTTGTTATGATTCACGAAACTTATAAATGTTTGAAGTCTAGCTTGTAGAAAAGTGGTCGAAATTTCTAATGCGAAACGAAATTCCATTCTCACAGATATTAAAGCGAGTTAATAAAACATAGTAGAATAAAATAATGAATGTTAGTATCTTGTAATATAATAGAACCGCACAGATAGTAAGTTTCCCACAGCCTATGAAAAGAAACAAAACGTAATTACCTAGGGAAATTATGCCGTGGGGTAAGATTTTGTTGTCCAGTCCCATAAAAATCTACTGTGTGGGATTGGAACCAGCATATCTCAACAACAAGACTCATTGCAAAATATGCAGTGATATTTCAGTTACTTCCCAACACAAGAACAACTTGAACTGTAACACTTCTTATGCCGTGGGTTAAGTTTTTGTAGTCCAATCCCATAAAAAAATTTGCTACATGGAATTGGAGCCAGCGTACCTCAGCTTTGTCTATGGAAAAATAATGCTCGGGCAAGAATTTCTTCAGTTGCAAGCACAGGAAGTAGCTGGGTACAAAATTGGGATTATAGAGTGAACAATTAAACATCTCCTAACGACATTTCGACTACAGAGTTTAGTGAACTCACTTTTTTTTGCGTTGTCGAAACACACCATTTCTTGCTCCTTCTTCACTTGTTTTTGCACCTGAAAAAATTCTAATTCGAAGACGTTCAAACGGTTGTAAAACGCAGGCTCTATTCCCAGAAGATATATTTCTATGATATTGGATAACAAAAATTTATTAATCTGCATAACAAGTGTTACAACGCTTGAGGTTCATATGTTAAAATAACTGTAATACAGCTGTATCTTTTGCAACATATCTTTCCAGTAATTATGTTTTATTTCTTTTTGTAGTCGCTAAGAAACTTACTTTCGACTTGACCCTCGAATATTTCTTAAATAATAAATTTCTTATAAAAAGTCCCAGCAGGAAACTCATCAGTTATGGTGACCAGCACAGAACCTCTAGTTATGTGTGCAACTGGAAAAACAATCGTCGCCTTAAGAGAGAGAGAGCCCGCTTAGTCGCGTTGAAAGCGCGATTAAGCGGGCTCACAATGAAGTAGAATAAGTCTCTTTGGCGGGTTGCGTGGATGTGGGTTGCGTGGATGTTGCTATGTCGTTCCACGAACGCGTCTTTTTTAGAACGGATTTATGCTCGTATACCAACAAGGGCTTACAGCACCCAGAGTATCTCAGACAGCTTGCTTTGGAGACTATTCATAAAATTCCAAATGATGCTTCACAGATATACACTGACGGTAGCATGGGTGCTGGTGCTATATCGGGTAGTGAAATTTTCATCTTAAAGGAGACTGGCATCAAGATCTGTATCAAAAATCCTGATTTTTGATAGGTTTTTTGGTCAGAGCTAATAGCTATAGAGGAAGCTGTGAAATTTTGCATTGCTGACAATGTCGATTCAAATGTATGGATTCTGAGTGACTAGCTCCATACAGCACCTGTCTGAATGGTGGAGGCATGGTGACAGAACGACACTAAGCATTGTCTAGGTTCTAAATTGCTTGAGTCACGGCATTAGGATTCTCTTTCAGTGGGTTCTGTTGCACGTGAACGTCTACGGGAATGAAATTGCTGACGGTCTCGCCCGTGAGGGCAGCCATAGATATACTACTGGCGATGACCCTCTTACTTTCTCAGAAAGTAAGAGTCTCTCAGAAATAGCAACCCGGACTAGGCAAGATATTGGTTTCAGTTGGAAAAAAGCTCCTGTGCATGATTGGTATGGGGGAGGGCGGCCTGGTCTTGCTCTGATCAGGGCAAGCAATAGGCTTGTCCAAACGGCGCTTGCCAGACTTGGAAGCGGACACACTCGATCCCAACATTCACGTTGCGGGCCTTAAAGTCTACCCATCCTACCCCAAGTGCAATGTGAACCAGCCTGCTCCTGCCCACATCCTTTGCCATATGTATTGGCTGCCAGAAGAGCCACGTGGTCTCCAACCCTGCTGCAATAGAACATGACTTTGGGAGCTTTTTGGATGAGTTCATGGACTTAATTTAATGCTTCTGTTGGTCAAGTGGGCATAAGCAACAACAACAACAGATTCCCTTAATTAAGATTTAGACGAACTCACTGTTACGAATCCAGCAGATAATTCTGTGACAGCTCCCAGCTTGTCTCTAACAGCACAAATGATTTCCATTTCTCCTGGAGGTAGAATGAAATCAGCCGAAGTTTTAATACCATAATGGATGTGAAACCTCACTTCTTTGTATACAACTATAAAGGTACAAAGTAGATATCATCACAAATGAATAAGTAGCAAATACATTAATATGGTTTTTCGAAGCTCTGTTACCAAGGAAAATAAAAAAACGCCACAGTTTAAGTGCCTTACACTTGAAGCAAAACAATGATTTTAATCAATATTTATCATCTTGCTGTGAAAAATTATCTGGGCTTTAGTGCAGACAAATAACTTAAATATCTTAAAAGTAAAACATTTTTGAAAATCGCCAATTTGGCGACATTTTTTTCACCTATATTAAACTTAATCAATTAAAACTGCCTTATTCTCATTTTCTGCAAATTTTTATAAGCACAGATGCTGCATTGAAGTAAGGTTTTAAATATTAAAAAATTAGACCATAAACGTTTTTCATTCTCACAAAACTGTAAAATTTTCTCCATATTGCGCCATTTTCATAATAAGTATAGACAGCGCTGGCTTTATTATAAGCAAAAGTTACCTAACAGTCACGAGTCACTGTTACAAACCCACAGCAGTTATTAAAATAGCATATTATTCGCAAAAGAGCATAACTTGATATTACGACGATGTCTTCGAAAAACAGCCTTAAAAGAAGAAAAAGTCTAACAACTTTGCGTATCGAAACACTATTCTTGGATAAGTTAAAACAATTTATAATAATTTGCTGTATTTGAATTTAAAAATCAAACATAATGAACATTAGAAAAAAGTAAACCATTCTTGTTAGCCAGTTGCCAGGGAGGTTTTGATAATGTGCTCAGAATTACATAACAATTTTATGAAAGCATTTAAAAAATTATTTTTGCAATTAGCGATATGTCGGGAATTTTCAATAGTTTCGATTTCGATTATTTTCTAAACTACTGAACACATTTTTTTGGATTGCTGATGCTTTGAGGTTTATTAATAAGCATGTTTCTGAAAGAATAAGTATGCTTATTTTTATCATGTTATAAATATGTTTATTTTTATTATATGCCTGTTTATTTTATTATTATTATGTCTATTTTTTTGTATTTTTAAAAAATTTAGATGTAAAATTTTTTTTATACAATCCATAAATTTTTATTTAATAAATACAAAAGACAGGTAATACAACAGATTTTAAAAAAAAGAGTGGGTTTAAGCACACGGATGTAAACGTAATTCTGGTAAAGGGAAGTCATCAAGATAATTCAAAACAATTCAAAGTGAAGAAAACATAAAAATAAGTGTCATAAATTCTTTTTGTATCCACATCTTCTGTAATTAAGGTCACTCCGTTGTAAGTGTCATTAAAAGTCATTTTCATTTCTAATTCAATTAATGCCACTTACCGCCGTCTGAATTTCCTTATTTGTTGTCACCTTGTCTGCATTTTAGATGTTATTTTATTTTTTAACGTCGCCAGACAAAGATGGCCGAGACACACGAAATAATCCCTGCTAGTTAATATTTTAGCATTTTTTTTTAATTCACAGATCGTGTTTTGCCGAATACTAATTAAGATTTTATTTTTAATCCTTATGAATTTTTAATAAATTTCTTGTTTTTAGCAATTAAAAAAAGAAGGATTTCCGAGTTGTTGTTTTCCTTAACTTTATTTATTAGGTTAATAAAAATCTAAAATTCTTGTCGAGCGAAATGATTTTTTCTTTACAAGAGTTTTTCACAGAACCTGCATTCATTACCGAATAAAAAGCAACAAATCGGACAATCGATATGGTAAAAAAAAGTAACAAATCGTTACCGTACAAAAAAGCAAGAATCGGACAATCATTATGGTTCAAAGAAAAAACACAAATATGCAAACATTTATATACCAAAAAGCACAAATAAGGCAATTATTTCGGAACGAAAAAAGAATCATAGATCAGGCGATCATCGCAGTAGAACATGGAACAAATTAGAGAAGCATTACGACTCAAAATAGTGCAAATCAGACTAATAATATGGCACATAAAAGCACAAATCGGCCCATTATTACGGTACAAGAAAGCTCAAATCAGACGAACAGTAAGGTATGATAACAAGCACAAATCAGAGTCATTGTGGAATGAAACAAGCACAAAAATCAAACAATCCTTGCGGTACAGAAAAAACTCTAGTAGTTACAAAAGGGGCCCCTACTTAACTAGTTTTAAGATAGTTTTTTTTAACAAAGAGAATATTTTATTTAATTTTACGCTTTTGACTTTTTATGTGATATAGTCGATGGTCTTTTTTCTTGAAATTATATATTTTTATTAATTATTTGTTCTATAAAAAATTAAAATATTTTTTAATTGATATATCTAATTAATTTTTATATTTAAATTTAATTTATTTTAATCCAAAAATTAGTTATATTTCTAATCGTTATATATCTAAATGATAATTAAATTAATCATCATACATCTAATTAAGAAAAATGATAAATAGAACTATAATTAATATTAATGTAAACATAAAAGTAATAAATTATCATATTTCAACATTAAAAAATGGTTACTTCAATTATCATAGATATCTTAGCAATAATAATATTAACATAATTATAATACTAAATAAATTATTGTATTTTTAATTAAGAAAAATGGTAATAAAATTAATTATCATAACAAAAATTATATTGTTAGTAATATTAATTATCATATTTCTTAAGAAAAATCTTAATAAAATTAATTGATATAATTATTATATTAATAATCCTATTAATGTTAATATAATTATGATATTAATTAGTTAATTATCATATTTCTAATTAAGAAATATAACAATTGAACTTCAAATTGAAAAAAAATTAAAGTCTGAACGTAAAAAATGCTTCTATTTATTAATTAAAAGTAATTAAATAATAAGAAGTAATTAATCGAAATATATAATTAAAAATAACATCAACTATATCATGTAAAAAAACAATAACAGAAAAAAATCCTTCTATTTTAATACGGTCGTCACATTTGAAAAATCATTTCCACGGGCCAAAAAAAAAAATAAATAAATAAATAAATAAAAAAAAAATAAACGACCCCTGGCGTTGTAGCCCCTTTTAGTAACTACTAGTTGAGCTCTTATCTGACAATTAGGTATACAAAAAGAATTATAAGCCATATTTATCTCTTTATTATGTCATAACTAACTTACTATACACGCTATAATCTGTCAGGGCATGGTTATCAGGATCTTTGAAGCCATTGAACTCTATGTTAAATATAGTAATCATGGCTAATCCAGCATTATTACTGAGGGTACACGTTCCGGGATTTGGAGGTTTGTTAATATGCAAATAGAGTTTGGCTACACCTTTCGCTCTCTCTTTATTCTTCGAATCTGAAGCTCTCACTTGAACATGAAACGAGCGATACTGTCCATGAGTTAGAAACAAAGTTCGATTGATTCCTAACCGGTCTTCATCAACTAAACATGAAAAAGAAAAATAAGATTTTTAGTAAATTAAGCAATTTTAAAATTTGAACAGTTCTAAAAAGTTAATCCTTCTTATCGATTGATTTCTTTTTGATTGACATTGATAAAATTAAGTATAGTAGTTAAGTTATGAAAGTTAGTGCCTTAATATTAGTAAGATACAAAGAACAAAAATGTAAGTCGCGTCAGGACTACTTACTAGTACTAGTCTTGTCAGGAATTCGCTACTTAATTCGACTTAATTGTTTTCGCTTCAAAGTAACTTCCAACGTTAAGGTCTTATTCAAAAAATTCTGTCACGGTAATCCTTTCCAAGATTTTTCGTTTTTCTCCAAATTTACTACTAGAGCTGGAAAGACATACCCGACATTTCCAGACGCCATGATCATAAAATTGCAACTTGCTGTACACGTCAGCAATTAAAAATCACAGAAATAAAAAAATTAAAAAAAACGCTTGTGGTTCGTATCACAGAAACGGAAAAAGGTTCCGAATTTCATTTGGCATCGAACACTTATAGATTTTACAAGAATCTGCTCTATTGACTACAGTGAGTTACAGTCCACTGTTTTGATAAACGCATCTACGAATTTTCTGTCAGCTCAAGTAGTTTAACAGGAGCTTTTACACTCGGTTCTAATTGTTATTAAATCTTGAGTTTTTTTACTGGTTTTCATTACATATAAGTATAAGAACAAATTTCTTGGGTTATTTAAAAGGTTTTGATGGTTTCAGTCCCTCTTTCCTCATTAATGATTGTTTGCATTTTAATACAGTTTTTTTTTCTAGTTTAAATAATAAGTTAGATCTCCTAATGTATAGTTGGAAATGTATATTATTTTAATTAATATTTCGATTAATTAATATTTCGATTAATTAATATTTCGATTAATTAATATTTTGATTAATTAATATTTTAATTAATTAATTATTTTAATTTTATATTCAAATTTAATGAGAATTCAGTAAACACGTATAAAGCAATAATTATTTCATAATATTTCTATTGATAGTAAAACAAAAATGTCTTTTTTGTAACTCACTGACAACAGAATCTTTCCAGTTATCAATTACTTCTTTATCTTTTGTAGTATCATGGACACCATATATCTCCCAGTCATAAACGAGATTATCATCGCCACACTCTGTAACACATTCCGCTCTCACGGCTATAAAATCTGTTGGATTCACGATGAAACCTTCATCAGTAACAATACATGCAACGGATTTTTCACACCTGTAAAGGAACAAAATGTGGATATGAGGTAAGGCTGTTGAAAAATCCGGCTTGTAGCAAATTTTAACGTTATTTTGAAAAGTGTTAGTCAAACTAAAGAAATCTGCAGCATTTCTTACTCAGCCTGGTACTTTTTAAGCTCATTACATTAAGCCTATATGCCTTTTAACAAATTAGAGCATGTGCGTAAAATTACTAAAACAGCCTCTAATAGCTTTGACTAATTGAAAATAGCGGGAAATAAATCAGGCTATTTGAGAAATAGATGATATTTTCTAATTAGCTCTGAAGTAAGTGAGCTCAATTTTAATAAGCCTATATTAGGTTGATTAGAAAATTCTGGAGACTTTTATTCATGCAATGCAAAGTGAGAGTGACGGTTTGCAAAAAATATAATTTTTCAATTAGCTTACAGCAGATAAATAAGGGTGTATGCTAATTGGATATTTAAATTATTTATTAGTCATATATACCTTATAAGTAATAAAACCATGGACATTGAACCATGGGCAATCTAAAAAACTCCGGTTGGCATCAGCAATAATAAAAAGCAGCACAACAAACGGACGACGCAGATAATATTTTCAGCACAAAAAGCAGACGATAATTTTGGAACTCTTTAAGTTGATTGTTTGGATTTGATAGTGAGTTTTTAAGGTTTAATTAAGTAAACCCGTTACTGCAAAATATAAAACTTAATTGGTAAGGAAGCTGAACTGTCCGTTACAGGGGAAAAAAAGTGAAGAAGTATTGAATGTCATCAACCACTAAGATTCCAGTATCTGATGCCTTAATATGGTATATCATCTGATCGATGGAATGAATTAGAATTGGTAGTGAAGTCTTCTTGATAATGTAAGTAAATGTCATTCTAAAACAAAATTGGTTCTTCAGTTTTAACTCTCATCACAGCATGTTTTAACATATTTTAACAATTGACTTCTCTCGTCATATCTATTGATTTATGTGGCTGATGATATCCGACAAGTTATTGAATTATTAGACACATATTCGACACAAATAATAAAACCGTGGTATGCTACGATAATTTTTTGACAATCGGCTTGTGTTTTATCAGTGGTGGCCCAGGGGATAAAGCTTTCGCCTCCCAACGAGGTGACCCGGGTTAGAAATCCAGCGATTGCTGGGATTCGAATTCCACACCCAGCTCACACAGACCACAGTACTGATGTAAAATATCCTTATTGGTTGACGGGTTATAGGTTAGAGCCCCTCAACAACAGGCTAACCGTAGTAGGTTTTCCTCTCCTTATTTCGCAAATGTGGGTTAGTTCCGTCAAAAAGTTCTCCACTGAGACAAATTTCTCCCAATATTTGATCCAGGAGATCTCTTGTCTTCTAAATCGGGTTGAAAATTACAAGGCTACGGATATGAACATTAGTAGTCGTAAACTCAAAATTAGGTCGGCTGTAATAAAATCGACGGTAATAAAATCGACTTGTATATCAAGAAATATTCGACTTCTTCGCTTATTGAATCTGAGTAACGATTTATTTATTTATTTTTTGCTGATTGAATAGGTATGAAAAAAAAAGTGTCCTATCAAGTATTATAAAATGCGCTTCTAAATAAAAGAAGAAAAGAACTCAACTGATCTACCAGTTGAATTCTAACGATAAAATTGGACATACCGAACACTTATTATAATTGTAAGCAGGGTTCGTGATTATTTTGATTTTTTAAAAAAAAATCAAATCAATCGGATTTTTTTGATTTAAATCGGATTTTTTTGATTTAAATCAGATTTTTTTGATTTTTATTCGAACACATTGTAAGAACTTTAATTTATGATTAAAAAAACTTTATAAATGTTTAGTCAAAATTAAATTAATATTAAAACTATATTATAACAATATTTTAGACATATTATAACAATATTTAGAAGCTCTGACTTACCAAAATAATTTTTCATTAAAATACATAGTTTTGAATGCATAGCAACCATTTTGAAACAAATGCATGATTGAAATTTAAAGATTAGAGGAAATAGAAAATATAAATTATACTTAAAACAAGGTTTCAATTAGCAAGCCATAATTTTAATTTCAAATTGTGATTTCTTCTTTTTCATGATTTTTAAAATGACAAAATCAATGTATCAGATTGTGTTTATAAATGTAGTCATTCATCAAAAAATAAATATTTAATCTATATATTTTTATATTAAAATATTCATCTTTAATCCTATATCAAAATAGATTAGTTAAGCTAAAATTTTTTTAAAAAAAAATCTACGTGCTCATTGGAATTTTTTTTCCACAAAATTTCTTTATAGAAAATCTGATGAAGAAAAAGATACTGTAAACATATTATAAGAAAAAAAATACCAATTAATAACCCTACTGCTTCAAATAGACTTTGAAAGGGAAGAATTACACTATAGCAGGAAAAAAAATATCTGAATTCATCAGCCTTTTTTTTTTCTTTTTCTATTTTTGGCTTAATAAGGGAATTTTTTTTAATATAATCTTAAGCTTTAGAAATATACATTTTCTACCAATAAAATATAATTTAGATTATAATTCCATGCTTTTTCAATCTAACGGTAGAATTTTAATTAACATTATTTGCACTTTCTTTCTTGAAAAAAAGTCATGTTTATTAAATACTTTCTACAGCTAAGCAAGTTTATATTAAGACAGCATTAAATGTTTACTTTAATCTGTACTTTCAATCTCAGGAATCAAAATATTTTTAAAAATATAATTTCAAATGTGTTGGAATTTAACACACACCAAGAAAGAAATTTCGTTAACTAAAATTAATTAATGCAGCAATTTATTTAAAATAAATTTTAAAACTAAGAAAAGAAAATAACAAAATTATCAATTATTTAAAACACTGTTTTTTAACTTTTGATATCAATATATATATATATAAATAATTTGTTGATGTAAATCAATGATTTTTTTAAAAAAATCATTTGATTTAAATCATGATTTAAATCGTGATTTAAATCAAGATGATTTAAATCAACGAACCCTGATTGTAAGTGAACGAAATTTAGTGTGTTTTGTTAAAAGTATTTTTAATCGTCAGAGGAAAAATAAACGTTTTTAGGTATGTTGTTTTCAGAGAACTTCTCGATTTCTCAGTTCTACAACTTTTGATACTCACTCTATAAATTATCTTCAAATATTTCATTTAGTAAATGTCACATCATAAGTGTTTGAATAGATTAATTACTTTTATTAAAAAAAAGAAGAAAAGAAAACAGTTATTTGCAACATTTTATTATTTTTTTTAATCATTAAAAAGGCAAAGTCATATATCGAATTTGAGAATTCTTATTCGATTTTTTGTTTTATGGTTTATTCTCTGACATTCGATTTATTATCAACAGTATGAATGCACAACAACATTAATAAAAATAAAAGTTTTTTTTTCTTTTAAAAAGTTTTCTTCTTGAGTAAACTAACCCTTTTCTGTCATATGATGCTTATACATAGTTGTCATGCTTTCCGAAAATAATAATTAGTGGAGAAAGAAAATGAATAAAAACAGTATTATACTTTGAAACTATATATGAAATATTATCAATTAAATATTTTTTCATGATTTCAATAAGCAGAATCAGTATTTGATCATTACTATATGATCATTACTATAAGTTCAGAACTATAAGTTCAGAATTATAAGTTCAGAACTATAAGTTCAGAACTATAAGTTCAGAACTATAAGTTCAGAACTTTAAGTTCAGAACTATAAGATCATTACTATAATATCATTACTATAAGATCACTACTATAAGATACTGTAAGATCAGCATGGTTCTTTTCTGCGGGGGTAAAGAGTAGGGGAGAGTGGGGTCAATTGTAACAGGGTACGATTGTAACAGAGCAAAAATTTCGAGTGTCGGGTTCTAGATTTGGTTCCTAGGTGGCGCACAAGGCGTATTTAATAAATCTACATGTACACCCCTGATAGCAACCATTTTTATGTACTTTTGAAAGAGTTACATCACAAAAGATATTTTCACGCCACGCAAGTACTTTTTTTGGTATTAGAATATTATATTGTAACAAAGTAATTTTGTTTAAACAAATAAAAATTAGCAACCGAATATGTAAGTGGACACTTTAATTAACATTTCAATAAAAAAAAGATTAGTTTTGCTAATTAACTAGCATTGTTTTTAACAAATGAAGCTGAAATGGCGTCTTGGGGACAATTGTAACAATAAGTAAAGGGACGATTGTAACAGCTGAAAATAAATAATCTTATGTTTACAAACCATTACTTAACTCTTTAAGAACCACCAATAGTTTCCTATATCATTTATATTATGTTGCATGTGCATTATTTTATTTGTCACCTTTCACAGCATAAATTAAAATTTTTAACCCCTTAAAGTTAAAAGTTTAACCCTTTAGGTTTCTGCTCATTATTATTTTTACTCCTAAAATATCACTACTATTTTGATCAATAAAAAAATATATCACAACTATGATAATATGTATAATTAACTATGTTTTAGTTGAATTTATGAACTGTTACAATTGACCCCGTAAGTGGGGACAATTGTAACAACTGCACGACTGTCAAAAATTGTTAATAACTAATATAATAATATTTAAAATCAGGTATATATTTTTTTTCTAGTAGAGGATAGTCTACTTTACTCGTCTGTCAATTAATACTAATAATATATTGGATTTTTTGTTAGTTAAAAATAGTTAAGTAAAAAATGTTACAATTGACCCCACTCTCCCCTACACATTCGAACGCAAAGTATTAAAATAAATTTTGTTAAAAGGAATCAAGCAGAGGGAGTAAATACAGCTTATCCTTTCTTAATTTTTGAATTTTCGAAAAGTAGTAATTCTTCATTATTAATGAGTTTCAAATAGTACTTCTGAATATTACTTTTATTGCTGTTGTTGCATAATACAGGTATTTAAAGGGAAATATTCTATTTGTTTATGTATTTTATCATCTTTTCTTGGTTAAATGAAGTTTTTAATAATCATCCCCTTAATATATACTTTTCAACTTTGAAAACAAAAAAATATACCAAAATTAAAGGACGTGAATTAATATTTAAGGTAAAAATATCTGAAGAATAACTATCGAGGTGAATAAAGGATTATAAACAGTAAAACCAGTTTGATTGTCTGATAAAATTAAGAGGGGAGAAACGACTATTGAAAAAGCTTTTACGCTACATATTCTGAAAAAAATAAGCTTTGCTTATATTCGTCCACTGTAAAAAATGAATGCTCAACTTTTACGAAACATTCGTTTTTGACGAAACCGTTTCCTGGTATACTGCTCCGAGCGAATATTTTATCAAAATGATGAAATAACTATCTCTGCTTCGAGGAAATAAATTTCGTCAAATTAAGAACTACTTTCGCAAATGTGAAATGGTGAGGTAGCAACAAATTCCGAGTTAGGAAACATTTTCGTCATAATATTTGAGAGTGTATTTGTCACAAATCATGTGCTTTTGTGACAAAATGAATCCTAAAATTAACAAAATGGAGCTCAATGATTGCTGAATCGTCAAAAGTAAGATTTTTATTTCTGAGAGTGTATCTTTACTTTATTTTCAATTATGATTAGTTCCAAAATATTAATATTAGGATGTTTAATGTATGGATAATTTTTGCAAAGGAGTTTTGAAATACATATTGATGGTGCTGTAAAAATCACACCCTGTATTTTCTTCGATCTTGTATATTAAATATAGAAAGAAAAAAAAATTTGCATCATAAATATTTAGATTTTTTTAACGTTGCTCAAATTTGCGATGCGGGAAAAGATAAAAATTTCTTATAATAGTATAATTGATTATACGACCAAATATGTTTTGAAACGCAAATTAGGTTTGAAATAAAACTGTAAAAGTATTTTACTTACCGTAAAATAATACCTGGAGGAATATCTTCAATAACATCGATATATATTTTAGTAATTTTATTTCGTTTGTCTTTTGTAACAATCGCTTTGAATTCATATAGATTGAAAAAACCACGCAAATCTCCAGTATTAAGCACAAAATTAGGACCATCCATTTTTTCCTCTTCTGTAATATATAAAATAAGAATTGCATATTAAATTGGAATAAACAATGAAAATTGGGTATATTTTGTGCAGTAAAGGATGAGTTATTTTATTGTTTGACTAAGAACATAAATTATATTCTTAATTCCATACCTTTATTTCCTTTGAAGCACTTCCCATTTTCGGTTCTTTGATCAATATGCACTTGAGTTATGGATTTTTCTGACAAGCTTATTTGTTTATCATATTCTTCAGTGGCATTAAAAAAATCTTTGGCATCAAAAGAACGGCAAAACCATTCGATTTCAAAGTTCTGCAGAAAAAAAATAATCATCATTTTTAATTGAATAAAATAATATGATGTAAAATGAATGTTACCGAGAATGTTAAAATCGAAAACTACTTTTTATGCAAAAATTTACATCCTGCAGTTTACTGATCGCTAAGACATAGTTCATCGCAATCAAGCATCACTGGCTGGGGTCAGTGTGCGGGTGGGTGATCACTGTGATCAGTCTGCGAAAGGGCTGAGTGTGTGCGGTATTGGTCTTCGTTAAACTGTTCTATTGATAAGTTCTCGACTTCGTGCGCAGGCCGTCGAGTTACTGAAGCGGGGTTGCCATCCCCTCTGCAAAGAATCAAAATTGTGATGTCATGTTTTCGAATCATCTTCAGGGATGTTTCCCACACTGCTGCCAACAGCCCATTGTGCAGCTCTAGTGCGACTTAAATAAACTACAATTTCAACTGCAACTGTAGTAATTTATAAATTTACATTTTCGTGATCGAGGTAGCCAAAAAATTTAGATTATAGGTAGTAACAAAGAAGATACCAAACTTGCTCCCTAAAGACAGTGAAGAACCATAATGCTTGCAAAAGAATAGTATATAAGCATTTAATTGAATTGGATTAAACATCTTGATGACATAATGCATAAACTTTTTACCACACTTTCATGTACTCACATGTTTCATTCACCAACTAGAAGTTCAGTACCGATTCGAGTAAAATTTTCGAGTTGAACTTGGACACAAACTTAACAAACAGTAGCAATTTTTCATTGGACCGTATCTATGCAAATACTTACTTACGCAACTCAAAATATCCTTTTTGCTCAGTCTCATTGCGTTCATTCGCTTCTTAAGTCGTGGTCAGTGTGAGTAGGGAATAGTAAAAGTACGAACCAAAATTTTCCTGGGATTCGAACCTGGGTTATCTCAATAGGAAGCAAATGTTCTCTCTAATAATTACTTTAAAATAGAAATTTAAATTAAGAAAATGGTTAGTGAAAAAAAGAAGGACATTTTTTATTGTAGATTATATAGATAATTTTGAACTACTTCACTCTTGAAACAAATATGTATTAGATAATATACAACATTTTAATATAAATAACTTTAACACAAAAGGTGTAATTACAGGATTATGATTAGTCTTACCTTATCATCTGGATTATCTGGATCTACAGAATATATACTAGGTTCCAAGTAAACTAGCTGATTGTAACCCCGAAGTATATAAGAGGCTCCTCCGTGTATTATCATGGGCTGCAGTGGTCCGCTCATGATCTCCAAATATGTAAAGCAAGACATTGTTTGGTTGAGGCTTCCATTATCTAAGAATGATTCAAAAGTTATTATTAGATTTTGTATATTTTTTCAACAGTAAGAAATCCCCAGCCAAAAAGTGGGTCCAGACGAATAGCTAGGGGAGTTCTTACTTTAAACAAACTATAGAACACAATTATACAAGGCATGCATTAAGTTTCGCCACTTAAAGTATTAATTAAACTTTTGTAAACTTTTGTCTGGGTGTTTTCGGCTTCGATGAAGGATATACTAGAGCAAAAAAAGCCCTTAAATTGATTCGAATCAAGGGAATAAGTTTATTTAGGTGTTTTAAATAACAGAAAGGAATCAACTGAGCCGAATCAATAATTAGAGAAATTTTTAAATCACTCATCATTGACTCTAATCAAATCTAAAATATCTTCTATTCGTAATATGTAAAGATATTATTTGTAAATTTGAATCAAGTGGTTAAACAACTGAATCGATGCATTTTTATCAACATATTAAAATAAGCTGCTCAAAACCTCTTGCCAAATAAATACTAATTTGATGCTCTAATAAACTGCTCTTTAAATACTAATTTGTATCTGTGTCAAAATGTGGCATCAAATTAAATTTAAATGAGCAGATACGAACAAACTGATGAAAAATCCTCCACGCAGGCTGAAATTACTCCAAATACTTGATCCTGGAGTTCCTTTGTCTTCTGGATTGGGTTCAAAAGCATAAAGCTCCCTCATTGAGCATTTGTTGTCATAAACTGAAAATTGGGTCGGCAGTTCATCGATGGTTACAAAATAAAATAGCTCAAAATAAAATAACTAGTGCAACGTGAATAAAGTACTGCTCTACGTCTGAAAATTGTTCTCGTGAACTATAATTTCTAAAAACTGCTGCTAAGTTTGTTGCATGCTAAACCTTAATGCCGCTGAAATTATCTTCAAATTTAATACAGTGCTAAAGCCTACGTCATATGGAGGAAACATCATTACACAACATTAACGTCATGGGGTGAAACCATCATCAGAAAACAGAACAGAAAACAATGAAAATGTCACGAACAGCATCAACTTCATACGGTCAAAACATCATCCAACAGCAACAGCGCCATACGGCGGAAATGTCAGTAAACAACATCCATGTAAGTTATTCACTGCACAACATGGAAATTGTCCTTTAGGTGAAAATATGTGCTTCTTATGTATTTTTGGCTGAAAGTGAAGAATTTAACTATTTTTTCATGCGCTATTTTTCCAAAAATCAATATTTTAGTTTGGCGACTTTATGTATTTTAACAGCACACAATAACAACTGGAAAGCAAAGGAAAGGCGCTGCTATTGACAATCGGAGCGTCACCAAGTGATCATTTTGGTTATTTTGGCAACTTCGGCGAAATTTTTGATGACAAAAACCTCACAAACTTTCCTGAAGTTTTAAGACTAAATGCATTAGGAAGAGAATTCTCTGGAAACTTTTCTTGGCGAATGAATGTACAACAAAACGAACGTGATGGACCATTTTGATTTTTAAAGATGAATCACAAGCAACCTTTAGTTTATACAGAACCACATAGTTTCATCTAAATGACAGAAAAAACATTCAGATTGTTCAAATTCGTTGCACGGTGAAAAAGATAGAAGTTTGTAACACAGAGTTTGTTTTGTTAAATGGTTCAATTTGACCTAAAAAACTTAAATACTATTTCTAATACTACTTCGACATGCAACAACATTTTGAAAAGTGCGTGCTATTTTAAAAGCAACAGCATAAAAAAATAGATTGTGTGAAACGAGTTTTTAAAGACAGAATAATTTATAGTCTTTCATTCATTATAAAATATATAAAAAAAAAACAAATTTACTGGATATGGTAACGAAGTATCTGATTTTATACAGTCCTACATCCAAAAACCTATGTGGAAAACGCAACGCAGAACAGCTTGAAGATCGGATGCCGGATATGTCAATGGATTCAATGACGTCTTCTTCGTCAGTGATTTTGTTCACCTCCCAAGACATTTCATAAGAATTGGATGGGCGGTCCATCAACAGTGCTGTGGTCTCCAGTCTGAAGTTTTCTTCTCTAAAAAACTAAAAATAAATAAGAGAATTGAGGAGTGAATTAGATAAAAAAACTTATAAAATGTTGCATCATGATAATGTTGATAACAACGGATAACCTGAAATAGCTTTTGGCCTAATAATCACATTTTCAAACATTAACAGGCAATCTTAATGGTTTGGGGAGTAGAAATTATTAAATATGTTAAATAATTTGAGTAGATGTTATTTTTATGTTAAAAGGAACCTGACATAAAAACGTACTTTCTTTGAATGCCCTATTTCGACTGATTTGAATTTTTGCCCTGCTATCTGGAAAAAATTTTGTTCCTCAGAAGAGTGGCCTAAAATTAGTTCCTCTTACTTCAGGAGGGCCTGTTACTTCTACTGTGCTTTGATACACAGGGTAATTCAAAACTAATAATACCGATTGCAAATAGCTATAAATATTTAATAGAAAAGAATTTATCGATGAAACTTACACAGAATCTAGAAGGAAATTAAAAAAAATTGTAGAAATGCATCACAGATCTTCTACGTAACTTCCCTTGATCACACGGACATCAACCAGGTGGTAGTCCATTTCACGCAAGAGCATTACAAATGCGTTCTTTGAGTTCTGTATGAGTATCTGCGTATGTTGTTCCCATTTAGAAGTGCTTGATTGTAGCGTTGACAAAATCTTCCCTGCACTGTGATAACAGAATGACAACTGTTAAATTCTAACACACAGCTCTGCTTTCTGAAAGGGACTCGCCATTTTCACTGATAAACTCGATCATGCGCTGGATTCCACTATACTGCTCCTGCGCCTTGCGTAAAGAAATTTTGAAGTTCCATCTGCATTCTATGTTAATCTTATCGATAAATTATTTTTTCATTAAATAGTTATAGTTGTTTGTAATTGCTACATTCATTTTGAATTACCCCGTGTTTTTGGAGCTGATAATACCATGTAAAAATAATAATGCTAATTTTAAATAATTATTAATGTTTGGGGTTTAATTAGTAATCGAAAAGCTTTTGAATTTAAGTATACGAGGTTTTATGTCTCTCGAGGTTTTATATATATATTTAAGTATACGAGGTTTAAATAGCTTAATCTATAAGCTATTTAAAAGATAAAATTATAAATTTTATTGAAATCAGTCAAATAACTCCTTGGAAATAAAAACTCAAAAGTCATTTTCATTTGAAATTCCATTGTCGAGAAAGCATTCAGCTGGTTTGAGTTTTGTTCTTTGTCATTTATTTAGTTCAAAATTATTTAAAATATTGCTTATCTTATAATAATTATTGATTCTTTTTTAATATTGAATAATCTTTGTAAAAACAAGTTTCATAATCGTATGCGAAATGTATTTCATTAGCTTCAATAATTCCAGAGAAGTAAGCTAAAAGTGTAAACAATATTAAATTGCTGAAATTTTTGATTGATTTCCTTCCTAAATTATTGAGACCATATTTCTCAGATTAAAACTTTTCCTCATATTTTGAGGACTAAAAAGTTCACAAAATATGAGTATAAATAAACATAATTTTCCCTGTTCAACGTCATAAACAAAGATTTCTTTGAATAAATTTCAAAAAAGATATGTTTATTCAGAGAAAGTACTTTTTCCCACTGACTTTTGTAACTTAAAATATCGTGTGGAGAAATTAAATTACAGATTTAAGGTTTACCTCCTTGAATCATTAAGATTGCTCCTCAGTGCTTGTACGTGGTAATAAGATGACTAGATCAAAAGCTATTAAGATGTTCCGCATTTCATTCTGCATACTTTACTTTAGAACTTTATTTCACTCTATTTGTTTACTTACTCTCATTGGTCTCTTTATGTTGGTGGAATTGTTCTCAATCCAAATACTAGAAGGTGGATATGAGGCTTTTACTTTAGTACTTGAATTCGTTTCAAAGATGGTATTAAACGCTTTAGCCACAGGTTTGAAAAGTCCGTCGCTTCGGTAGGCATAGATAATGCTAATGGGAAAAGATGGCTGATGAAAAATAAATCCATTATGCAGAGTGTTCCATAACCACAGCCTATAATATATACTTTTAGAATCCTTATCATAAGTTGAGTACAGAAAGCGTCTCAAACTATTATTTAAGCGAGGAAGGAAAAGAGAAACGCTATCAAAATTTGACAAATCTATATTGAGGAAAGCATGAATAAAAATATCAAAAACTTATTGTTGGTTGAAGTGAAATTGAGAGTACTTTCAAGGCAGTTATTATAAACACTTTCAAGTTTCCTCCACCAATCAAATAGATTTTATTGTTCATTAATTCAATCTGCTTCAAGTAATTCATGATTTTTTTCCCTCATCTAATTTGAGACCCCTATTGTATACCTTTTTTTACTTCATTTTTGACTGAAATTCCAAAAATATGTAGTAAGGGTGGTGATTGTGGAACACCGTGTCTAAATTAAAAGACGAAAAGCTACAAAGAAATTTTTTTTCTTCATATTTACCTGATGGTGTTGTCATCAATCCAAGATATTTCACCGGCGTCTCTTCTTTTTCTAAAATTGTGAGTTAACTAAAGTTAAAATGAGATGCAAAAGAGAAACAGGTTTTTCTCCTGATATTTTATAATTAAAATACATTATTTTATCACCAGTGTTAAACACATTATCCCAATATCGGAATTGCAGCTATGGGGACGTCCATAAATTATATCAAGTTTGTAGGGCAGGGAGGGACTTCGTGAAATTATGACAGTTTATAACCAAGGGGTAGGAAAGGATTAATAACAAGTATGACATTCCACACTTTTGTTAAAATAAAAGTATTTAAAATCAGCAGATTAAATATCCTTATTATATATATATGATACTTAGTTACTATTGTTGTTATTATACTTAGAAATGTGATTAAAAAACGTAGCTTAAAGCGGTAATGAACGTCGAATGACTATTGAAAATAAATCAAAAGAAGATCCTGTTTTTACAGCATTGATAAGATCGCCAGTGAATCTCTCCCATACATGTTGAATGGTTAATACAAAAAGAGTTATGAAAATATAAAAACTAGTATGATAATACCACGTGAAAAAAATAGCAAAGCAGCAGGAATAAAAGTACAGATAGTTTCGGTTTTATAGAACAAGAACCTTCCTTAAAATAAAGAAGTTGAGGAAGGTTTTTTTTAAGTTTACTTTTTATTCATACGTAGCGCGAAGTATACCATCTATCTTCATCTGGATTACACCACGTGTTCAGTTTTAAATATCTAACCATCGAGAACACAAAACAAATAGTTTTGTGGGCTAAATACAAATCCTAATTGCTGATATAAACAATTATCATAAAACATGGCGGTAATGTTAATTTTATGGGTCATTCTCACGAAAACTGTCATTTTTCAGTACATAAAATCCCAAAAAAGTAAAGTGAATAAAAAGCTCTGAAACTTTTTATATTAATAGAAATATGTAATGGCATTATAAAGAAAGTATATATCCTATAAATTATACTTAATATTTAAATTAATTAATTTTTTAAATAATTAATTTATGATTAATTAATTTATAATAATTAATAATTAATTAATTAATTTAATAAATGAACTAATTAATTTAATAAATTAATTTTTTAATTTATTTTTCAAATAATTTAATGAGTAAATTAATTATTTTCACTATTTAAAAAGTGAGGGAATGACACTAATAGTGAGGGAATGATATTTTATTTTAATACATGTTTCTATCTAAGTTACATCTACCTAAAGTTTCAAAATGATAACATGCTAAGTATATCTAATATTTATTATAATTTAGTCTTATATATTTAATAGTTTTTACAGGTTTGGGAAATAAAATTGGCTGGCACGATTGAACAAAAAAAAATTTGATAATATACTCATCTTGAATCATTCCCTCACTTCAGCGTCATTCCCTCACTTTATACACTAGTGAGGGAATGACGAATTCAATAAAATTTAAAAATAACAGTTAGGCCTAATTAATTTCTGAAGTCAATCACATACAATTATATTCATACAAGAAAGCAACATATAATTATCCACTTTCTCGATGAAGTTGTATTTTATTTTACTCTAAAAAATGACATGAGGGAATGACAAATGTAAAAAATTTTACCTGGTTTGATTCATTCAAATTTATTCCACAGCAAAGCTTCTTTAAGTTGAAGATGGAAACATACTGCAATTTTGTTCTATGATGCCAGTTGTTAACTTCTGAAGTTTTTATTAAAATATTTTTATTCTAAGAAGATTGCAGGTGATAAGAACATTGTTGTGAGGGAATGACGCGAAACACTGGGGACAAAGTTTAAAATAGTGCTGTGTTAATATTTTTATCAGAAATTAAATTTAAAATTGATTTTCTGAATTCTATATTTCAGTATTCTGAAATAAAAAACACGAATTTGTAAAAAAAAAATTTTTATTTCAGAAACAATTTTTTTCTTTTTTTAAATCAGCAGTGGGGACAAGTGAGGGAATGACATATTGGTATATTTTAATTACCTAAAAGAAATAAAAAATAAAAATTGATAACTTTATTTTTATTCTTTTGTTAGCTTGCATTCCGAAGGACACTTTCCCTGAATTTTTTTTTCGTAAGCTGTAAAACAAACATAAAATATACTGGGGACATGAAAATGACTGTTTTTGTGAGAATGACCCTTATAAAGTCATTGCTCAGGAGACATTGTTTGCGAACTTTTCAATCGTTGTAAAAATTTATTTTAAATAAAGAATCGTCAGTTTTCACATACTTTCCTTTCTTAATAATTATAACCCTCTGCTTGTGGTTTGATGAATATGGTTTATATATTATAATGTGGTTTGATGAATATGGTTTATATAATGGTTTACATTATAGTGTGTTATTTTAAACTAATCGGAGGAAAATTTTGGTTCTAAAAACATTCTAACCTGTCAGAATGACGGGAATTGAAATGAAAATTCTCGTCTTCTAAAGTCTCACACATTTCTTTAGACCCAAATGCTTGTTTAATTTCCTCATCGCCTGCATCAAACAAGATGCATGTAAATTGATCAATAAACTCAAAGCTTATAGTAAATTCTAATTCCTCATCCAGCAAAACGTCCGAAGATGATGCTTGTAGCGACAAACCTACTGGCTCAGACATTACTCGCAATTCCAAAGTAACATTATTACTTTCCTCCAGGAAGTTTTTAGCCAAGAAACTGACCCTATATTTGCCAACCTAGAAAGCAAAAATAAATTTCTAAATATAAAGTAGCTATAAAAAGGCGAATCATACTTGGAGGTTAGGTAAATTGTAATCTGCGATTTGTGATCAAGAACAAAAGGAGCAAGGAGCATACCTCATCAAATTGATTTGAAAATATGTCCTCTTCTTTAGTTTGTTCCACAGTTTTATCTTTTAATGTCATGATGAAGTTGTCGACAGATCCTTTAAAAAATAATAATTTTTGTTTCTTTATTATAGAGATAGATAGAGAGAGAAATATTAGAGTAAAAGTAAAATGAGTGCATGTGCACATCGCATACTATCCTAATAAGCAAACATGAGAGTGATATAGGGCAAAATTAGGAATCTTTGCAACTAGCCAGTGAACAGTTATAGCACTTTTAAAATGTGGCTAATTTTTCAAAAATTGAAAATTCTAAGCTATTAAAAATCTGTTAATAGCAATAAGGACATTTCTTTTGAGGTATTTATCAAAATAAGGTGCACATTACAAGGTTCATTTATAAAATGAAGAAAAATATTTATAAACAAGAGTGAAATAAAGTAATTTTCAGAATATTATAAACTATTCTTAATAATTCCATGTTTATTAAAAAAAATTATAATAAAATGAACATAGGGTGCATTCTGGACGAAAAAAAGTGGTGATCGGGTGAAGAATGCCTAGTCACAATTCAAAACTATTTGGCGAAAGATAAAACATTAAAAGTTATACCAAACTTTTAATGGATTTGAAATTCAGTGTAAAAGTTTAGAATTTTATTCTTCACTACTTGTGTTTTTGGAGAAAAAGGGTTAATGTACTTTACTATAAAGATATGAAGGATATTATTATGAGGGAAAATTTAGAGAATTAAATGCAAATATAGAGAGAATTATGTATATAAATGGAATCAAAAGAAATATGTAATGCCAAATTCATAGGACATATTACCCGGCACACGCTGAACAATAAACGAAATATACAATACCTATAATTGCATAATAAATATTTATTCACATAACTATAATATCGTTATTAAAATATCGATTCAGAAAAAAAGCGAAGATCTCGACTTTTGTAATAAGCAAGGCAATAATTTGCAAATATACCTGAGATTTTACATGTAAAGCTCACAATAGAATTGATTGGAACATCGGTTTCATCAGGACCATGTAAATTTGTAAGTTCTTGACTTTCATCTATTGAATACTGTGCAAAAACTTCCAAATTGCCCATTTTTTCCAATATAGTCACCTGCGTAAGTCGAAATGTGTTTAACAATAATTGCCATTGCACGATGTTAAATCTTTTAAATATTAAATGTACACTCATGTTATAATTAAAAAAGAACAATTTTAAGCTTTAGTATAGTCACATATAATAATGTATTCTTCAAAAAGAAATTTTTTTACATTTTACGGAAGAGATTAGTGAAAGAAAATGTTAAATAATAGTTATATTTCTGGATTTAAGAACGTGCAATTTAGGCGAAAAAACCATTTGACTAACTCTTTTATATATTTAAAATCCTTGAGAAAGATACAACAAAATATTAAATGTATGAATGGTTAAAAATAATATTTAAACGAGAGAAACAGAATCAACTTCGAAATCTGATGAATCACTGAGGACAAAAGTGGATTTATCTGCTGAAACAGATTGAAAGGTGATTATTTAAAGCATCTTCAATTTTTATTCGGTAATGAAACAAACGTGTCGTTCGTAATCCCACCTACCTTAATTGTGACACGTCAAATTTTAATCATGTTTTCGTTTCTACTTTTTTGTCTCCTACTTTTACTTTTGGTCCCTTATTTTTTTTAAATTAATTTTGAACAATGATACTAAAAATTGTATACTAAGGGGTCTATTATAGAACATCATGTATATATTTAAAACACTTGTCAATGATCAACATGTTTTGAGAACTTAAAAACAAGGTAACAATTTCAAGTGTGAATGACGCATTAAAATATAGGATTGTGTAATTTTTGTTGGTAATTGGAGATAGCATGAAAATTTAGGCTGTGTAGATGCTTTACTGCAACGTTTATTCCGTATTACTAATCCCCATAGTCTTTGAATGATTACCGTGTTGCTAAATTTATCAAAGCGATTTCGATCAGTAAAATATAATTTGTGAAGATTTATTTTGTTTGATTTCGTATTTCTTTGTCTTTTATTTTAAAAATAAATAAGAATATTCTAGAAATATACCGACCTGTGAGTTGAAAAATTCTTCATCAAAAATGTTGTAAACTTTTACTGTAACATTGTAAACACCTTGAAGTTCATAGGAATATGTCTCCTCTATTATGCGATTCTCGTTTTCGAAAACAATATAGGACTTGGAATTTCCATCTCCAAAGTCAAAATCAACTTGAGCACCCATGGGAAAATATTTTTCCTCTCCCGTATAGGAAAACTGAAAACTAATATCACCTGAAAGCACATATATTCATTTGAGAGAAAATAAGAACTATATTATATATATATACACAGAAATGAAGAAGAAAAAACGAAAGGAATAACGGTTTTTATAGTCTCGAAGAAGAATTATTTTTCTATGAGCAGCCAATGAAAAACCTAGAGCAGCGCGTAACATATAAAACTTTCATTTTGACATAATTCTACATGTTTTGTTTTAAATAATTTTTAAAATGCAGTATAGGAAGAAATACGTCTTCGACTTCAGGGGTCTTTCGAATGTTTCACATTGGTACAAATATGATAAAATATGAACATCTAATTCGGCCAAAAGATGCACTCGACATTCAGTATATAATTTTTTTACACAAAAAATTGCACCGTTTTATGCCGCTATAGCACAAATGGTATTTGTTTGCATACATAGAAAATGTAAAACATCATTTACGTTATGTCTAATTGCAATATTTTGTGGATAAAAAAAAGACTGGATCTTAAACTAGCATACGTCTTTGTTCCGTACGAAGTGCAAAAAGAAAAAAAGCGAATACGTTGAATAACTTTTGGTCTAAATAATGATCGGATTTTCTCGTACTAGGACTCAATTTTAATGGTTTCTGTGCCTAAACTTAAATATTAATAAAACATCGTCTGGTGTAATTACTTTGCATATTTAAAGTACGTCTCTCAAACCAATAAGATTGATTCCTAGTACGTGAAGATACCAATCATGACATCAAAACTATTCAGAATTTACGCCTTTTTTTCTACCTTGTCCATTATGTCTAGGAGGCAAGGTAAAACCCTGCTGGAAATTTTTTGTTGTTGCCAGACTGAGCAGAGCTCAACTGTCGCTTAGTACAGTAGTAGACTCGCTTTGATGAGCTGTGGAAGATGTGATTCTATCATGTGATTCTAATGTGATTCTATGATGAGCACATTAATGAATATGAAAAAGGACTAGTAGCTAATAATTTCGGAATATATTTTGTTAAATTTTATTCATTAAAATACGTTTTATTATTAGCAAATTGTAAATTGTAAACATTTTTAAAACTTTTATAATATAAATAATAAAATTAAATTTGAGAAACTTTATTTGCATCTTTTATGAATTAATACAAAAAAACTGGTATGCATTCTAATTTATATGAGCCTTTTGCTCATACTTGTAGAAAAAAGCTTTAGAGTAAAAAATCTAAAAAACTTGAATTTAAAAAAAAATCACTTTCATTATGTCTCTTAACACATAATACAGGTTTGTGATGAAAAAGTCGGTAAGGCAACTGGTTAAAAACATTTCACGATTTTTGAAAGTTTTTCGTGGATTAAAATACTCGTTTAATAAAGTTTATTAACCAATAAGTAAGTTACTAAATCGCTATTTTCGCTGATTAGTTTTATTTTTGAACAAGATAGAACTAATTGATTATTTGTTTTTATTACAAATAAATACATGCATTTGAACATATAAATCAAATCAGACTAATAGTTAAAAACATTCTTGGAGGTATATACTATCAAAATATAAAGAATAATCATACTGTCTGTTTGTATATTGTCAAATTATGAGAGGAAAAAACATTTTTTGAACTTGTTGGCGCTTTTTTTCTTTTGAAAAACAGATTTTCGTTACTATGAAAATTTCATTTGATTTTTCCATACCTGGTGGTGTAATTTGGAGATCATCAGCTTTCAGCATCCAGTTTCTACTGACAATATTCGTACAGCAGAAAGTGATTGAAGTATTCTCATAAACAAATTCATCGGATGCATTCACATAAACCGTGATATTCCCTTCAGTTTTGCACGTGTAGTTTTCAGATACGATGTCACTTGCGTACTCTAAAACCACATACAAAAAAGTGTGAATTATATTTTTACTCGTAGGTTTCATCTCTGTTTATCTCAATTAGATTAAATCCTTCACTGCTAGAAATTTCTCTAAGAAAATTATTAAATAACTGATTACTTAATTGTTATTTTACCATATCCCACCAAAACAGTTCATTATAAATATGAAGGTATACAAACTGTGAGAAAAATCGTTTATTGATTGTTTTTGCGTAATACTCTTAAGCAACCTGAATTTTAACCGCACCAATTGGGAAACCACATAGTTCCTAGCAGCTGGGTACATACCATAGTCGAGAGAGTTAATTTGTCAATCTCATGGCCAACTGAACAGTTTTCGAATCCTAATATTGACAGCTTAATATTCCATCAAGATATGAAAAGTTTCCAGTGATCTGCCCTCCCTAATCGGTGACCCTGGACTTTTAGAATACAAAACCCTCTTTCACACATATATGGCAGTACTAAGAAGCTACTTAGGTTTAGAAAAAAAGTCTAGTATTTCCCGATTCTCACAATAGATGGCACCACCAGATAAACTAATTACGTCACATTCCATGGTTCATTTGACAAAACATAATTTAACAACAAAATTCCATCTCCTAACATAACCTAGCTTCAATAAAATTTTATTTTTACTGTTTAGAAATCATGCTTGCTGTAAATGGTTACAAAACCATATAGTTTTGTATTCATGGATTTTTCAAAACCGTAAAGCTAAAAAATGTTCCTGGCCGAAAACTTCACGGTTAATTGGAGAAACACAATACTGACGGTTATTTCACCGTAATTTTAGAATGAGAAATGTTGCATTGTAGACACCAGAACTAGTAGGAGCATTTTTGTGTTTGTAATATTTAAAAAAAAAACGAGGCATACTGCAATTTATTTCTGTTGAAAAAAAACTCTTTCGACTGGGTTAGAGTCCTCTTCCCATCGAGCTAATCGTGGGAGGTTCTCGTTGTCCTTCGCACCATGTAACGCAAATGCGGGTTAGTTCCATGAAAAAGACCTCCACGAAGGAGAATTTCTCCCAATACTTGATTCAGGAGTTCCCTTGTCTTCTGGATTGAGTTCTAAATGACAAGGCTACTGAGTTGAACATTAGTAGTCGTAAACCCTAAAATTGGGTTGGCTGTTCTACGACGGTTATAAAATAAAATAAAATAAAATATATAGAAGCTATAAATAGATGAGACCTCATACTGTACAGAAGAGAACAACAAAAACACAACATTTAAAAAAAAAAAAAAACGAAAAGGACACTTGTCTAACCATAAGGAGAAAAATATAGTCAAAAATAAGTAAGTAAATAGAAAAAAAATGAACCAAATAATTAAAGTAAAATGAAAAAAAAGTTCTTACGAAATTCGTAGATTAATGTGAAAAAAACTCTTTTAATTGTACAAGTTGAAATTTATAAGAAAATTACAGCATTTTTTGCATTAGTACTCGAAAGTATGAAGTTTTCTTGAAGATATTTTCAAAAATCAAAGTCTTTCACGCGTGTTGCACAAGATAATTTCTTCACTTTTCTACCTATTTTCTAAGAAACTTAATGCATTTGATGCAACAGATATTCGGTTAGACCTAGAGTTTTAATCGTGTTTCTAGTTTTTGATTAACTAAATGATAATATTTAAGTTCCACTGTGTATGTTTTATTTAACTTATGCTATTATTTATGAGAATAACTTTATTATTTAATTGATAAAAACTACAAACGCAACATTAAAAATTCTTTTCGCTATTGCAATTACCTTTTTTGTGGAGAATGTGTGCCTATTCTGGAGCGATTGAAGCATGTGGACTTATATTTCCATCTTTACATTTTTTGAAACCAAAAAGCTGAATTTCTAAGTAAATTGGTAGAACGCGTAGTGAATATTAAAAACTCAGCTTAGACAAAATACATTTAAATTTTAAGACAGTTTCATCCCTACCTGCCTCACCCGAAAAAGTGCTATATCATTCTCGTTTGTAACAGTTCCAACTTTTACTTTTAGTATAACATTCTCAATTGTCAAATACTTTTACTGCCGATTTATAAATCATGTAAAAAAAATTTTTTTTTAACTTTCACTTATTTTATTTTCCAGTTTAAGATGTTTCGGAAAAATTGAATATTAAGTAAAAGTTACGTCTACAGTCAATAATTTCAATTTAAGCTTGATTATTTTTTATTAGAGTTAAGTGTTTGTTTTTAGCACAAGTTTTAATCAATTGGCGGTAGAGCTTCGCACTCTTGTGCCACTGGTCCTGTGTTCGATCCTCGGGGCGGACAAGGCTGACCACATAACCGGAACATCTGCTCCTGCACCCTGGAGTCCAAGGTCAAGAAGACTGAGATGGACACTGTAGGCCTTGGCCCTCTTTGGGCTGGCTCGCCACTGAGTTTAGTTTTTTTAATCAATTGACTTTTTTCTTTTCACCTACTATGATAATATTTAAGATGATTCGCTTAAGATCTTGTAATAATAAGATTCCTGTCTCTAACGTAGTTAGAATTAAGATTCTCAAATTTCGTTCTGATACCACTACAAAATAATGTTAATTGTATTGAGCTATATTTTGTTTTGTTTCACTTTCTTTTTCTGGGTAAATGACGAGCAAACTACACTGAAGTTGCATAAATTTATTAATTTACTGATAGCTTATTGAATATATAAATTTATAATTTATTTTGTATGCCTTTTTTTACTAAAAATAACTTTTTAACATAAAAACTAAGGATATACAAGAAAGTCAGATGCTTATTTCGCATATATTAACATAAATAATTTAATAAAATTACCAAATGCATCTATTACAGTTTTTAAAAAGTCGATTGTTTTCCGAAATATGAGGTTATTTCATTTGGCTTATGTACTTAGAAAAGTTAAAAACAAGAAATAAAATACAGCTCTTGTACTTCTTAATCGAACCTTGTCTAATATATTCTATGTAATAGTGAAGACATATTTAAATTAGACAAAACACTATCCCCTTCGTTGTCATCTGGGCTTGTAACACTTGAGTTAAATAATTAAATGAGAAACTTGAGTTACAAATTCTATTTAAAGAGAAACTAAAGCGATAAGAATTATGATCATCCAAGATAAGATAACGTTTATCAGAGTAACTGAATTCATAATAAGCTACTAATTTTTTTCTGCAATACAAACATTATCCAAATTGACTCTCCGGATAAAAACATTATTTCTCTTACCCGTGTTTCTTGTTATTGTTGCGTATGCCTGTTTAGGCAGAGGGGTGCGATTGTTCTTGTTCTCCAGGGGCGCCATCTATGGCCAAGAATTCAACTTCTGTCATACCCATACGTCACACCCGTTTATAGGGCGGACCCATTCATACGTCCATTCATTCATCCACAGATCATAATTTCGACCTGAATCAGAGAACGATCTATCTCCAATCCAGTACCCTCAGAGGTATTGATTTGTTATGGGAACATGGTGGACTTTGTGACTCGACAGATTTAACGTGCATTAGTCACCGTTTTCGGCTGGAGGGGTTTGAACCCACGAACTCTCGGACATGGACCCAGCACCCTACCGACTAGGCTATCCCGGCTCCATATTTCTTACAAAAATTATTTTAACTTTATACCTGCAAGTGATGCCATCGTAGGTAAATCGTGGCATTTGTCGATTCGGTAGCAAATCAAGTTCGACACACGCGTGACGTCGCTTACAAGTATGCAATTAAATCTGATATAAATCACATGATTAGGCATAATCACTTCTTGTATTCTCGAATTGTAAGTAAATAATTGACGCTAAAATTTGCAAAATCTGGTCTAAAACCTAGATCCTCTTTGTGTAGTATTGACCTTCATGCTGTGGGTAAGCAAGCATGGTATTTTACACTTGCTTTACCTAAAGCAAATCAGATGTCTCTTTGGTTAAGTAGCCAAGACTAAGCTGAAGTCAATATACGTTACACTGCCATGCTAACTTCTTTATGGCCACATGTCATTTTTTAGTTTCAAAGATATTTTCTTTTTTAATTTTTTATATCCATCGTTGAACAGCCGATTCAATTTTTGGGTTTACGACAACTAATGTTCAATTCCGTAGCCTTGAAATTTTGAACCGATCCAGAAGACAAGGAAACTCCTGGATCAGTACTCCCAGATGTATTGCTTTGTTATGGGAACATGGAGGACTTGGCGACTCGATAGATTTAACGTGCATCAACAACACGGGGAGTCTTCAGCCTCAAAGATATTTGCTTCAAAATGCTTCAAGAATTTCGGGAATGCCTGGTAGGTAAGGCACTGGGTCCATGTCCAAGAGGTCATGGGTTCAATCCCCGCCGGCCGAAGACTTCCCATGTAATAAATGGTGATTGATGCACGTTAAATCGTTTTTGGTTACAAAGTGTTCCCATAACAAATCATACCTCTGGCGGTACTGATCTAAGAGTTTCCTTGTCTTCTGGATTGGGTTCAAAATTACAAGGCCACGGAGTTGAACATTAGTAGTCGTAAACCCAAAATTGGGTCAGCTGTTCAACGACGGTTGTAAAATAAAATAACTATTATGTGTTAGCTTGTGATTCCGATTACTAATGATAAAACAGTGCCAGTTTTAAATTTTGATCAAAGAGCACTGTAAGCACTAGTTCAGAACGTAAAGAAGTAACAATGGACCGTTGAGCTGATAAATACGTGCCAGTTCAGAATACTGCTAAGGAATAGTGACAGGCAAAAACTGACAAACATGACAATGCTCCAATAGATTATTTTAAGGAGCAGCCTCTAAATTTGAAGAAGTTTTCAAGTCAAGTTATCGATACAAATATTACAATTCACGTCAGTGTCAGATTGAAAGCACCCAAAATGATTCTAAGAGCAAGATCGCCAGTTTTTGAAAAGATGTTCGATTACGATACAAGCGAAGCTGTCCAAAAGGAAATCGATATCGGCATACTGCTCCCATGATGAAAGAAATTCTCACAATGGAAAATCGTGATTTTGACGATGCTTTCAATCTTTACTGTGCTGTTGATAGGCTCGGTCTCTTCGGAATGCTTTTTTTCGAGTTTCAACTTAGACCTATAGGACATTCTCAAATGTCACTGATGATGTGCGTAAAATTTATTGCTGAAAAATATGTGTCCCATACTTTTTATAAGTCAATCGAAAAATATCGGCTGATCGTGGATGAGAATATTAAAAATTTTATTTTGAGGAAAGACGATTTAAATTTCTAGAATCCTCTTTTCCGTGAAACCGCGAAAAAAAGCGCTATATCTTTCTCGAGTTTCAAATTATACTTTTTAGGATGATATTTTTAAATATCACTGATTAAGTGTGGAAAATTTTCTTGAAATTTCATTTTCCGCTTAATGTTAATAATATATTAAAAAATTATATAGGCTTTTAAAAATTAAGGTTATATTTAATCAATTTGTCAGTACTTTTAATTTAAATACATGATTTCAAGCAATTAGAAATAATGCGATCGGTTGAAAAAGTTTTAGGTGTACCAACCTTTGAATGATTTGGAGCCAATTACTGATTAGAAACATCTTGAGTATGCAATTAAAATTCTAAGAACATTTCAAGCAACTGTTGGAAAAAATGAAGCAATATCGAAAATTTTTATTTTATTTTTTTATTTGTTTGAAAAATTATTTAGAGAACCGTTATTTGAATGGCTTGAATCTAATCCCCGATTATAAACACAAGACTGAGTATGCAAAATTGAAAAGGAATATAATGCAATATAATGCATCTGTTCGAAAAATTGAAGCAATTTGGCGAAAAATGTTCATACAACTTTTGCGATTTGTTACAAAAATTGTTAAGGGTACACTGATAATAAGCATAACAATGGGTATATAATTAAAAACGTAAATGCGTGTTAAAGCGAATTGTCTGAAAAACTGAACCATTAAAAATTTTAAAAAGAGATAAGCCAATAAACTTCATTTAACAAAATTCTCTTTTTCCTAACTTCCTAAATAAAATTTTAAAAAAAATCGATCGTATATGAATTTAGATCCTTATAACGTTTTTTTAAATTGTTATATTTTATTTCTTAAAATGACCAAATAAAGAAAAAAAATTTGGCATTTTAGGTTTTATATTTATTTCTTTATTCATAATTCGTTGTTCATGAAGATAAAAATAAAAAATGCACATACAATCCTTTTCACTATGGTTTCCCTTTAATAAATTTCTCTCTTAAAAATAACAATTCTTCAATCATGACACACTTATAAAATGTTTGTCCTGCATACTTTTATTTTTTCCCAAATATTCTTTTATTGATGATACAAAAAGTTTTAATGCTGCCACTACTGTTACTAAAGATAATAAAAATGTTTTTGCAGGTGTAGGACAAAATTAACGGTCGCTCCCTGCCACAGGGCAAATAAATATAATACATGGCGGTCAGTGTGCGGGTGGGTGACCACTTGGATCAGTCTGCGCACGGACCGAGGGTGTGTGGTATGGGTCCTCGTTAAACTGTTCTACCATACAGTGCTCTACTTCGAGTGTAGGTCGTCGGGCTGCCGAAGAGGGGGTGCCATCCCCTCCGCAGAGGATCAAAATTGTGATGGCATGTCTTCGGATCATCCTGCGGGATGCTTCTCAGATCGTCGCCAATAGCCCATTGTGCAGCTCTAGTGCGACGTAAATTAACAATAACAACAACAAAAATTGTCTGCCAAACACCATTACTTTCTCCGACAAAAATGCACTCCGTGTGCATTTTAATATTATTATTTTTAAATGAATAGGAAATTATGATGAATATTAATATTTAAATGCACCATAATATTTACCGTGTAATATTACCTTGCAATTTCCTTGTAATATTTACCATATGCTTCATAAGAAATGCGTTACATTATTAATAAAAAAAGTTTTTTTAATCGCTTAAAGTTATCAATTTTTGAAAAGTTGACACATGTTCTAAAAAGTGACCACTGTTAAAATTTGAAAACTACCCACAGGCCAGTGGCAAAAATTTCTTAATTTTGCTCTATATTTGCCTTTTTAAAGAGTTTTAAAAAATAAATCTCGTATTAATCCTAATTTTTTGATGGTTTTTCAATAAATCCAAACATTGAACTGTTCTGTTAAGCATTTGCGTTTTTGACGTATCTTTGCAAATATTAAAACACAAAATTCCAGAAATATTTAAAGTACGGTATTTAATTTTTGTATTATAATTAGGTCTAAAATTGATACCGCAAACATTTGAAACATTACTGTGGTGTCTGTCTGTTGTTTCTAAAATACGTGTCATATACAAGACTGAAATGTTTCAATAATGTATTTAAGAAATAGTTCATCTCAACGCTTTCAAGAGTAAAAAAAAGTTTTCTAGGGATTTTAAACACTTTTGTAAGGCAACAAATATTATAAATGCTTTTTCCGATGTAATTTATTTATGTTAATAACTTTAATTTAATAATAACTTTTGTTTAAAAAATTTAATTATGCTGTTCAGTAAGATCGTCCATTTCAAAAGAACTGACACGTTTCAAACTTGCGAAAAAAGAAAAATATTTAAATATCATTTAATTTTCATTTCCATATTTATGTTGATCACTTGGTTAAAACATGTCCTATTTAAATATATACAACCTTTAAATACAATCAACATTTAATATATTTACTATTTAAATTCTACTAATAAAATGAACAAAAACAATATTAAAAATTCTAATCAGCATTAAACAATATTTCGAGTAACTTTGCCTTTCAGTATTCTCAATTTTGTAAGAAAATTACCTACGTTAATAAATTTCATTAGTTCTAAAGAATACATCAGTTGAAACAAAATTGATTCTCTTACAGTATAGTGCAGTTTTAAATAATTGCCTTCTAAGTTATATATAAAGTTTCATATTTAAAAATATTATTTAATTTATTTTCAGGCATGAAGCGGTTCTTATATTATCCTACTTAAATAAACTTTAACAAGTTAAAAGTAGTATGAATGGAAAATTTTAATAATCGTCGACATCATGATTATTAATTCAACTTTTTATCTTTGTACGGTATCATAATACGTATTAAAACGCATTATTCAGTCTAAGAAAGCATATAATTACAAGTTAACACAGGAAGAATTGGGTCACATTTAGTCAGCTCTTCAAATGACATAATAGTCAAAATTGTTTTAAATTAAGTTTTTATATAATGCATTCTTTCTTTTAAATTTCATCTCCGTGGTAATTCGTTAAGATCAGCACCAGGCATGCATTTTCCACTTGAAGATTATGCAGCAAATATTTCGCTCAAGCATTGAGAAAGGACAGCACTTCATTATGGGATATATTTATATTCAAAAGACATTTGTAGGTTTAAGTTTTTTTTTTAGCGTTAACAAAGTTTAATCTTCAGTTATATTTTAATTTAAACTAATTACTGCAAAAAGTAATTCTCAACGTAATTGTTCAAACTGAAATAAGAATGAAAATTTTTACACATTTATTTGCTATTTATTTATTAATTATTCATTTATAAATTATTTATAAATATATTTTACGTTATTTAAAACTCCATACCTCATCAACTTCAAATGTAATTTTCCTATCAATACCAGACGTCTAAGAAATATTACTTACGTGGTTTCATTCACTAAAATAGACTTATAATTAAATACACTTTAGCAATTTCAAAATTTATTTCTTCGGTATAAAATAATGAACAAGGACGAATTCAAAATCAATATTAACTTAAATCTTCAACTTCATACACTGTCATTTTAAGAAAGCGTTACGCATCAAGAACACAACAAGATTTGCATCGTATTTGGCTAACTCTTCAAATGATTTTGTGGCCACTATTTCCTTAACATTGGCCATTATATATTTCAATATTTTTTCTTTCAAAGATTCATCACCGTGATTAGTAGCCAAAATCAACAACTGGCATGCATTGTTTACTTGAAGATGACGCAGCAAATCTTTCGCACAAGCATTCCGAAGGGACAGCACTTCATATTTATCAGCGGCATAGTAAAGGTCGCAAGCATCGTCAAAATCGTGATTTTCTATTGTGCCGGCATACAGAAAAGTGAGAAGTTCTTTCATTATGGAAGCGCGTATATCTTTAACATCGATTTCATTCTTGATAGCTTCGCTTGTGTCGTGATCGAACATCTTTTCGAAAACTGGCGATCTCGCTCTTAGAATCATTTTGTGTGCCTTCATGCTGACACCATCCACGTGAATCGCAATATCAGTACCAACGGCTTGATCTAAAAGATTCTTCAAATTTACAGACAGTTCTCGTAAGCAGTCTATTGGAGCATTGCAATAATCAGTCGTATTTGTCGCTGCTTCCTTAACAAAGCTCTGATACTGAACCGGAGCTTTTTCACTGTCCTGAATCGGCACTGATACTTCATCAATATTCTGAAATGGTTTTAACAATTTCTCAGTGCTCTTCTTAATCACTAATGCACACTTAACAGTCAATGGAAATTCCAATGAAGTCAATGGTCTTTCAAATCCATCGAGCATATTTGTAAACAAATGGCTGTTATAGGATGCTGTATGACCAAAGATAAAACTTCCTGTTGCATCCAATAGCATTGTTGAATGATTTATAAACTTTTTATAAAAACATGGGCAAATTAAATTCAGGCATATTTGCTTTGATAACACACTCATTCGAAAGTTCATGAATTTTATTTCGTCTGCAACTTCAACCTCGAATACATCGGTGTTCAAATAAGGTTCGGTTAGATCAGTTTCTTCAATTCTCAGTTCAATTATAATCATGTTATGTGAAGCATTCGTAAAACGAACTGTATTTTGAATAACGTGAGACATTTCAGATGTTACAAAGGAACAATACTTAGTTTGAAACTGAATGCGTTAGTAGTATAAGGGACACTTTTTCTTCCGGAAATGACGTCACTCCGGAGAACCTATGATTCCCGTTATACTACTTAGCGCGTAAAACCTGATTGCTAATTAAATCAGAGTTTCGGGATGTTCTTTTAATTAAATATTTGTCTATTTTTAATTAAATTGTTTTATTTTATTGCTTTTTTTAATGTAATAAATATTTTTAAGTATCTTTTTAGTGAAATAACTGTATTTAAATTCTTTTTTTTTTATAGTTAAAATTGTATTTTTAATTAAATACGCCTATTTCCTACTTTATTCATTGATTATTATAATATTCAAAATAATATTCATTGGTGCTTCGTTCGGAAGAGCTGGAATCTGAGAAGGCTCTTAATAATTTAGTGATAATAAACGAGCATCGTCGAAACATATCTTTGATCGAAAATAATTGCAGCGAGCACCAGCCGCATAAATACGTTTCATCTTTGAACAAAAGCCGACCAGATTTGGTTTATTGGTATAACACATATTTGCAGGCTTGTGTGCTCAATTAAGGCTTATAAACCTTTGTCAAGTGGAAGAACAGGTAGCACAATACAGAGAAATACATCACAATACATCCAGGGTTACGGCTGGATTCGAACCCGCCACCTCCACGCTTAACAGAGCGTCTGGAAGCCGACCAGGTTGCCGAGTGGTTAGCGTGCCTGACTGCGAAGCCGATGGTTGCGGGTTCGAATCCCGCTCAGGACATGGATGTTTCTTTCTCTCTCTGTGTTATGTTCTTTCTTCTGTGTGAATGTAACCCGCCCTATAAACGGGTTTATGGTTGTATGACATTGGGCGACGCTGCTCCACCACCGTGGCTCAGCCATAGGTGCTAACTGGGTAATGATTACAGAGTAGCAATTCTAGCATTTCTGAGGCCAATGGGAAATAGACCCAAGTGCCCGCCATTAACCAAGAAAGAAAAAAATTCTTTGAACGAATTGTAAAGCTCACCAACCGCATGCATACGTTTCATCTCTGATCTAAAATGATTGCAACGAGCACCAGCCGGATAAATACGTTTCATATTTGAACGAAATAATTGTAAAGCGCACCAACCTCATGCATACGTTTCATCTCTGATCAAAAATAGTTGCAACGAGCACCAGTCCCGCAGTGGACTGATCGTTAAGACACGGTTCCCAGCAGATCACCGAAGTCAAGCATCACTGGCTACGGTCAGCGTGCGGGTGGGTGACCACTTGGATCAGTCTGCGTAGGGACCGAGAGCGTGCGGTATTGGTCCTCGTTAAACTGTGCTACCGTAAAGTGCTCGACTTCGCGCGCAACTTTTCGGTCGGGCTACCGAAGCGGGGGTGCCATCCCCTCCGCAGAGGATCAAAATTGCGATGGCATGTCTTCGGATCATCCTCCGGGATGTTTCCCAGACCGTCGCCAATAGCCCATTGTGCAGCTCCAGTGCGACGCAAATTGACATTAACAACAACAACAACAGCAACGAGCACCAGCCGCATAAATACGTTTTATCTTTGAACGAAAGAATTGTAAAGCTCATCCTATTTTATTAACGTAATAAATATAATTGAAATATTTTTTCCAGATTTCTCTTAAATAATTTTTTTTGTTTTTTAAGTACAAATTTGAGAAAGAGGAATCTAGAGAGAAATTTTATTCAAAATAATTGTAACGGGCATGAGTCACGTGAATGAATGTTTTTTCACGAATCAATTAATGGAAATATCTAGTCATTTACACAACCGGGAATTGAACCCCCAACCTTTGTCTCCGCGAAAGACATCTGGGGATAGCGGTTGTCGCCTAAACCACTATCACACGACCTCTTGGTGTATAGGTCACCATATATCAAACAAACCAAACATTTGTGGACAACCGGTAAAGACTACTTCACTTTACTCCACTTCGCTACGCTTCACGTATGCAAATTATATTTAAAAATTTGCATTTAATGGAAATATCTAGTCAACTGGGAATTGAACCCCCAACCTTTGCCTCCGCGAAAGACATCGGGGGACAGCGGTTGTCGCCTAAACCACTATCACACGACCTCTTGGTGTATAGGTCACCATATATCAAAGAAACCAAACATTTGTGGACAACCGGTAAGGACTACTTCACTTTACTCCACTTCGCTTCGCTTCACGTATGCAAATTATATTTATAAATTTGCATTTAATGGAAATATCTAGTGAACCGGGAATTGAACCCCCAACCTTTGTCTCCGCGAAAGACATCTGGGGATAGCGGTTGTCGCCTAAACCACTATCACACGACCTCATGGTGTATAGGTCACCATATATCAAACAAACCAAACATTTGTGGACAACCGGTAAGGACTACTTCACTTTACTCCACTTCGCTTCGCTTCACGTATGCAAATTATATTTATAAATTTGCATTTAATGGAAATATCTAGTGAACCGGGAATTGAACCCCCAACCTTTGTCTCCGCGAAAGACATCTGGGGATAGCGGTTGTCGCCTAAACCACTATCACAC